TGTGATTATAAAACGATTATCAATGCATCTTTTTTTTCTATACATGATTTCAATTTTCTTACTGTCTGAGGCCTTGGTAGTTTTAAAGCAAAGTATTTGTAATGATCCATAATGCATTTATGTCCAATATCTTTTATTAATAAATCAAATGGAAGTGATGTGGCAAGTGAACTGGAAGGCTCTCATTCACTGCTCTTGTTTGGAGACGCTGCTGCTACTCATCTGCTAAAAAATGCGCAGTTACGGTGAAATAAGATTCAGTGGTAATGGATGACCACGCAGCGCATTATAGCCGTCCTACCCGTTTTCTTTAGTGATTTTATAACTTCGGTTTTGATCTCGTGGACCAAAAAGCGCGAATGGAGACGAATGGACTTATTCGCATTTATAAGCAGCGCAGTTGGTTTCCTTAAAAAAAAATCTGCAACGAGAGACTGTCAAACACTAAAAAGTTGCAAAGATGAAGACGCTGTTTCTAATTTTCCCGTTCCACCTTAAATGGTACCGCATTTAGCTTTGGTGCCTCAGTCAGAATTTAAGGTGGAACGAGAAAGTTCAGCAAGAAGCTGGCGAATAAGAAGCAACTTCAGCCTCGTAAAACAGCTGAAAGCTGAAAGACATTTTACAAGAAACTATTCAACTTTTGAGGAAAAGTTTTCTGGCGGAGATGGAAGAAAAGTGGCTATAGCTAAAGCTTAAAGCAGAGTAGAGTAAGTCCACGTTTTCGTTTATATATTTTAGTCTATACTAGGACATTAACACATACTGAGACATACTGGACATTAAATGTTGTGGCTCCCAAGGTGGTTTGATTTTTGTTGAAAGGTCAAAATGGCTCTTCTTATCATTTGTGTTGTGACTCCTGACCTAACCTGGCTTTTAATGCAGAGGGAGCCGGTCGGATTTCTCGCTCATCCAGTTGTGTTTTTGTTATGTGCCTCCACAGACTGTCCGGGCGCTGCACTTCCGAACTTTCAAGTTCCGCCCTTTGCGTTCCGTCAACATTACAAATTAAATATTTAGAAAATCGATTTTTGGCGTTGAATTAATCGATTCAGAATCGTGCACGTCCGCAGTGCGATGTATTTAAGAATTGATTTTTTCCCGCACCTCTACTGTGTGGGCTAAATGAACACATGAGGTTCTATATAGCACCAAAAAGGGTTCCTCTTTTGTTACAAGTTTGACATTGTACCCTTTTTTGGTGCTATATAGAGCCATTTTGAAAAAAGGTTCTATATAGAACCATATACAACACGTTCTCCATCAATCTGAAACAGTTTCTCAACGCAAAGAACCTATTAAGCATGAAAATGGTTCTTTGAATGTTCTAATATAGAACCATTGTCTTTACTAAAGAACCCTTAAGGAACCATCTTTGTAGCTCAGTGTCTCTCGGTTACCATGTTTCACCAAGCAAATAAGTGGCACTGCCCAGAAAAATATCTTTAAATGCATATTTTATTCTGGTGGGCTAAGATGTTTTGTACTGTTATTAGAATGGTCTATGGTATTTGTTTCTGTCTTGCTGTAGGGGAAGAGTATCTTGTTGCTGGGCACGAGAATGTAAAAAAAGGTCGTCTTCTGGTCAACACGAAGAGTTTAGTGAAGCCGTGGAGAGCCAGCCTCAGCCGCAGAGTCCTTCAGCTCCATACTAAGTGCAACTGAGAGACAGAGAGAGCAAGAATCCCTAAAACACTGTTACCCTAAAGTAGAGGTCTTCAGCTCCGGAGCTTGAATCCAGTTTCCAGTCCTGGATTTTGTTGTCACTGGTAGGTATGTCACTATGTGGCCAATGAGTTCAGTTAACTTTCAGTAATTACAAAATCCAGGACTGGAAACTGGATTCAGACTCTGGAGTCGAGGACCTTTGTGCATCGTCAACCATCAGCTGAAAGTGATGATATGAATTTAAAGTGTACATATGTATGTGTATGAATGAGAGTCAGAGAAAGGCAAAGCAATTTAAAATATGATTATATTGTACAGAGGTAGCCACTGTATATGCATAGTATTATAATGTATATGTGAAATTTTGTATCCCTTAATAGTCTTGTGTATATAATATACAGTTTGTACATATGAAGAAATGCTGAAAATATATTTTATAAAAGGAAAAGGAAAAATAAGGCATGTGGCAGACAAAGAGAAAGCCGTAACTGGTATTCTGTGTGAATAATGTTTCTGTACCTTGCTTTATGCAGAAATATCTTAAGTTGATGAAATTACTCTGAGACTGTTGTGCTCTAATAAATTAATCCTGCAGGAGGCGTGCATTTTGAGCTATAATTTGTACAGACCTGGATCTCATCTCTCAGCTCATGAAATCTTGATTCTCTTATTTTTTAGTTTCTTCTCCAGCTAATGCTTTCCTAGATGAAGTAAATGGTTGAAAGACTATATATATACATACACATACACACACACACACACACATATATATATATATATATATATATACATGTGTGAGTGTTCATAGAATACTTAATTGCGGCAAGTCTGTTTTTTCCAATGTGATATGATCTGTCTGGAAAATCCACCAAAATCACAGAGATTTGTATCTGGGTGGGACTAAAATGAGCAGAGTACTGCTGAGTAGGTAACTGAAACAGTAGGTAATTTGGCATGTTATTTTCTGAGGAGAGGAGAAAGGAAAACACTGACATGAGCAATCTGGATGGAAAGAAAATAACTTAGGAGCATCTGTAAAAGAAGAAATTATCCCAAGACTCCATGTAAATTTAAGTCCATCCAAACAGGGCTTATGTTTCTTCTTTGAATTTTGTGGATAGAGATTGGAATGCGAGAACAAAAAGATTTGTTTATATTTTTTCATATAATTATGCAAGTATTGAAACACATAACAAATCAGCATTCATTTGCTGTAAATGAAGTTGGCGTTTCAGATCCTCTTTAGACTTAGCAACTATGAGATTGCACTGTTATTTGAGCGCAAAGTAGTTTAACTTTGCCACACTGGGTTTAATACAACTTACTGCTACAGAAATTTGAGGCTTGTAATACATGCATAGTGTATTGCTTACTTTGTATGTTGCAGCTTTACAGTGAATCCTTCGAGAAATATTTCAACTTGAAGCCTTTATTGAAGGAGCCAGTTGCTTTTCAACAATGTACACAAAATCTTCTGGAGTGCTAATAGCGCCCTCTTGTGGAGAGTTTTAGGCATTGGCATTTACGCATACATTGTTAAACATACTTATGCACTCACTTAAACTGTACAAATATACCATCTTTGTGCTTGAAGTATTTCCATGTTTTGCACCACTCATTAATTTGGCAATTTTGTAAAACATTACATCGGTGACAGTTTATGTGAGACATAATATCAGTTGCTTATGTTCCCAACATCTTTGCAGTTCTACATTATAGAAAACATAAAAAAGTACAAGATAATACATGATTTATTTTGTTATGTATTATAATTATACATTATATATGTGATGGCTTATTTGAGAGGGTGCTGGCTGAAAGGAATATATGACCAAACTGATAGGAGCCAGAAGTCATGATGTCTATATTGCAAATATAGCCAAAATGACCAGTGAACATGTCTTCTGGGATTTTATATGTAGTGTTGATGTGGGTAAAATATTTTGCCTTACAGTGCCTTACCATGCCTTCTATTTTGCCTTTTTTGGGAACACCTGTACAGCCAATCATATGGCAGAAATGCAGTGCATAAAATCATAAATGCATAAATTTAACCAGATGGACTGGTTTGAGTATAACTGCTGATCTCTTGGTTCCTATCAGGTTGGTCATATGTTCCTTTCAGAATCCCACCTTTGGTGAGAAAGCCCCCATAAAATCCTAATGCCAAGAGCCCAATTTGGAAAAAAAGGATCAAAAAGGTCAATTTGTTACATTTGAGAAACATGTCATAAGTGCTAAATTAATAACTATATTCTAGACAGAAATAAAATATTTTTTTCCTAACTCTTACATAAAACCATTTATTCTGCTGTGACATAAACATTATGTCTGTGTAAACAAAGTTAGAGTTCAGATATTATGAATAATGCTACTGTTGACCTCGAGAGATTGTGCCTGTTCCTGTTTTCATTTCCTCTGTAAAATTCATAAAGAAGTCCTTCAGTCTTCAGGGTCTGCTGTGCAGTACCAAATAAGAACAGAGGATGTCACTTCAAGACCACGAAATAAAAATGCCAAGCTCAAATCTCAGTCCAAGGACACTTACACCACACAGTACATACGTTTCACATAGTTACAGCCCATCAGCAAATAGCAGTTGAAGTTTGAATAATGTGAATGATAAAGTTGTGTTTACAGTGGTTATAAATAGTGGTAGTCAAGTAAAAGCTGATGGCTAAATGGGACTTTTTTCATTGATGCTAAAATGATGCACAAAACATCTGATATTTTAAAATCAGAGCAGGAACAGAACAGGCTCAGTTGCACAAATAAGACCTGTGGACTGTTGTGATCCATGTAAAGTATCTGTATAGAGCAGGGATGTCCGAATTGTGGCCCGCAAGGCAACGTTGTCCACCCACATGGATCTACAATTTCTAATTTTTCTACATCATTAGTAAACAGCAGCAGTCCTTTACATTTTGTGAGTGTTTCATGATAAATGGACTAATAGAAACTGTCCAAAAAGAAATCTAAAAAAAAACTTTTATTTATCTATTTTTATTATTTTGGATTATTATATTACATATTATAATAATTATATTTTAATTATATTATATATATTGACTTATTTAATATTATTAAACAGTTTATTATATTGTTTTATAGTACATTATAGTATTTATAGTATTACATAGTACATTACATTCATTAATATATATATATATATATATATATATATATATATATATATAATATATATATATTTACGCGTATACGCATGTGTGTGTGTATATACATAATAGTCACAATTTCACACATTTATTTATTTATTTATGACGCTTTACGCCTCTATCTGGCAACCTCGTGTGAGAGGTGGAGCGCGAGGAGGAGGTCTGTGTCTGAGAGACCGCTGAGTGAGTGAGTCGCCACATCTGTCAGACTCGCACCTGGATTTCAGCGGCATGTCTTTTTCACATTTTACTTTCCAAATGACGGAGCTTTCTGCCGTGTGAATGACAAGAAAATAAACAAAACCATGTCGGAGGTCCGGAAATTCACAAAGAGGCTGAGTAAGCCTGGGACGGCAGCGGAGCTGAGGCAGAGTGTGTCGGAGGCAGTGCGCTCCTCTGTGGCTGTGGTTAGTAACGCTCACCCTTCACAGCTCTCTGGAAACTACAGCGGGGTCCTGCTGCTAGCTCTCCCTGCGTCCTGCATGCATTTTACACACATGTATACCGTGTCTCCTCCATCTCAGCCACACTCAGAGAGGGTGTCCCGCATTTAATCTTTGTCCGGTTTGGTTGTCGAGCCGCCCGGCAGTCAGCTAACAGCTAGTGAAGTGATGCTGCGGGTAGAAACAGCAGCAAGCTAAGCTTTCTTTAATTTCACTGCGTCCGCCTTGTGTGTATAACGATGTTACTGCGCCACGAAGATTTAGTGAATGTGGTATTAGGGGTCCTAATCCTTCTCTAAGGCTTAGACCAGACTAGCCTGACTAGAGCGAAAGACCACATGGACCATGTTGCAGTGCCTCCTTTGTGTGCGAGTATAAGCTTGTGTGCTTCTCTCTGAAAAAAAAAAACCTCTTTGGTTTCTTCCTCTTCTCTCTATTAAAGCGAACCGAGTCCAGTTGGTTCGGTCTGCTCCGCTCTGAGCCACCGCAAGGCGTTTTGCTCGGATAGTGGATTGGAGGATGTGTCCTTATTCATAAATGATGAATAAGCTGGGAAAGCAGGGAGGCGCAGGTCACCCTCAGTGCTTTTAGTGTTTTAGTATGTCAGCTAACGGCGCTGAAAGAAAGGACATAGGGGGAAAATGGCTGTATTCTCTGCAGGAGGAGTTAAAGTTATGAGTTTATTTTCTGTGTTTGCCAGGCAGCTGGGGACAGTAGCCAGGGCGAAGCCGTTCCCTCGGGCTGTTCTATCTACTTCCTGTGCCTTCTGCTTTTCTTCAATACGCCATTTATTCTCAGCGCTCCTCTTCAGCTGTGCTTTGTACTTTGCTTGTATCTTAGTTTGCAACTTCTTACGTTTATCGTTCTGTAAAATGAGGTTTAGAGGTGCCACACTGCGAAAGAATGATTTGAAGAAGAAAGCAACCTGGCTGCCTTAACAGTTAACTGTACATCTAATACTAACTGTTGACATAACGCTAAGCTCTGGCTTACCTGCTACTTGAAGTTTAATAAAATTAACTGTGATTACTTTTCAAGGTAAAACACCAAATTATTTGTTACACTGTATGGTTTAAGTGCCTTCAATCAAACCCTAGCTTTGCAGTGGGACTTACATGTGCAATAGTGATATGTTGGACATATTACAGATGTTCTGTATCTATTCTGACAATATAACAATGACCATTTTTATAGGGTTGGCCTGAGTGGAGCTTCCTCACTGTAAGATTCACAAGATCACAAATTCTATTAACTGACCAGCTGTTGGTGCATGTTTTCAGTCTTGTGGTGTTTCATGGGACTGAGAAGAACAGAAGACCCTTTTTAGGCCTACAGAATGTGATGTCAAAGTGAAAGAAAGCTGGTGTTCACCCTCACACACGGACCTCGGGTTCAGGAAAAGGCCACAATGGTTCAGCGTAACTGCTGCTGAGAGTGTTTGTACACAATGGTCTAATCCACATCAGCTGTAGCTCTGATTCTCGTCCGTTTGTGTTGAAGCAGAGGAAGCATCAACATCTGGAGAATCAGTTAGCCTTTTTCACTCTTGAGACTTGAGGCATACTTCAGTTTGCATTATGTCACCTCTGCTGTCCAAGCTGTCTACTTTTTTTGTCTACTACTGCAGTTGGGATTTAGAAACTTGTCATGAAGGTGCTTAGCACCTTTCACTTCATCTTCTCAGTGCGCTCTGCAGATGCGGAAGTAGAAGAAGTCCACCATAGCTAACTCAGTGCCAACGCCCTGCGAACTCTGAGAGGGCTCTTGCTTGCTAGTTAGCACTTCCTTTTTGCTTAGTTTGTGGTTTAAAAGTCTGTGATTCTGCTGCTAGATTTTTTTGCTCTCTTTCATAGCAGAGAGGGATGGAAAGGAGTTTCCAGTTGTGGTAACCTCAGGCCAGTGCGGTGGTTTCTATTACAGTGGAAAAGCGTAAGATTTGGATGGGGAAGCTGGTCCTGGATCAGAGTCAGAGGGCAAACTTTGCAAAGACTTTAGCTGAGGCAGTTAGAAAGTGCAGCCAGAAGCCAGGAAGATTCTGTAATTCGACCAGTGCTGGCCTGCCTGGCTGTGGTTTTCAGCCTCCCTTTTGCACATGCTTGTGACACATGACAGGAAGCTGTTTAGCTCTTGTGAGTGTATTTATGTGTGTGAGAAAGAAAGGTATGAAAGGGTATTGATGTGGGTGTATATAGATACTGGGTATGTGTTTGCCTTTGGGACACATGTAGACTAGACAAGACTACACCTTAAGTGTAGGAGAATGCTGGAAAATGACTGGCTGGATGACTAGTTCAAGGGATTTATTACAGGGATTTATAACACCCTCAGACTCGTCTGATAGTAGCATCAAGTTCCACTGGTCCTGTTTAACCTCAGCAGCTGTAAACAACAAGAAGCTTCTCTGATCTTTAGAAAAGTGAACTTTGCGAGCCCCACTTTTTCTTTATGCTCAGCTTGCAAACAGAGGTTTGTTACCTCTGGTGGATAAGTAAAACTTGACTAGGGATGCAAAATGATAATCCAAATTATATGCTTTAAAAAGTGATGTGCATCAAATAGATGTTCAGATTTGACTGATATTTCTGACCAATATTTAATGAAATATTTACTGTACCCTGGAAGATCGTAATGTTTAGCTGATGTTGGGGTGCTGCGTTAAAATATTTGCATTTTGTCAATGTTAATACGTTTGTAACCCTACAAATAACAACAGTAAATGTTATATTTTTCTATATAATGCTGACATAGACAGATCCTAATCTGTCATCATCAGCAGATACAATATTGAGCAAAAGCCATCCTATTATTTATTTAATTCCAAGTCAAAAAGGCCATTAAGTACAAGTTATTTCTTTCTCAGCATCAGGGAAAAAAAACATGTAGTCAAAAGTATGTGGACACCCCTCCTGAGTTCAGGTGTTTCAGTCAGTCTCATTGCTAACAGATGTATAAAATCTAGCAATTAGCCATGCAATCTCTGGAGTGCTATTCTTGTAAAATGGAAGCATCTAGGAGCAACAACAGCTGAGTCACAAAGCAGCAGATCTCTCACAGAGCAGGGTGCTGAAAAAAAAAGGAATTTTACAAGGCAGTTTAGGTGTGTTTGGGTAGTTGCTTATATGAGTGGTGGTGTCTCTTTGAAGGGTAAGGTAATGTCAGTAACACCTTTGGGAAACTTTTGTTAGGAGGACACAACTGTAATGCCTTAGTTTTAAAGCAGCATTATGTAAGTTTGGGGGACTTAGAGACTTCTCTGGTAAATGTGAATCTGATGACTGCAAGCATGTTGAAAAAGAACTCAGTCAAGACTTGGTGAAGGATGTGTCTTCCAAGCACATAATTGAATTATCTACTATTGTCATCAAATCTTCATCAGTGTAATGATGATTTTGCATTTGAGACCCAAACATCGAGTCGGACATTCCTTTGAGTGTGCGTGAGGTAAAGACAGATGACATGGTTAAAAAACCTCATGTGAAACACTTCTTTTTATAGGGGTTACAGGGTGACTTGCAACAGTCAGTTTTCTCCTGATTTAGTAACACTTCTTTCAGTTTTAACTGAAAGTCTTAATTAGTGCTACTTTAATGGCATTTTGACATGAAACTTTTGTCCAGTGCTGTATGCACATGAAAAATATTGGATAATGTCATCAGCCCACAATTCACATATTGGTGCGTCCTCAACCCTGACATCGTTCTCTATTTTATTCTTTTGCTTGTTGCTAATGGCTGCAAGCATAGTTACCATGGTAAATGCTGTAAATGGATTTTCATAACATGCTGTATGTGTTGATGTTTGTTAGGTTTTCTATAATTTGCCTGGAACTCCCCAAGTTGTCATAGCTCATATTCCCTGGTCTGTAACAAACCTCCACTGTTGAGATGGCTAGTTAACAGGATATAACATTGTCATGTGAGGATTTTTTAACACAATTAAACACCAGTTCACGCTGCACATGTTAGATACACAATGTATGCAGATAAAATGGACTTTGTGGAAAACATTTAAATTAGTGCTGTCGTAAAGAGGACTTTAAAAAAGACAGTCTCCCTTTGTTTTGTTTTAATGAAGGGTTACACATTAGAAAGCAGACAAATCACAGAAAACACAACAAACAGTGATATGTGGCAATAATAACAAATAAAAGGTATTGAAAATATTTATTGTAATTTGATATGATTAATACAGTTCAATATGTGAACTGTATTACACAGTGATTACACAGCAATTTGCAAGAGGCAGTAGTCAGGGCTCTTAAAGCACTTAACAGAAATTCCTGAATAGCTCATTTGCTGTGTGGTAGCTGGAAATTCCATGGCTGATGCATTCCATTAGATAGAATTTATCGCTTGCATCTTTTTATGTTCAAGCTACCTAATTATGCTGGACAAAATTGCAATTGATATATACTGAATTGGGCAGCAGTAGGCTCAAGTCCATAACTCAAAGCCATACTAAAATATTTAAAGAAATTGAATTGACCCACTACCAGTGACAGGTGGATTGAAGTCAACAAATGAACTGATATTATGATGTGACATTAGATGACTTATGAGTTTATTTCTAAAGTAATTGTTTGCTGCTGACCTGCTTGGGTCTGATTGAAGCTTAAAAGGAATAAGCTTGAGAATGTACATTTTAAAATAAAAAAAGGGTTTTATTGTTTTGTTTTTTTTTAAGAAGAAATATAAAATCAGTATCAGTGGATAATCAGGGTTTTAATACTGGAAAGGAAAAAATAATATTGTGCCTTCTTTACTGGAAACAGTACACTGAACAGTATCCATGGAGTCAAACCTTTAGATTTTGTGCAAGAGCCACTACACAATGCCAAGCCTATTAAAAATAACTCAGAGTGGTCCTCAAACACCAAGCACATGGAAGTTAATGGGTTTAACTAGGGCTGAATGATTTGGTGAAAAAATTCAATTGCCATCTTCTGACCAATACTGCACCAATAAATAGTTTGAAAACTGCACAGATTGCAGCATATAGAAAAAATTCAGCCATGGGTGATTTTTGTTCTTGTGTAAATTTCCGCTTTCAACTCAGGGTCACATTTATATCACGATGTTATTGTCAAATAGAAAAAAGGGAACCAATATATAAACGTGGTGCTGTGCATGTTTTCAGCTACAAACAACTTGAAGACATCAGTAGACCAGAGCAATGGTAAGATACATCATGATTTGATTAATTCTCATTAATGTCTGTGTTCTCATATCTGTTTTTGTGTTTAAAGGAACAAGCCAAGATCATTGAGCCACTGGACTACGAGAATGTGGTATTCCAAAGGAAAGCCCAGATCCACAGTGATCCTCAGAGAGACCTGCTGCTGTGGCCTGCTGATGACGTCTCTGTGAGTCCACCCAAAATAGCTTTAATTATGATACTGTATAGCCCACTGTAGGCGTTGTTAAAAAAGCGGCGCCAATGTGGAGTACACTTAACCCAAAATTTTATTTTAACATGCTTAAGTAAATAAAAGAGTAAGGAAAGGTAAATCTCAGTTTCAGAGGAAGCTCAATTAAGAGTGTTCATTAAGAGGCTGAATACTGTCAACAGATTTGTAACTAATCCGTGTCTTTTGGTAAAGAAATAGGACCAAGTTTTAAAATAAAAGTATGATCAGCCTTTTCTCCTTTACAGTAAACTTAACTCCATTGATTAGGATGGAAAACACTTTTGCTGTAATTTCTGAAATGTTCTGTGGATTTGGACTAGGACAATGATTCAACCACCAGTCAATAGTAAATGTACTTGGTGTTATACGAACACTGTTATGTTCACATGAGGGAAATTATATAATTAAATATAGTACTACATTATATATAATTTACATTGTACAGTTATATGCAGATGTTTTGGTGCCTCCTGGTCAAATTACGTTTTGTTGATTTTCTAAGTAAAAATATGTACACTTCCTCTACAGAACACACACATTTATAATGCACAAATACTATTTATTTACTAAGTTCAATATATTACATTAAACATAAAATGTGACCTGTGCCAAAGTTATGGCACATTTTATATTTTATGTTTTATTTCTTTCCAGTATGTTAAACTCAGCAATTAATTAGAAATTGTGCTCTCAAATTAGCATAAATTTTCTATGTAGAGGAATAATTTCACTTACAAATAAACAGTACATGTAATTCTAGGAGTGTTCAAACTTTTGCATGCAACTGTGTCATAGTATATGATATATAATGTATGAATTAATTTTACACACTGTTCATTTCTTTTTGAGCAGGTGTCCCAGATTGATCGTCAGAGAAGAACAACCGTCTCGTCAGTTCCTCAGAATGCTGAGAAGGAAGCTAACAGTCTGTTTGCCAAGGAGGTAGGACACTTGCTCATGTTTATTTATAACCTGTATCTGTTGATGTGATGTTGCAACTGGCCAATGTTTTCTGTTTGTTAGTGCATCAAAATGTACAACACAGACTGCCATGTGGTCAACTACAATTACGAGGCCTACTCGGGATGCTTCCGCATGCTGCCCTGGTAGGATTTTCTCTTAGTATTTTTCTTGTAAAAGGAAATAGTTGCTTTTGCTTAGCAAATAGTTTTTACAGTAATTTTAAAATATTTAAACTGGAACATTCTAAAAATGACCCAGCAATGATCTCTGACTAGCCCTGCTATATATGATCGGAATCTAAAAATCTGTGAATCTAAAACTTTTTTTTCAGTTAATTAACTACTACCTTTATTTATATTTCTCAAGCTCTTGATGAGTAAAAATTGATAGATTTTTGTTTTACTTGTGTCACAAACTACCATTTTGAACAAGAAAGTCTATGAATACTATGAATGCTGTATATTTCACACTTCACTTTCCTTTTATTGTTATTCTGATGAAACAAATCAGGAATAAGCCCTAGGTGATCTGAATTCTGTTCTGAATGCGTGTGCACGCTTGATCAAAAACTGTCAGAGTGCATCCAACATTAAAGGCAGAATGGTTTTTGTTTACGCCCAAGGTGAACATGCAGTGGCCCAGCTACTCTGGGAGGAGATTTTAACGAGTTAAAGGGGACAAAGCCAAAGTCTTTCTTTATGTATCATCAGCAAAACATTAGATATGACAGGGTTAAAAAAAATAGCTAATTAAAAAAAATTTGATGTGATAAACTGAAGACAAATTCACATGGTTTACAGTGCAGCTAGTTGTCCTCGTCAAATTCTAGTCTCACCAGCCCTCACCAGTAAGATTCGCTGCTTTCTTTTCTGTTCCAGCAAAGGGTCTAAGACTGAGAAGCTACCGTCCCACATGTTTGAAGTTGACGAGGGAGAGGAGGTAAGATGACATTCCTGAACATTCCTTTTGTCCTTAATGGATTTCTGTGAAGCTGCTTTGTGACAACATCAGTTGTAAAAAGCGCTATACAAATAAATTTGACTTGACTTGACTTGACTTGAACAGAGGACTAAAATTCTGTCAAGTTGGACTTGACTCGGTTGGTAGCTTTATATGGTTGAACCATTTTGTGTGTGAGCAGTCATGATGTGTTGGGTCTAGTCTGCGCCTTAAGGTCTTAATACAGGAAGTGATCAGTTTTGGTGACTCAGTTCATTTATTCACTCAGTTCCTTGCTGACTAGTTGTATGAATTGTGAGGTGGGTCGTTGCTACAAGCCACACGTGTGTGAGAGGCCGAGGAGTCAGCACAGAGGCCCATCAATTGAAACCTGAGCCTCTGAAGCTAAAAATAGCCTAAAATGGGATGTCCGGCCAATCTGTACAAAATTAGACGGAAAGAGCGAGTGGCGATTAGAGAGGAAAATGCTTTTCTCTGTGTTTTGTGTTCCAAGAATGCACTGGCCATCAGTGCTGTTTAGAAGCTGTCCTGTGTTTAGAAGTTCACACAACTTTACATCATTCCCTGTTGGGTCATTGATGATATCACTGCTGTGATCTGTGTATAGCATGTGTCTAATGATTCTGTCCTTAGTTTCCAACATTGTCCTCTTTTGCCCTGATATGAGAAAGTTCAAGGACATTAGTGTGGCCCCATTTATGCCTATTAATCAGATGGTAAAAAAAAGCATTTAATCCATAGAGTGGGTAATGGAAGAGGGAAAGAGGGAAGGTGATTGATCCCTTAGTCTCAGAGGAGCAGAGAGAGAGGGAGAGAGAGGAGGGGAGGTGGGGTGGACAATCATGGAGGAAAGGGGAGGGAGAGCTCTTGGACAATTATATTACAGCAGAGAGCTACAGAAAGGCACATTCATAAAGGACACCAGAACACTTCAATTAGATTAGAGGGAATGTACGCTCACACACACACACACACACACACACACACACACACACACACTGAGAAAGACACAAACAGCACAATCTCACCGCTTAGCTTAGGGTTGTGTATCATTAGTACCAAAACTAAGGAAAGAGCATAAAAGACAGTAATCATCCAAAGTTTATTAATATCTCATCACTCATAGAAATACATCAGTGCATCTGTTAATTTAAGTATATGATTTTGAATGTAATGACTGTATTTATCAGGCTTATACTGTTTTTGTTAAAATGTAATTATTTTTTTAAAACAATGTGGCAGCCAGAATGGAGTTTGTAATACTGTATTCACATTAAAATGAGAGGTGTATATGTAGATGTGTATACATTTGAATATGTATTGTACATTTGTAATGTGTTTACATGATCATGACTATAGTATATGTACATGACTATGATAATAATAATAATAATAATAATATCAAAAGATTACAAGGACCATACTTAGTTCTGTTTAACAGTATGTCAGAAATAAAAATCTTAATTTGTCTTTTTTAAATGGGTTTTGCTGGGACATTTTATATGTTACAAATCTCTGAATAACTAAATGTAAATACATGATATGTATTGTGTATTGTAAAAAAAAGTACCATGATGTTTAGGGCTGAATGATTTGGGGAAAGCATCTAATTGTAATTTTTCGGACCAATATTGCGATTTAAATGCGGATATTTTCTATACATTAATTCCCATTCCTGTTTTTTTGGCCAAGAAGACCAGAATATCCACTGTTTGAACGCTGAATGAACCATAGTTGTGGTTGTGATATGTCACATATAGAGCACACAGGCTGGTCAAACCCATCACTCTCTCTCTCTCGCCCTCTCTCTCTCTTTTTCTGTATGTATACACATACATGCATACATGTAACAACCTTGTTTGTGTGTGTGTATATATATATATATATATATATATATATATACAGTATATACTTTGAAAACATAGAGATGGCTGAATACTGAATACCCTGTCCCGGACGTTTTCAGTAATATATTCCATTAAAATATATTTAAAAAATGCATTTGGAATACATTTATACAACTTTATACAACACTTTCTTCAAGTCATTATTCTGTTAATACATTTGATGAGAAATTTGCTTATCATTATTTAAATGAAGTTCCAAAAATTCTCAACTTTTGTTCCTCTCTCACCGCCTTCTTCAGTCCACGGCTGCTCCCACAATCCCCTGAGCAGTCCAGTACAACACAGATTTTAAACTCCCAGGCATGTCCGCTAGTGAGGTGTTTAGTTTTCTAATAATTGTCTCTTAACAGAGCCTTGTAATGCTGAGATTAATAACTGATCATCACATTGAATTATCAGTCTACTCAGACTTTAGCAGAGCTCAGTAACACTGAGATTAATAACTGATCATCACACTGATGTATCAGTCTACTCAGACTTTAGCAGAGCTCAGTAACACTGAGATTAATAACTGATCATCACACTGATGTATCAGTCTACTCAGACTTTAGCAGAGCTCAGTAACACTGAGATTAATAACTGATCATTACATTGATTTATCAGTCTACTCAGACTTTAGCAGAGCTCAGTAACACTGAGATTAATAACTGATCATCACACTGATTTTTCAGTCTACTCAGACTTTAGCAGAGCTCAGTAACACTGAGATTAATAACTGATCATCACACTGATGTATCAGTCTACTCAGACTTTAGCAGAGCTCAGTAACACTGAGATTAATAACTGATCATCACACTGATGTATCAGTCTACTCAGGCTTTAGCAGAGCTCAGTAACACTGAGATTAATAACTGATCATCACAGTGATTTATCAGTCTACTCAGGCTTTAGCAGAGCTCAGTAATACTGAGATTAATAACTGATCATCACACTGATTTATCAGTCTACTCAGATTTATCAGTCTGATCATCACACTGATTTATCAGTCTGCTCAGGCTTTAGCAGAGCTCAGTAATACTGAGATTAATAACTGATCATCACACTGATTTATCAGTCTGCTCAGATTTATCAGTCTGATCATCACACTGATTTATCAGTCACCCCTGCCCACCCCCAAACTAATACATAATACATAATAGAACCTAATAAATTACATTTAATAATTGCATGCTCAATAAAATGCAGAACAGAAAGCTTTTAGAGCATGTTTTACTGTCATTTTACTGTCCTCTTGAAATGCACTGAATGTTAACGATCTGTTATAACCTTGTTCTTCTTTTGGTCCGCTTGTCCAGAGTGCTCATGTTTTTGTGGCCATTTGAGTGAGTGTTTTTGCGTCTGTTCATAGTGTGGATGTGTGTGTGAATTAGTAAGAGAGAAAAAGAGTGACAGTATTTTAATCATGAGTGCCTGTATATGGCGTGTCAGTGAGTGACAGCTCTCTTGAGTCAGCATTAATCTGTGTGCATGGAGTATTAGCATGAAGTACATATACATTCTTAGTGTGGCAAAGAAGACCACACTGGCGCTGAAGTGCATATCTGGGTAACTGCACAAAAGCAGATGGACATGAAACTTTAATAACTGTTTGTATGTGTGTGTATTTGTGTGTGTCTGTGTGTATGTATGAATTAGGACTCTTCATCGCTCTGCTCTCAGAAAGGAGGTGTGATGAAACAGGGTTGGCTCCAGAAAGCCAACATCAACAGCAGCCTTTCTGTGTCAATGAAGGTATCTGAATCTTTTAAGTACCAGCACCATTTGTAATCCTACAATAAAAGGCAGAATGATACCTCTTTTATGTAGGGAAAGAACACAGTAACACACAGAAAGATCGTAACTAATCTGTGCGTAGATATTAATGAGTCAGAGTCTTAGGACATTTTGCCAGTGAGACATTAGATCTAATAGTTACTCAGAACACTGATGTTTTAGGGCCTCTACAATATCTTTTTCTATAAAACTGTTTTAAAGCTGATTTAGTTTTACAGTGGGATAAAGCATGCATGTAATTTCCCCTAATTTCCAGAGACTGTCTGGATTGACATGTCATTGCCAAGTTCTACTCTAGTAGAATGTACAGTGTTAGTAACAGGAGCCAGACTCAATAACAACACAATGCACACCAGTCTCTATTGCTAGGTTTTGTTATTATATTAATATAGAATGATTCAAACAGGACTGCTATTGCAGAAGTTAATTCACTCTGAATTCTTTTGTCATACTACAGTAATTGCAGATTTGTATTGGATAAAATGTATCCGGTTCAAATAAGGCTTAAGCTTTTCTCATTGTCTGCTAATTAATTTCCAACCTTCTGACTGGAAACAAACAGTGTCAGCAGAGAGTCTATATATGTGCCTCAGTATATTTCATCATATGGATTTCAGAACTCTTCATTCAAATGTCAAACTTATTTCCTTAAGCCATGTTTTTGTAATCCTAGGTGTTCAAGCGGAGGTATTTTTACTTGTCTCAGCTCCCTGATGGTTCATACATTCTCAATTCCTACAAGGATGAGAAGAACTGTAAAGAAACCAAAGGTTCCATCTACTTGGACTCATGTATCGATGTGGTTCAGGTACGTCCTGTCAGTGCAGTTTACCAGAAAAAAATCTTCTCAGGCTTTTTGGCCGGATGTTTTATACTGCTGTGGCTAAGGCTTAGGTGAATGCTGTTTGATTATTCATAAGATAAAGGGTTTACTGTAGATCTGCGATTAGGAATGTAGTTTGATTTTGGACTCATGAATAAGCACTCACAAGGAAAAATGTTTCTTTGTGATGCCTAAATTTGCACTGACACTGTAGAGGATGATTAAAAAGAGAGTTCACAATAAATAGAAAATATGTCTCTTTAAATGTTGCATTTGAACACTGTTTGGATTATTGTTGCAGTACAGTAATATGAAAAGTTTGATTATGTATGATATTTTGGTACAAACCAGTTCTTAATGAAACGATTTAAGGCTGTACAGTATTTGATTTGTTAACCATTGTTGCAGTACTGACTTTTGCAATAGTGATATCATAGAAAGATGCAATGTGCAAATGTCCCAGAAATAATGTATTTGTCTGAATAATGCAGGCCAATCTTTAAGTGTAAAACATTATTGATTTACTAATGCATTGTTAATATATTGCAAGGTATGTCATATTTACAATATGTAGTGATATAATCATTTGATACCTGCATATGTTTTTAAAGCAGCCACAGAAAACTAAATTGTGTGTGCCTGCCTTGTAGTGTCCTAAAATGCGGCGGAATGGCTTTGAGCTAAAGATGCAGGAGCGCTACAGTCACTATCTGGCTGCAGACAGTGAGGCTGAGATGGAAGACTGGGTGAACACACTGAAACTCGCTTTACAGAGTGCCTCAGAGGACAGGAGGAACGGAACTGACTCTTCTGACTGTGCTTTAGGTTTGTTTTTCCCCCTCCATATATTGTTCACACAAATACACGCATGAATATTGTATGAACAGTACTGTGCAAAAGTCAGGGGCTACCCTTTATTTATTTATATATTTATTTCCAGTCAAAAGGCCCATTAAGTACAAGCTACTTCTTTTTCACAAGATGCTTCCAATTTCATAAAGAAGGGTAACATGTTTCAACTGTCCCCATCACATAAACAGTACTTATAGCTTTCAACTTTGAGGGAGAAATTCAAATTCTGCTCTTGCTTCAAATCTGAAAAAATCCACAAGTATTTCTGTCCATCCTTGCACTGTGCATAAACAGTTCAGTGCTGGGCATCTAAAATTATGTGTAGCAGCCGATAAGCTGTTAATGAGAAAAGGAAATAGACAAGTAAATCTGCAGTCAAACAAAGAAACTGATGATTGGATTAGTTGGATCGTGAGAGACAGAAATGCAACTAACTTCTAAGACTGAACTTTGAAGAATGCCACATGCACCCCAGAATCATACAAACACAAGTTACATAATAGAAATTGTGGAGAACCATTCTACCCTAATACATTGAGTGGTATTATTTAACACAGAAGTTTTTCTGGCCTTATAATGGAAGTGAAAATGAGGTTATTTATTTAAGTAATGCTATTAAGATGTGGGGCGGCACGGTGGCGCAGTGGGTAGCGCTGTCGCCTCACAGCAAGAAGGGCCTGGGTTCGATTCCCGGTGGGGCGGCCAGGGTCATTTGTGTGTGGAGTTTACCTGTTCTCCCCTTGTCTGCGTGGGTTACCTCCGGGTACTCCGGTTTCCTCCCATAGTCCAAAAACATGCAGTCAGGCCAATTGGACATGCTAAAATTGCCCCTAGGTGTGATTGTGTATGTCTGTCTGTCTGTCTGCCCTGCGATGGACTGGCGACCTGTCCAGGGTGTATCCTGTCTTCTGCCCAATGACAGCTGGGATAGGCTCCAGCACCCCCACCGCGACCCAGAAGGATAAGCGGTTTAGATGATGTATGTATATTAAGATGTGACCATAATCTACCATTATTATAAACCATTATACAACCCCATTTCCAAAAAAGTTGGGACGCTGTGCAAAATGTAAATAAAAACAAAATTCAATGATGTGCAAATCATTTAAACCCTATATTTAATTGAGAATAGTACAAAGACAACAAATAAAATGCTGAAACTGAGAAATTACATTTTTTTTTAAAATATGTGCCAATTTTGAATTTGATGCCAACAACATGTTCCAAAAAAGCTGGGACAGGGGCATGTTAACCACTGTGTTTCATCACCTCTTCTTTTAACAACACTCTGTAAGTGTTTGGGAACCGAGGTGACCTGTAGTTTTGAAAATGAAATGTTTTCCTGTTCTTGTTTGATATAGGATTTCAGCTGCTCAACAGTTTGGGGTCTCCTGCGTCGTATTTTTCATTTTAATATTGTGCCAAATGTTGTCAGTGGTGACAGGTCTGGACTGCAGGCAGGCCAGTTTAGCACCCAGACTCTTTTAATACGGAGCAATGCTGTTGTAATACATGCAAAATGTGGTTTGTCACTGTCTTGCTGAAATAACCAAGGCCTTCCCTGAAAAAACATGTCGTCTGGATAGCTGCATAAGTTGCCAAAACATGTATATATCGTTCAGCATTAATGGTGCCTTTACATATGTGCACATCACCCATGCCATGTGCACTAATGCACCCCTATACCATCATGAATACTGGCTTTTGAACTGTGCACTGATAACAAGCTGAGTGGTCTTTAGCCCAGAGTACACAGTGTCCATGATTTCCAAAAAGAAATTCAAATGTTGATTCGTCAGACCACAAGACACTTTTCCACTTCCTCTCAGTCCATTTTAAATAAGCTCAGGCCCAGAGAAGGTGGCAGCATCCTGTTTACATTTGGTTTCTTCTTTGCGTTCTTTGAGTTTTATTTAGCATTTGTGGATGAAGCTGTTTTCAAAGACAACAGCTTCATCCACATTTGTTTTTTTGCCTTGTCCCTTGCATACAGAGATTTCTCCAGATTCTCTGAATCTTTTGATGTTATTAGATTAGATGATGAAAAACAAAAAGTATTTGCTATTTTCAGTTGAGAAACGTTATTCTTCAATTATTGCACTATTTGCTCATGCAGTCTTTCACAGAGTGGTGAACCCTTCCTCATCTTCACTTCTGAAAGACTCTCTGAGATGCTCTTTTTATACCCAATCATGTTACTGACCTGTTTCCAATTAAACACAACTTTACCAGCTTTTTGTTGCCCCTGTCCCAACTTTTTTGGAATGTGTTACTGGCATCAAATTCAGAATGGGCATATATTTTTCAAAAAACAATAAAATTTCTCAGTTTCCACATTTAATATGTTGTCTTTGAAGCATTTTCAACTAAATATAGAGGTTAAATTATTTGCACATCTTTGCATTTTGTTTTTATTTACATTTTTCACAGTGTCCCAACCTTTTTGGAAATGGGATTGTACATCATTAAAGACACTTCGTCAATATATCAGCAACCAAGTCCTGCTAATTTGGTGCAGTTTCCTGCAACTGCCTTCAAGCATAAACAATTACACTGACAAATATATCTCATATACGCCATGCCTAAGAAATGCTTAGAAGATAACATCCACGTTATCAACCTTGTTGTTATTGCGGTACCACTTTAGCACTTCCCTTTCCTTGTTTGGTACTTCACTTTCATTGAGGAAGTTGTTTGAAAGTGTCGGATATTAAAATTTCCTGTATGTCAGAAAATGGCTCTTTCAGAACCTCTACACAGTCTAAGCGCAGTAGTGTTACGCACATGCGTGCGTTTGAGTGCGCGCATGTGTTTTTCTTTTCGATTATGAGCCTGGATGGTGCCTTTCATTATAGCAGAGCTCATCCCACTCTTCTGGCCCTCAGAGTAAATATTTTCTCCTGCGCTGGCAGATTGGTGCAGGGCTGTGGAGGGATTCTGCTGTTCTGTTAGAGTTTTGTTGGCCAAAGCTCAGCACAAGCTGGGGGAAATTAAAAACTTTTTACTTTTCACTTTTAATGACCTGAGTGGTTAATAAGCGGTTAAGTAGATGAAAAGTGATAAAAAGGTGCAACAATTTGATTAATAATTTTTTGGAGTTGTTTGCAATATTAGTTTCAGCATGGAAAACTACTTTTTAAGTACTCTAATAGGCTGTGTGGTGTAACCTGTGATATATAACACAGTAAACCATAAACATGATAGCATGATTCAGAGGATAATTAAGAAACTTGCGCAGAGGTCTGGTGATGTGGCTGTTTCTTCTGCTTTGGCCTTGTTCTTTATCTTTTGCTGGTTGTTTATGCTCCCTACATTCTGTCAGCAGTGGCCACATTTCAAGTTTTGCTGGGCAAAGATCTGTAACAGTGAAGTCAGCAGCAGCCCTAGTAACATTTTCCACATGTGACAAATGTTAACCAGTTTCTCACAGTTACTCATTCCTAGGGCTTAATATGCTCTTACCAGGTCTCCTATATTAGTTTATCATTACAGAAACCCTCTTTAACTAGGTCTACAGAAACAGAATCTGTGTCTTATGTTATGCTGACTATTTCAATTTACTTCAATAAACCTTAGATTTTAGACAGCCCGGTAGCTAATGTCTGTGAGCTAAAAGACCATTGTTTCTATTTTTATTTTTCCTGTATAGCCGTAAAACTGATAGCCATATTTGATGACACAGTAACACTTTAAGGAACACATATTGGGGGGTTTATAAGGTCTTATTCTTGGCTTAGTATAGCCCAAATTAGACACTTCTAAATAGTTTATTCACTATGTATTAACCTTTATTCATTATGACCCATATTAGTACATAATTGTGAGTCTGATATGTATAATCACTAATAATTGTATTAGTTGTAGTAATGTATAATACATAATTTGTTAAGACTGTGTTATGTGAATTATTGTGCATGAAGTAATGATCTATAATATCTATAATTGGCAACATGTTATGCCTTTAACGTCTAGGTAGCATCAAATGACTTCTGGAGTTGATTACTTGATGAGTTGGTTTCTCGGTTTTAAGGATTAGTCCAGGGATTAAGCCAAGTCCTGGGCTGTATTTTCTTTTCAATAGGGAATCTTCATTCAGAATACTGTGTAGTACAGGACTCTTCATTCACTGTTCACTTATACCTTTTCATGATATTTTGATCGTAAAACATATAATTGAAAACTATTCCTTTCATGAATACATTTATTTTTACATTTTTATAATGGGTTGAAACTAACATAATATTCCCTGCTTGTATGTTTTTGGCTACCAAAAAGCCTTTGAATGATCGTTACTTTAGGCTTAGAAGATGGTGCATTTTCTGCTTCTCGTGATCAAAGTAATCGCAATTACAAATTTAGACTCATCAGTCCATAAAACCTTACTCTGCATCTCAGACGTCCAATTTCGGTGTTCTAGTGCAAATTTTCTTCTTTTTTCTTCATTTCCTTTCCTCAGTAATGGCTTCCTGACAGTTACACATCCTTTAAGACCCATAATGTTGAGTTGTCTTCTAACAGCAGAACACTTTTGGGAACAGCTTTTGTTGGGAAGCGTAACTGATCGATTTTAAGGTTGGAAGGATGTTAAAAGTTAAAGTGTCAGTAGGATACACAAAAGTGAAGAGTGGACAAATTAAAAGCTAGTGGATTTGCTGTTATGTCTAGTGTTGGTGTTGGTGTTGTTTATGTTTATGTTTTGTTATTTAAGTTTTAGATCATTGGCATGCTCTAAGCCTGTACATGTTTCCTTTACTCAGATGAAGACACTGGTAGCCAGGGGAAACCAGAGAGCACTGTAGAGAATTTTGGACGGAGTCTCCATCCAGAGCTTATGAAGGTACATTAAATTATATAAACACAATCAATAAGCATGTAATGAATGTTTTTTTTCTTTTTTAATTAACTAACAAACTTTGCTCAGCACAAATACAGCTAAACATTTATTGGAGAGCTTTTTGCAGACATTTTTTTTCCTTCTCTCTCTCCATCCTTCTCCAGTATGCCAGAGAAACAGACCAACTCAATAAAATCAACAGGAATGAATGTCGGCAGAAGATCCTTTCTCTGGATCCTGAGACTCAGGTTGTTAGCTATTATGATCTTCTAAAGCTATATTAAAGTGTCTGCTGTTTTCCAGTGTCTGTAGCCTAATGGCCAAGTCTAGTCAATGTAGTGTTATTCTCTCCTCAGAGGCTGGATTTCTCAGGAATTGAGCCAGATGTGAAGATGTTTGAGGAACGCTTTGGACGGCGTTTCATGGTTAGCTGCCATGACCTGACCTTCAGCCTGCAAGGTTGTGTCAGTGAGAAAAATGATGGAGTTCTGACCAATGTAGGTAACTTTTAAGCCTGATCACTGATTTGTAATTTTGGTCATTTTAGCAGATCTATAAAAAATTCTTAGGCTTGCAGTTTACAACAGACATGCGATTGCTGACATCATCTGTAGCCTGCAGTACTGTTTACATTGTTGTTTTGATTGTGATTTCTTGCTTGATTGTTATACTTTGAATAAATGCTGTTTTAACTGAAAAAAGTTGGTTCCCTGACTGCCTTAAAATTATGAGGTCTTCTTCTTTTTGTGAACTTCTAATAGCAGGTTTACAGAGCAATCTGTTATGTTTTGCTGACTTACTAATGTAAGTTAAATAAACTCAAAATGTTAAGGCAGCCTGGTAACTAACATTGTTTTTACTTAAAACTTTTTTCTTTTTTTTTATTTAATTTATTTGTAGTGAATCTATTATTTTAATCATCTAAACCATAGCATGAGAGGATGTTAAGTCAGCAGTTAATATTTTCCCATAAGAACAGCTGCCAGAATGTACTTTTAGATTCCTCCAAATTTGAATGGGTTTAATCTATCGACAGACTTTTCTTGATGGACATTAACTAACCACACCCAGTGATCAATAATAAAGGGCACTAGACAAATCATTCTGACTTGACATAAGTTAGTATGTCTTGGCTGAGGCATAGCTGAACAGAGAGAAGGCTGTAAACCACAGTAATGAGCACACGGCTGCTCAGTGGAGGACTTTAAAAGGCTTATGGAAGAATGCTGACAGACAGTAGTGTGGTTGGAAAAACTGTTGTGCTGCTCCTGTGAACACACATGAGACTTTTAGCAGTGCTTAGAAAGCATGCAGTAGACGCTTGTAAGTAGATGTTTGAGTTTTTGTGCTACGCAGCACCAAATAGTGATTTTTTTTTCTGGGGTTACTCACGTTGCATAAGCATGACAAGTTTCATAACATTTTCATCATAGCATTAACACATAAAATCACAAAATGTGTTTTAAAAGCTTGAGTATCCACCAATACCGATCTAATATTTTCCTTTAAAACTACTTGGCTTTAAAGTGAAAATTAATATTCCTAATTTTTTCACTAAATGCAAACAACAAAAAATGTTAAATTTACTGTTTACTCCCTAGTCCGTATATCCATAAATGAAAATTTGGATTGTATGGATTATGTGGACATGTGATATTCAATCCCTCTGTTAACATAAACGGCTTTTTTATGTTAAAACAAGCAAAGCTGTACAGTTTTGTTATACTGTGTTTTAGTTTGTTTGCTAATGTTGCCTTATGCTTCTTGTTTACTTAATCCCCTTCCCTCTGACCCCAGGTGGAGCCTTTCTTCATCACTCTGGCTTTATTTGATGTGGCCAAAGGTTGCAAGATCTCAGGAGACTTCCATGTGGACCTAAACCCAGCGTGTGTAAGAGAGATGCTGACAGAGGGACCTCCTCAGACACCCACAGAGACTGACGGAGGAGAGGTGGGGGACGCAGGCAAAGTCAAGGGCCTACCTATTATTCAGAGGGTCTCCGAGTCTCTTCTGCGCTTTCCAACCCAAGTAGGTGATTTCATTTTGTATTATCCCTAAATATTAGTACGAACAACAGAGTTAACCCCTTTCCCCTACACAAAAAAAACAGCTGTTAGTCTAGTCTTTTCCTGTAATATTGTTTTCCCATTGATTTTAATATGTATTGAACATAATCTAACAAAGCCTAAAAATCTAATCTAATACTCTCTAACAAGCAAGCACATGAATAGGGATATACTTCACCCGTCAACTACCTTTTACTGTACTGATTAAACAGATCAGTAATAAACATTTACTGAATTCTGTTCTAAATGCAATTTCACAATTGCTCAGAAACATTCATTGTGCATCCAACAATAAAAGGAGCATTGTGCTACTTTTAGAAAGTGATAGAAAACACATGTTGATTCTTTTACTATATCCTGCATGGACATGCATGGGTTGCTACAGCTTTTGCAGCAGATTTACAAGTTAAAGGCCTTTGCTAAAGTCACTGAATGCATTGCCAGTGAAACATTAGTTTTGATAGAGTTAAACTGTTTTCTTATTATTCAGTCATCATAACACCTGTATTTTGTAATCACTACTGAAACTGTAATGTAAGTTATTTAGTTATGAGTGTGAAGAACTGCGGTTGGTTGGTTTATATGTACTTAAGCTGTTGTTCGTGAAAGTGCTGAATTTTGATGCCACTCAGTGCAGAGAGGTTTTTGTTGTAGGCTTATTATTCCAAGACCCTCCTGGTTCATACATGTGTGTGCACTATGTAGGCCAGTCACATTTTATGACCAGTGTTGTGTTTGAGTCAGAAGCAGCTCGAACAATTGGAGGCTTTATTCAGCCACATCATTACTGCGCAGATCATAAACAGTGGCCTGAGAGTCCTCTGCTTTCACTGCCAAACTTGAAGCTTATTGGAACTGATGAAAACTAGAGCTTAATACAGCACAACACAAGACCAACTCTCCCGTCTGAGACAGGGAGACTCTGCTTTTCTCTGGTTATTGACATAGAGAGAGAGAGAAAGAGAGAGAGAAAGAGAGTGGGAAAGGAGGAGTGGTAAGAATGAAACAGCAAATGATGGAAATGGTTGATTCTATAAAACTCCTCTTTTAAAAGATTAATTAGTAGCAATGCAGACTGTTAAGTAATGTTGAAAAATAATTTTATTTTACCTTCAGTGAATCTTTAAAAAATCAATAAAATGGATAATTGCCTAATAGGCCTTTGTGTACCGTAGTCCCTGCAATGGTGCTCTCTGGTCATAATTTGCCTATGCATTATAAATTGCCTCTGACTTATGCAAACAAGTAGAGCACACACACTACATGACCAAAAGTATATGGAGACCCTGAGTGGGTTTGGCAATTTCAGCAAGACCTGTTGCTAAAAGACGCATAAAATCAAGCATACAGCCATGCTGTCTTCATAGACAAATGCTGACTGTAGAACATATCTTACTGAAGAGCTCAGTGACTTTCAACTTGACACTGTCTTAGGCTGCTACCCTTCTAGCAAGTCAGTTCATCAAATTTCTGTGCTGCCAGAGCTGCTTTGGTTGACTGTTGTTGTGCTGTTGTGCAGTTGTGCTGTTATTGTGAAAACATCAAGGAGGAGCATCAGCTCAGCTGTGAAATGGTAGGCCTCTGCTCACAGAATGGGACCACTGAGTACTGAAGCGCGTGAAAATGGTCTATGCTCAGTTTCAGCACTTTCTACCAATTCAGACCTCTGGAAACATCATTACTACTGTTTGTCAGGAGCTTCATGGATTAGGTTTCCATGGTGACCACACAAGCTAAACAGCCACACATAAACATGAGAGCGTCATACACAGTGCCGAACGTTGGCTGGAGTAGTATAAAGAACACTAACATTGAACCTCAAAGCAGTGGAAATGTGTTCTCAGGAATGATGAATTATGTGTTGTTACCAGCCAGTCTGATAGATATATCTGGGTTTGGCAGATGAAAGAGAACTCTACCTGCCTGAATGTAGCACCAACTGCAGGGTTTAGTGGAGGTATGGTAACGGTCTGGGGCTATTTGTCTTGGTTTGGGCCCCTTATTTCTAGAGGAATTGTATTGCTACAGCATACAATACCCCGGTGTGGAAGAACATGACTTGGTGCAAAGGAAATTGACTAGCCTGCACAGAATGCTGACCTCAACCATAGCAAACACCTGCCAGAAATGCAGACTGTGAACCAGGCCTTGTTGCGAATATGAGTGCCCAACCTCACTAATGCGAATCCCCACAGCCATGTTCCAAAATCTTGTGTAAAGCTTCCCAGAGGAGTGGATGGTGAGATAGCAGCAAAAAGGAGGGTCAGCTGCATATTAACACTCATGGTTTTGGATAAAGATATTCAGCATGCACAAATGAAAGTGTTATTTGGGTGTCTACAATCTTTTGGCCATGTAGTGTAGCTATTAGCTTACTGATATTCTTTCGAAAATTTCACATTATTAGCTAAGCTGTAATTTTTGTTAAATTTACAACTTTCACTTTTTACTCAAAAGTAACAGTGTCAGTAGAGATCTTAGTCTGTTATCATTGAGTGTCCTCTTTTGCTTTTTTATTTGTTCCTGATGCAGTCTATACATGCCTCTGAGACTTCACTCCCATCATGCATACACATATGAACACACAAACACAGCATAAATAACAAACATGCCTTAATGGAAATTTAATTATGTTTACTGAGGCACCAGCTATTATAATTTTTTTTCTAAACAGAGGAACATTCAGGGTCTTCTAAGATAAAAAACAATGACCTCTTGCATTTGCCAGATATCAGGAATTGTCTACAGCAGGTCCAAAATGTCTTTAGAGTAAACAAAGATCCCCTTCAGATGAACTATGGTATCATATTTAACAGTCTCTGTAGCGCAGTCAGTTTGAGGCCTGGAAGGTGGAGGCTGGACTGTGGCCCCTTTAACAGAGGTGACGTCCCTCTTCCTGTTTCGTCTTCTCTTCAGCTGATGCAAGAATAGATCTGCAGATACATGCATTAATCAGAACTGCTTCTTTTAGGTTCTATATTGCTTAAAGTGTGATTCGGTTTTACTGAAAAGCAACCGAGTAATAATAATAATTTCATTTACATCATACAAAAAATACATATTAAGAGCTTTAGACTGTCTACAAATAAACAACTAAATCATGTAAATAAAGCAGTGTATGTCAAAAAAGAACATAAAATTAAGAGAACATATATGTTTAATAGAAAGTAAAAATGCCAATAAAGTAAAAAAAATATTGTCAGGGGCTTCTTTATTTTTATCATTTGGAGAGTTTGCCGTCTAGATTAGTGATGTGTCTATCTGAAGTGTAGATGATGTTGCCTGATTCAGCTATTGCAGTGCTTGCCAGGAAGCTCCTCATCCCTGCTATCTTTAGTGTGGGCTGGCGATTCCTTAAGATTTCCTGCATTCCCTGTCTGGTCTTCACACCCCATGTGAGATTGTTCCTCTGTTATTGTATTATATTTTGTGATCGTACTATCCAGGCTTACAGTAGAGTGTGGCTGGTTGTCAAGTGATGTTGTGTCAGTATTTAAATGCTGCTTTTTGGGGATGCCTAGCAGATCAGCAAAAGTTTCGTCAATGTTTGAGAGCCACTCTGTGAGTAAGAAGTTGTGTTTGTTAGGAAAATGATCTCTTGTAATAACTGCTCCTATTTCTAAATTATAATGTGTCTACATAGAGAGTTACCATTTGTATCGATGTCACCATTTGGATTGTCAGTGTCACTGGTAAATTCACTAGTGAGGTTAGCAAGAGCCTCATCATAAATGCCATATTTAGTAATGTCTAGAGAAGCCAACCACTTGTTCTGCTGGACTGTTGAGTCATCTTCCATGGAAGAAACACACACATGACAGTGTGAGTTCCTCGGTTTTGTTGATTGTGGGGTTAAAGCCTGCTGGACGCTGGCATGTGCCTGGCTCTTTAAGGTTAGAGGGGTTCCACATCTGTAAATTATAAGATGAAGAAAGTATGTTAGGTTAGTACTCTGGACTTTATTGATAATTTTATAATTCACAGTACAGTAAATGTACATTAGAAAGCTCAATTTCTTGTTTGACAACATCAGATGTTCTCTGGACGACTGCTTCCATTTCAGTGTTGAATGCCTCTTTTTCTTTAAGATATCCTTCATTTTGGCTGTTCTTTATGTCTGTTGTATCCAGATCCACACGTGACAGAGTGATGTTCCTCACCCTATGAGTTAGGGGGTAACCAGGTGGGAGCCTGAAAGCCCACACTAATTTCATTGAGCCATATTCCTCAAGATTAGGAGGGTTCCAGAGCTGTAAGAACAAAACATTATTAGAAAAAGAAAGTTTTAATGAGTGCTTATTTTTAGAAGCTACATGTTAATATAACAGTGCTGATACCTGAATGCATTTAAATATAATTGAGTGTTTAGAGAATTTATCATCTAGATTGTTAATGTGCCCATTAGATACGTGATATTGCGTGATTCAGCTATTATAGTGTTATTGGCAGGAACCTCTTCATCTCTTTTATCAGATCATGCATACTCTTTGAAGTCTGGTGCTGGTACTATAGTCTCCATCTGGTCCTCACATCCCATGGTATTGCCCAGGCTTACAGTCAGGTCATTTTACTGCTGCATTCTGATTACTACTGCTTATAATTATTAATTGTTATTTATCTAACTATGTGATATTGGTGATGATTAGGGTGGCCAGATTGGCTAAATAGCCACTTTACGTGCTAGATATGTGTCCATAGCAGCTAACACTGACCGTGCTGTCAAATCAGTACTGTGAGCATAATCACACAAAAATCTACAGTTACAAAGATTTATGTATAGAGTCAAGCAAAAAAAACACTCATTCTGCCAACATACATACTAAAAACTGTTATAATTACCTACATAGCTAGCAACAAAACAAACGTTACTCAGTGCCCTCTAAACATTACAGCACCAAGTCAAAAGTTAGAACTTTTTTCATTTTGTTTTCATAAATCTTTTGATGTCTCAATAAATGTGTTTACTGCTTTCTTTTATTTAAATTTATTTGCATCAACTAAACACCCAAAATCTCAAATAATTACAATTATCTCAATTGCTGTTAGCCGATTGTGTAATAATTGGGGCAGGTCTAGTGATGATAGAAGTAAATTCTTACCTGTAGATGGGTGTGTATTTGTCACATAAGCAGGAACAGAAAAACAGATCTGCATCATGGTCCCCCCCCAGAAAATGGTCACACATACAGTTTGTTGTTTTTTCTTGTCACAGAATTACTTTTCAGTTGGTGTCTCATGTGCTCTCCAACCTGAATACTCAATAAGTTATCACAAATCCGGTGAACCATAAATGCAAGAGACATATTTGTTGTGGTGCTGGGTGTTGGAATGCTTTCTGTGTGGTAGAGCTCATAAGCTGGCTGTAGCATGCTATTGAGGTCCACTTTGATGCACCTGGCAAATCTGCATGATTACATGACGTTCTGCACTGTAGGTCTGCCTTGAAAATGACAACAGACAATTTGTCGTTTTTATGACAACATAGAATTGACAATATAAAATAACAACATAGAATTTGTAATTTAAATTTTTTTTATGACAATGTTCTGATGTTATAATTTGATGTGGGACCTATTTTATTGAATTACAATAAATTGTTCTTCTGTTGGTGGAGGGAAATGCTGTGTATCATATACCCACCTACCTGAATGCTCGAAGCTAAAGACTGTTGAGGGAATCATGAAGCTGGAAGGTGTTTATACTGCAAAGCTCCCAAGATGGAAGTGCCATATTGATGTTGATGTCCACATACGACGGATTGTCGTGGTTGTAGATTTATGTGTCTGCATGTGACACATAATGCTGAGTACTGAGTGCCACTGCTTTTTTACTATGTGGGTCTGATGTGGTAAACATGTTACGGCCGTTTCATTTGCAAATCAAACACGTTCTGCGTGTACGTTTAGGCAAGAATTGAGTAAAACATGGGAACATTGCATAACAAATGTTGTATGTACTGTGCTGTTTTAGGCATCAGAGAAAATTCTATTTAAAATCTATTTAATTTGGCAGTAATTGTTTATTTACTCAGAAAAGCAGGAATGTTAGAATAATACTGATATAATAAGTAGCCATTTTATGTATACCAAAGTGTTCACTGAACCATTTTAAAAACTCTCCTTTGGGCAGCCTGGTATTACTTGTACATACTTTTCCCATTCCACCTTAAATTTATGAATGTAACTGCTGCGCCATTTGAGGTGGAACAGGAAAGTTTGAATGAGAAGCTGGCAAAGGATTCTGACTTCAGCTTCGTGTTTTTTTTAGTGTTTGACAGTTTCTTATTGCAGATTAAACATATCAGGAAACCAGCTGGGGTGCTTATAAATGCAAATAAGTTCATTTGTCTTTCTCTTTGCAGTTTCATTAGCTACAGGCTAGGCGAGATTGTTGTCGTTGTTATAGTGACCAGCAATCTGCGTGCCAACCTTCAGGGATAAAGGTTGGCGAATTAGCAGTTATACATCAACTCCAGCGTTTCAGACCATTTACTATTAAAACTGTGTTAGAACGATCAGCAAAGCATTATTTCACTGCAAAGGAGGATTATTTTATTTTTACCTAAAAATCTCATTCTGCTGTGGAGCCGCAACAGGGCATTAAAAGAGCCGCATGTTGCCGACCCCTGGTTTGGGGGCATTGAGGAGAAATCTGGAACCAAACCTGTGTTCTTCTAACTACTTTACAACATTTCAACTGCTTTTAAAAAATTATTGTTGCTTTTTACTGTAATAATATTTGTTCATATTTCTTGTAATATTACATGGCGTTTTTATAAGCAAACACTAGTTTCCAGTATGTGCAAATGCAGGATTAGAAGTCTGGACCATGACTAGACCTGCACAAACAATGTTTATGGAAAACTTATATTATAATTATACAATTTTAGTACATCTTGCATGGATTTACATGGACAACACTTTGCATCTTTATATGCATCTTTGTATCAATGACACTTTAGGGACAGTGTTCATAAGCTACTTATGACAACTGACATAAATCTACATAAACTCACATATCTCCCGTAACAAACTCACATAACGTCTATGATAAGTGACTCTTTATTTGACTAACATAGACATAACACAGACTTTTTACTTTTTTAGCTGAAATGTCATAGCGCACATATATAGTGGGTCTTCTGTTCTTAATAGTGTCCCTTTGACATGCAGTGCTTAAAATAACTATTCATACTGTATAAAATTAAATATTGAACTTTAATGTTGCTATGCTTTCTAGGGTTGCCAGTTTCTAGAAACTTTCAAGTTGACATTATACCACAGATTTTTAAGTCACAGATTTTTGCTGACATAAAGTTGTGTTATGACATTTTCAACTTAACATTAAAGTAGTATGCTCATATCAGTTGCCATGAAAAGCTTATGTATGCATTGTGTAGCCTTATGCACACCATCCTTTATCAGTATTATATACCATTCGTGTTATCAGTATATAATATGAAGAGGAACACATTGTCCAAATTTACAGATCCTGGGATTGTATAGCCTCTCTGCTTTTCCATGAAAACATGTAAATCAGTTTTTATGTTAAGTGTTTTAGTGTCTTACTGTTCATCTTACTCTCAACATTGAGGGATTTTTGGAGGTTCACACTGCATTTTTAACACTGCTTTTGGCTGAGCTTCTCCCTGTTTTTTAGCAATGATACTATCATAACTACCAATCAGCTGTGCTCGCTACCTGTTGTTTCGATACGACACTTCCTCTTTTAGAAGGTGATCGACTACTAACTAGAAATCATAGTGTGGCTACTAAAAACAAGCTAAACCAATTTATGTTGTCATAGTTTTGGTCCTTGAAATTGCACAGTTCAGGATACTCAGGGACTGCAACTGTCACTGAAGACCCGTCTTCCTTTTGATCTGACTGGTCAGCACAGAAAAGAGTGCTCATGATGTGGCCTACTTGATTACTTTGAGTTGATTCTTTTTTTAACTCAGGGTGCCCAGAGTGCTCCGCACCATAGACAGCCACACGCAAAACACGTCTCTCCCACAGAAAACAACAGGAAAAGGTGCCTCTTGCCACAAAAAAGTCTAATGTGAACCCCTTGTAGATATAAAATTGTGTTAGATATGAAAAAAGCTAAAAAAACCCCACAAAAATACTTAATCTACAATCAGTATCATGATGTCAGTTCATTAGATGACAGATTCATAACAGATCACATTTTTACTAATTTTTTGAGTAATTCTGTGGTAATGAGCATCCTGTTGGTTATTCTAAGTTATTGTGTTAGACAGCTCTAATAGGTTTGATTCTTTATTTGTTTAACTAGAACAGGGGGCGCCAACCCGCAAACGGCTCTTTTACTGCCCTGTTGCATCTCTACAATTAGATTTAGAAATAGATTATTAGGTAAAAAAATAATCCTCCTTTGAAGTAAAATAAAGCTCTGTTATCTGTATATTAGACTATTTCTTAAGAATGACTGTGTCTCAAGGCGAATTGCACAAATTTCCTGCATATAAAATTGGATTCCTTTCACGTATCAAATATGGAAATATGTGCATCTTTGTTTTCTCCAGGGCGTCTTCTCTGTGACTGTCCCCAACACAGACATCTTTCTGGTGGCCCGGGTAGAGAAGGTCCTACAGAATGGCATCACTCACTGTGCTGAACCCTACATTAAGACATCAGACATGAGCAAGGTGTGTATGCTCCACTGGTAATAAAAAAATAACCATTTAGAGGACACACACACCCACAAAGTGGAGGGCTAATGGAGGAGCTGGATGAAGTATTGTAATATTATACCATTGGAGGCATGATGTCAGTCCTCTATAATGTTTTTAGCCCTTAGACACTCTGTAGTCCTTCTTTAAGAGTTATTTTGGAGCCTTTTGAAGTGTTGAGTAAGAGTTTTCTTGAAACCTTCTACATAAAGTTGACATAACTGTGCCATAAACATGTCATGACATATGTCATGTTTTGTGATAAGTTGTCATGACAGATTTCTTTAGTAATATATGTGTATATATATATATATATATATATATATATATATATATATATATATATATATATATATATATATATAAACAAATAAATTGTCCCCGTGTAACACTAGTACAGATGGAAATCTGGCCAACTTTTTTTTTCTGTGGGTCAGTCCAATCTAACAATGGGTGAGATGTGAGTGTCTCACTCCAAGGGGCCCCGTAAGTGTTCAGTCAGGATCAAAGCTGTAAATACAAAAACCATGAGAATCCAGGGAGAGCATAGAAGAATTTAAGATCTTGGATTGTCCTAAGCCCCTTATCAGTGTCCTCCAATGTATCAATGTCCATCATATATATGAAGGGCTTCATTCCTTTCAACAGATAGTAGTTATTCTAAATAGGAGATTGTTTGAATGGTAATTTATGAGTTTTTCTGCAAGTTGCCATGCATGCAATGAACTATAGGGCAGATAGAAGACAAATTTTTTAATGAACTTTGTTTTAATTTAATCCCTGAAAAAAAGGATGTCTTCTAATCTGTGAGGAATAACTAACAACTGTTCTATTAATCTTCAGGGTGTAATGTCTGCATATGATGAAATTTTATTTGTGTGTTATGTTATTGGGGAGATTAAAGGGTACTGCCTGCCTGATCTTCCGTGATAGAGGGTGTAAGGATAATACAAACAGAATTGATGAAAGAGGACATACTTGATGCGATCCTTAAGTAGAAAAGGCTCTGATAAGGTTCTTACAGACAAGTAGCTCTACTCTGTTCACATGTACTATGCAGCAGTTAGCCAGGTCACTTTTTACTGAGTGTAACAAACCTTCCATGTGGTCGTGCTGCTATAAATTAAACAAATGTCACTTTGGTTTAAGGCCACTTAAAACAACAATGGCAATTATTTAATAATACATATTAGGTCATCTTGTGATTATTGGCATAAGCTTTTCTTAAATACTTTGCTTTATAAATACAATATTCCATAATTGTTTATCAAAATAATATGTATACAGTACTTCTGATGCTTTAGTACATTTAAAAGCAAGTCATTTGGATTATATCCATATACATGGGAAAATATATATGGAAATTGTCACTTATGTTTATGTGTAATAAACTGTTTCTTAGAACTCAAATTGTGCTCTTTAGTAGGCCTCTTAAATAGGCCTTTTTATTTTTTATTTTTATTTTATATATATTTTACCATCTCAGCTGTAAATATGTCTCAGTATGTGTTTATGTCCTATTATAGGCTAAAAAACATAACTATAAGTCCATTTGTCTCCAAATTGTCAATGTCTTAAATTTTTCTCTGTCTTTTCGCTAGCTAGTAACTGCTTTATAAATACATTATTTAGTACTGTCATGACATAAGAAATGATGACGTCTGTCATGACATTTACCTGTAATGGTAATGGTAAACTATTATTGCTGAGCAAAATGTGTCATGAAAACTCATCACAGTATATGTCATTTGGCATGACAAGTTAATGGAGTGGTTATACCAGTGTTATGAAATGGGGTTCCAGTTATGTGTTGTGAAGCACTCAGTGTGTTATTTTGTTATGTGTCTGAAGATGTTTTAAACTATGTCATATAAATAATTTATTCTATTTTATTATATGTTACTAATTATCACAATATTGCTTATAATCACTGAGGCATTGATTTTGTTTTTTCAGGGGCCTTTTTCAGATTTAACTGGCACCTTTTATATGACGTTCCCTAAAGTAGCATTTTGTGTGTGTGTGTGTGTGTGACCCACAGACAGTTCAGAAAGTACTGAAGACAGCCAAGCAGACATGTCAGCGGCTTGGCCAATACAGGATGCCCTTTGCCTGGGCTGCCAAGTAAGCAAATGCTCTCAAAAAGCTGTTTACTGTGGATGAATGAGTTTCACAGGCTAACAGTGAAAAAAAAAAAAACATCTTTCTCTTAAGAAACCTAAAAGTTAGAAAGTCTATATTTTCACAAGAACAGTAGATCATGATATATATATATATATATATACATATTTATATATATCTTTATACTATATATTTATACTATAAGGTCATAAGGTCCTGAATGAGTAATAAAGCTTGTTTAATGTCCTATAATGCTTTAGGTCTTTTCGAAACTCTGCAGTTCAAATGAATATATTCATAGCAAAATTAATCTCTTTCAGGCAGGTATTTAAAGATACCCAGGGCAGTTTGGACATGGATGGAAAGTTCTCCCCTCTGTACCGCCAGGACAGTAGTAAGATCTCTATGGAAGACCTCATCAAGCTACTGACTGACATCAGGAAGTGAGTATGTACATGCGGTGTTTGTGTGTGTTTGAGTGAACCGTATTTTGAGGTGAGTGTTTTAGTAGTAATTTGATTGGATCCTTGTGATCATTATTTTCATTATCTGGCACCTCTGCAATGGTTGATATAGTTATTACATTTGTGGACATAGTACCTAGTACCGGATTTACTGCTGAGTGTGGTATGACATTAAATGAATGTTGTGTCACGATTTACAAAAATAGAAAAAAATACAACAAGCACTTGTTGAAATCTGATCTGAGCATTCAGACCAGGGTTATGTCCACCCATGTAGTTCAAACGTTATTCATTTGGCATCTGGTCATTTATATGAAGTGTGAACGTTCTGGACACTTGTATGTGGTTTTAAATGCGAGTGTTCACTAAGGATACATAGATGTGACTTTAGCTAATCAAATGAAAGTCACTATCTAGGTTAGCTGGTAGAACACCAGCTTCTCTGGATGAATGGAGTTTTGCATACTTGTCCTTGTTTTTCACAGACCAGAAAAAAGCAAGTTGCAGATAATTCCAGGGCAACTGAACATCACTATCGAGTGTGTGCCTCCGGACATGTCAAGTAAGTCTCCCTGATCCATCAGTGCAGTTTCCCCCTAGATTACACTTTAATCTCTTGCAGTGAATTAGGTCGTGTTCTCTGGAAAACATGTAGTTAGCAGCATACTGCATGATACACATTAGCGCATGTTGCTCTGAAAACTGGCAAATAATGTACGTTCAGAAATCCAATTTGCTGTCAGAAATTTGAAATATTGTTTAATACTTATGATTCTGCTTATATCTGTGTAAAATTATTTTTTTTACTCTCACAGTGCTGTAACATATTTCAGCATTGTAGTATGAATAATAATAAGGAGAGCAAATCAGATCTGACATTCCTCTGAAATGTCATTTTATTGCATGTCTTGATTGACATGAATCAAGTCGTAATTTCATTAGGCTTCCAAGATTATTAAAAAAAATGAATAATACAGGTAATTTAATGTATTTTTTTATATATTATTTAAAATTATATATATTTAAAAAATATATTTAAAAATGCTCAGAGAAACAATAATATTAGAATAGCTACTATTATTAATAACAATATTTAGAATATTAATACAATAGGTAATGATGTTAATGTGTTTATTCAACTCTTTAAAATCCCAGGCTTAATACATACCAAGTCTTATTATTTAGTAACTACTGGGACTTCAGTGCAAATTAGCTGAGCTATTCTTTGGTTGTAGAAATATGTAATAAAACTTTGGGCCTGCTGGAGGGCCCTGGCCTTTTAAAGGGTTAACCATTTCTAAACCTCTTCTCAAGGTAGAATTATTTGTAGTTAGCACCATTATTATTTGTAGCAGGATCAGTTACCTAGTTTCATTCTTCATTAGTCCTTTATTAAATTAAATTAGGTGTGCTATAAATGGAATATAACATATATCCATGTGATGGTTGGGCGAATCTGGGAAAAATATGGAACCAAACCTGTGTTCTGCACAGCTGCATTTTTGAACATTGTTCCCTTTAGCAAGGCACCTCATGTAAATGAGAAAGTACTCAACACAAATTCCCTGGTAAAACAAAGCTTCCTATCTCTCCTTTCATATCCCACAACATATCTTTATGCATATAATAATCTCTCTCAAGCATATGAAAGACATCCAGTGACCTTCCTGTTTTAGATTCAGTCACCTCATCCTACATCCCAGTAAAGCCCTTTGACGAGCAATGTGAGAAAGTCTCTGTGGAAGTGGAAGAGTTTGTACCAGAAGAGGCTAAGTACAATCACCCTTTCACCATCTATAAGAACCACCTCTACATCTACCCCCAGCAGCTCAAATATGAAAACCAGAAAACCTTTGCCAAGGTAACGTATAAAGAAATGTAGACTAAAGTAGGGGTGGACATTATGTCAAACGTATTACAATCCTTCAAGATATTTCATGATACACAATATGCATTGCAGTATTTGGGCTTTTTGAGGTTTGATAAATTGAAACAGAAAAAAAGTCCCAATATTCATCCATTTAAAAAATACTGTCAAAAACTATGAGTAGGGTTATTTCCATTTGGTGTTTCATGTACTGCGCTGCACTTAATTCACTATTTATGCCTTCCTTGTAGTTAAACTACTACTAAGTGCTACTAATGTTGACTATGTGCTCAGAAAAGTATATTGTCATGTAATGTGATATTATTTATCACAATAATGGTAAATATTGTTATAGTTTTACTAACTAGATTCCATGTAGATTTAGAATTTAATCCAGGAATTGCTGTCCACTGCAATGAACAAATGGAAACAAAGAAAAGATTGTGATCTATATAATGTGAACAAAAACTCTGAAGTACACTAGTGACTATTTTATGTCCCTAACCTGTAGGCACGGAACATTGCTGTGTGCGTTCAGTTCAGAGATTCAGATGAGGAGGGAGCAAGTCCAATGAAGGTGAACATAAATAGCCCATCATTCTTCTCAGTTTTGCTCTCAGTTAACGTTACAAATCAAAATGACCAGGGTTGAATTTACCCTACCTTATTAAATAAACCTTACATTACTGAACTGACAGCTACAGTTTCAGTTTATATCTAGCTGGACACAAGTGCATACCATGGTGACTACATTTAACCCTGGGGGAGTTGGCTATGTAGGATTTGAATTGGGTGAGCTTGTCCTATATATATGTGAACAGAGACATTTATCAGGCTGTTCATTTGTCCCCACACCCTCAACTCTTTTCCAGTGTATCTACGGCAAGCCAGGGGGGCCACTCTTCACCACTAGTGCTTTTGCTGCTGTGTTGCATCATAACCAAAGCCCAGAATTTTATGATGAGGTAAGGTTCATTATTGTACGATTAATGCAGAATCGCCCTTTTTGACCATACCTTTGTCTGCTCAGAAAACATTACACCTCTGAATAGTACAAGGTTAGGTCTATGTGGTCTGATTGTCTGCTGAATAAGTAAAGTTAGATTATCACTTTATGTTTTTTTTCTTCCTCTTTCATTAAAATAAAGTTTCACCTATTTGAGTTCCTCTTGTCATTGCAAAACACTGGACAAGTCTGAACTGTGAATCAAACAAAAACTCACTCTAAGGAAATTGAGAAGTACTGAGTCATTTCATATCCAAACATGTGCCTTAAGATTCTCAGGACAGAGAATAAACACAAACAAAGGTCATTTCTGTTCATTTGGGTTATATGACTAGTCACAAGACCACCCCTACACAAAAAAAACCTTGAATTTCGTTTCAGAATGCTTAGCTAGAGTAGTAGGCTGAACCATGTCTGATGATGTCAGCATGTAAAGATATCAATTTCATTCAAGAGCATTTTATGTTTGGACGTTATGAGGCTGTGAGTGTTCTGTTGATGCCATCTTGTGGTGGGAGGGAGAATTTTCATTGATTTAATAGGATTCCCACAAAAAGAAAGATAATGGGTGAATAATCTCCATCATTCTTTTATCATATGGATGACAGAAATCTTACATTAAAAACTATGAAATTATTATAATATTTTTTAAAAGGAACACTGACTGAAGGCATGTAATCGTCAATGTAGTGTCTGATGCTATTAAAATATGCTTTATGAAACAAGCAAAGTACTTTATTTATTTGTAAAAATACATCCTCTACTAGTAGATTGCCATTTTTGTTATGACATCATATGGTTGTTCTTTCTTCCGTCCACTGAGCAAGAAACATGGAGGAAATGTCTAATTTAACTCAAAATATTAGCCTTTGAAATTTTAGAACGAGTGTGACATCCCCGCACTTTTTTTTATTTATTTTTTACACATTCTTATTTGGCTTACAATTCATATTTTAATAGTACTGGACCAGTACACTATATTAAGGTATCTAAGTTGGGGTTCTCCATAAGTCCCAAGACCACCCCACTCAAAAAACAAAAACCCTTGAGCAATGAACATTCTAGTTTTTGCTTTTTTTAACTAAAAGTTTGAGATTAAATTTAGTTTTCTAATGCCAAACAAGAGCAGCAGGCTGAATTATGTCTGGTGTTACCAAGAGATGTCCTCACCCCATTCCACAGTGTTTTGAAGTTGTGTTGGATGCCATCTTGTGGCGAAAAGAAGAATTGAGTTTCGTTGCGTTAATCAGATTCTCACTAAAGAAAAAGATTAAAAACAAGCATATAATCTCAATTACACTGATGCTGTTATCATATAGATGTCAGAAATCATACATCAAATTTAAATAAGAAATGATTATTAGGGTACTGGTTATTAAAGTTGTGTTATAATGACCTGATACAACGAAACCCTTACGTCTCCCTTAAACCTACCTATACAGATTAAAATCGAGTTGCCAGTCCACGTTCATGAGAAGCACCACATTCTCTTCACATTCTACCACATCAGCTGTGAGCTCAGCAACAAAGCCAGTTCCAAGAAGCGAGAGGGAGTGGAAACACTGGGTAAGAGTGTGCATGCAATAAGGCTTCACAAAATGTTTGTTAATTGTTGATCTTTGCAAGACGGATATTGCAGAAGTCTGTAATGTACAAATGACCCCTCTAAAAACCTGTATTGTTTTGTACTGTGTTCTGTGAGTATCTTGATCACTTAAAGGTCCAGATAAATACTTATCTATTTCTGAGCTTCAGTGGGCAAATATATAGACAAGCTTTGAGAGTATAATAATATCATTTGTAATATAGCAACGTATATTTTTCCAATTTGCTCATGTTAGCAGTAGCTATTGTCTTGTTCTTCAATCTGCCATTCTGTGTAGACTCAGTGGTCACACAGAGTCATGCAGCTTGTTTTCGAGCACCAATAATAACACCACTGACATATAGTCATGTTCTTCTAATAACGAGAAATAGGCTATAGCCTAAATATAGCCTAAATTGATACACTCAGATAGAAGGAGCTATGTCTACTAAAATATTTCATTGAGTAAAACTATTTTTTTCCACAGCAGCAATTATTATTACATGTTGGCTCAGACACATATTTACTAAGTTTTTGCCTTTGGATACTGTGGACTATCCAATTTCTGTAACTTGCACCCCCCCTTGGAAAAGGCAAGCTCTTCCCCTGATTCATCAAAACAATTGTGTCATCCGATCTTTAACCCTGTCACACTGTTAATTCACCAGTGCATTTGTAATATATTGTGAATCGCAATATGTAACAATATCATTGCAATATAATCTCTGATATCTTGTCTATTTCATGTATTTCTTGTGTGTATGTGCCTGTGTGTATGTATTGTTGTTAAACTAGTCCCTAAAAACAGACTGTGGTGTTTTACAGTGGGATATGCATGGAGTCCTTTGCTCAAGGATGGGAGGATACAGTTTTCAGATCTACAGCTTCCTGTTTCTGCAAATTTACCTGCTGGCTACCTTTATGACAAGAACCAAGACTCCAAAAAGGTAGGTTTTGCTATTGCCCTTCCACTTTTCAGTTAATATTTAATACTAAGTTTGTTTTAAAATGCTACACAGACCATCAGTATTCTGTACAAAATTAGGGCTTCCCCTCTTCTTGGACTAGTTACCCATCACAATCTATCTTGAATAGATGTTTTTTGGTTGACTAATTCCAATTTTTTTCATGGATCATCATCAAGTATTTAGTGTGTTTCTGTTCTTGTCAATTCAGCTTGTTGCTTTAAAGTCTACAGTGCAATTAAAAAGGGATGTCTTATTATTATTTTTTTAGGCTTCACTAGATTTAAATTATTAATTAATTCATTCATGTGATGCTTAATTATATAAGTCACTTTTTATGAAAGGAGGCAGCTTGTATATCTGGTGGAAACTCCTGCAGTGAATACCTGCCCTATAAATGTAACAGAGCACAATGCACTATTCATGCTTGCTGACTAGTGAAGTTCTTAATTAGTGGAAAAAGCATACGTAATGCGAAATTTCATCTCAGTAGAAAGACAAAAGCATTGTTATTGCACCTAGTTGATCCTCATTTCTGAAATGCAACCTGGACAAATGTGTTGATGCGTCCTAAAATGAGAAATAATTCAACGATTGAATACGACATAGTCTAATCTACTGCATACAAGCTGCAAAAACAAGCTAAATCACGCACACTACGTTTAGAATCAAACACATGTTGAGAAATGAGTGAGACCCACAGTGCAGAATATTACTGAATGCTGCTGTACGTTGATAATTAATAATCTTTATTTCTGCCTCAAGTCATCACCGGACATCAAATGGGTGGAGAATGCCAAGCCCCTGTTCAAAGTGAAAACCTATGCAGCGTCAACAATTTACACTCAGGTGTGTAAGGCTCAATGAGTCGGTAACATCCACATCATTTCAGTTCATTTAAATGTGTATTAAAATCCCTCAACATCTATCTTTGCCTCTGTTGAAAAACACAATAGCAGAAACTTAGTTTTGGTATTGACCCAATCTAGGATTCGCACCTCCAGAATTTCTTCCAGTACTGCCAGCTGATGAGGTCCGCATCAGAGGGGAGCTCAGCAGAGCTCATCAAATACCTAAAGGTGAGAGAGTTTACTGAACGAGACCATAAAGAATAGTGATCGGGTCAGACCACAGAACATACCCCTATACGATAATATAGATTTTATTTTATTGTAAATTTAACAGTATTCACTTGAATGTGACTGTACAGCATGTCCTTTTTTGTATGTAACCATAAAAAGTAGCTTTTTAACCTACTGAGTGTTTGTGCCTGTAAATGCCTTACAATACAAGGGGCAAGGGACAAACCGTAGTTTGTAATGTAAAACTGCAAAGACAAACGTAAAAAAATATATTTTAAAAATATTATTATATATAAAATTTTTAAATATTTTTTCTGGTCCTGTGGCAGTGCCTGCATGCTGTGGAGACTCAGGTCATCATTAAGTTCCTGCCCACTGTGCTGGTGCAGCTCTTCCAGGTTCTCACTATGGCAAGCAAAGAGCCTCAAGAGATCGCAGTTAACACCACACGGTCAGTCTTCTCCTCAAAGCTGTTTTGAAAAAACAATCTTTTCTGACCCTTTAATTTGTTAGCACCTTAACTTCTAGGCTGATTATTCAGTTTTTAACCTCAAGGCTAATAAGTAACTAGGGGTGCAACAGTACAACATGACCATACAACATGGTCATGTGTCACACTCTTAACTCCAGTCTCATCTGTAATTCGTGCAACATGGATAGTCATTATTTTCTCTATTCAAATAATGAGGTGTTGGATCATGAACCTAGTATGGAAAATTATGAGCTGAGTGTATTTGTACAGCACCATTAACACTATAAGAAGTAATTCAGAAATTACTATGAGACTAATATGTCAATTATGTATTTATGAGAATGAGGACTAAAGTAGTAATATTGTTCTCCACAGTGTAATCATTCACATTGTATCCCAGTGTCACGAAGAGGGACTGGAGCACTACTTGCGCTCTTTTCTTAAGGTACGTAGTCTTGGTTCTGGGCTTCATTTAGGTCCATTTCTATGTATGTTTTTATATGTATTGCACATGCAATGATGTACTGTCACATGAAATATTTAACATCCTAATTTTTTTTTATTTTACTTTAAATGGATGTGGGATTTATGTAAAACATCTCTAAAGTGTATTTTCTTCCATAGTACGTATTTCTCACAAACAACCCAGCACCAGGGAACTCAGTGACCACGCATGAGGTTTTAACAATGACAGTGACTGCCATTCTCAAACAGACTGCAGACTTCAACACCTGTAACAAGTTATTGAAGGTAACGAGTGTGTGTGTGCGAGCGTGAGAGAGAGTTTGCTGTTTACTTTTGTCACCGAAACCTCAACATGATCAAATTCCCTACTAGAAATAATGAAAAACTTTCTGATTCCAGTAGCATGACATTATCTTTCTTTTTGTGCAACATGCTATTCTTTCTCTAAACAGCAGGCAGCACTGTAAGCATTTTGGACTTAGTAACTCAGTTTTCCTCATAGTGGACTAACCCAGGGACTTTTTTCTTAAGCAGAATTAGTGACAAATACCACATGATTATTACTGATATATTCATGATAACAACAAAATGGCAAAAGGTATGTGGACACTAATTATCCTGTTCAGGTGTTTCAGTCACACCCATTGCTGACTAGTGTATAAAATCAAGCATTTGGCCCTGCAGTCTCCATAGGTAAACATTGGCAGTAGAGTGGGTCCTACTGAAGAGCTCAGGGACTTTAAACCTGGCATGGTAATAGAATGCAACAATTACCTTAAGTCAGTTCATGCAATTTCTGCCCTGCTAGACCTGCCCCAGCTAACTGTAAGTACTATTATTGTCAAATGGAAGCATTTAAGAGCAGCAACAATTCAACTGTAAAGCGGTAGACCACGCACGCTCACAAAGTGAGCGTGCTGAGTGCTGAAGCCAACTCTATATTAATGCCCATGGTTTTGGAAATGGGATGTCCAAGAAGCTCATAAAGGTGTGATGATCATATAGAGTATCTTCTCTTTTTTTCTCACTTCTAACTTCTTATCGTCATATAATTCAGCTCTGATTGGCACTTGTGATTCAGGTTCTCTTAGTTGTCAAGTCTTAAGGTTTACCCTTTTTGGTCTTTGCTTCAGTTGCTGAGAACGTAATCATAAAGATTTCAATTTAAAGTAATAAGATAAACTGTATTTCTGTGGGGCTTAAATAATGAGAGTGAAGAGTTCAAGTGGGAGTGAATTGGCTCACAGTTTTACCAAATTCTACAGGTTTTTCATCACCCACCTCTGTTCACATTAGACTTGACTTGACAGGGTATGGGCCTAGTAGTTCTCCTGATCTGTCCGCAGTGATTAACTAACACTACATTTGTGTTTGTAGTATTGGTAAAGCTGTGCTTTTTTTGTCCAATTTTCCAGTACTCCTGGTTCTTCTTTGAAGCAATGGGCAAATCAATGGCACAGTACCTCCAAGAAGGCAACCGTATGAAAGTAGGTGCACCTCACTTACAGCTTACACTCTCTCATAATGTGTCCACTGTAGGTTTTGTCATTATCATGTGAAAAGTTACCATTAATGTGATCGATTAAAAAAGAAAACTTTTACAGCAGAATCAGATTTACATATTGATTTGATAAGTAACATGTTTTCCAGTTTCATTTTCCTTTTTCTTTTAATATCACAGTTTACATAGTTGCCTCACCACAGTTATCAGTAAATCAGTATGAAATTTCCTCCACACAATAGCATGCTTTCACATTTTACTCTCCCATGGCCGTCATCAGCATATGCAAAAAGTTGGTCTATGTCAGTCTTTTTCCCTTTGTCTCTTTCTCTGTCTCTCTCTCTTTTTTCCTGCTTTGTGTGTTATGTACCTTCACAAACACAAATAGCTACTATGTATGTGCTTGGGAGCAGTCAAACACATGCTTCTTTGTTCTTTAAAGAGTGTTGGGTCAGGTGTCATTTCCGTGTGCATTTATATGGAAAGAATGCCAGCACAAGAATACATGCCTACCATCTGGGCTGTGAAACGCATTTTTAACAACAGAGACATACACATGCACAGAGCAGGGTAGTTCAGATCCGGAAAAAAAATTCTCCACAGCATTTTGTTTCAACTGGCTTCTCTAGTCTGCTCAAACCAGCACCCGAGATGTTCAGGCAGTTTGGAACAAAGTCAAAGGGAGGATTTTTATTTCATGGACTTAACATACCCATCTCTGCCCATGCACACCCCATTACCCCTTTAAGGCTAACGCAAAAAATCAGCTTTTTCTTATATTTATTTTGCTTTTCTCCTTTAACAGTGGGATTTCTTTGTGCTGTCTTATGTGATATTTAATGAATGTGATCTAACAAAGCCGCTTGTGTCACAAACTTTTAGAATGAGAAACCACATGAGTAGAAATATTTCTCACACATCAGTTGTGCTTTATCGTTATTCTGATTAAACAAAACGATAATAACCTGAATTGCTCATTATATGAGCTTATGGTCTTGGAAAAAATCACAGTGCAATGTTGGGCTTCTGTTGTACTCACAGAAAGCTCAGATTCTTCACTCTGTTCTATTTTATTATGGTGAACATGAACTTGCACGCGCCGTAACTCCTCTGGCAGCAGATTTAAATGAGGACATCTTCAAAGCATCTTAAATGTTTCGTTGACGAGACGTTTAGGTGTTACTTTACATTGATACTTTTGGTTTTCAAATTTCCACTACCACACGAAAGGGCCCATGATTTGTTTTTGTTTTTCTGTGTATCAGTTCTTCATACGTGGAGCAATTCTTCAATGTATATTATAACACTGCATTTCTCAATGCATGTACTTAATATACATACACATGTAGTACTGAATTTCTCACAGCAAAGTTGTAAAATCTGTTCGAATGCTGGATGTTCTCCCATAGATGCCTCGAGCTCAGAGGTTTCCAGATTCCTTCCATCAGGCACTGCAGTGTCTACTGCTCTCCATCATGCCTCACATTACTATACGCTATGTGGAGATCCCTGATGAGGCCCGCTGTGTCAACATCAGCCTGGCCAACTTCATTAAGGTTTGGCTTTATACTTACCCAAGATGCCGGTTACATACACACACAACCACAACTACAGCATGACCGTTATTACACTTATAGATAGAAGATAAGCAACTATAAGGTTCAGAAGACTTCAAAAGATACAGTGTGTCTGAAGACACATCCTGTTTGCTAAAGTTCTCAATTAAACATGATTGTGAGCACAAGGCCTTTTTGAATTAATCCAAATAAAAAATGAGGCTGCCTACATAGGGACTTCATAACCCATGAATAAGCAGTGAATAACTTCTTAATGAAGCAATACCTGAGTTTTTATGAAAAGCCTGTGACATTAATTGCAAGATAACTTAAGTTGTTTTAGTGATGGACATTTGTTCCAGGAATAAAGCTGTCATGAAGCATTATTCACAAGTAATGGAGCCTATACTGTAATATAGAGGCCTAGTTAGGAACACTATAGGTCAGTTCTACATATTTTTAGAGTTTACATACAAAAGTACAAGTATTAAGATATGTGTTGTTTTTAACCAAGGCTCTGCCTTACAGTATAAGCTCTATTACTTAGGACTGATGCTTCATAATACTGTTATAAATTGAACAAATGTCTATCACTTACTGTCAACCTCTTAAAATGCCAGGCTTATAACATGTACTTCATGAAACATTTGTTACGAAGTTTCTATGTTGGCAGCCTTAACTCCTTAAATGGCCATGTTTTATTAGACACTTCTATAATCTAAGAATAGCTTGGTCTGTTTGCACAAAATTTCATGTAGTTATTGAATAATAAGCCTTAGTATATAATAAGCCAGGGATTCTAAGGGATTAAAGTAAAGTGTTACCAAGTACTTTGCTGGTAATTGTACCAGAATTTTTAATTTTCATTTGCAGAAGTTTGTGGAATTGTTATATATTAAATTCTGGCACTGTTTAGAAATATTGGCTCTGCTGGCTTCAAGTGTCCGTGTAAGAAACAGGTTTTTCATGCACCTTGTGTTTGTTCAAATCTAATCAACTGTGTAATGCAGACATTAATACAATTGGGGCATGGGATATTTGTCTTAAGCAAGACACAAAGACACGAACTGACACTGCCTAGATATTTATTGACCAGACTGGGAATCAGTTTAAAAAAATAAAGAATTCAACAAAAACTGCTTTGAGCTAAATGTCCTTTCAGTATTATAGCTGCAGGGTCAATATGTCTTCTTTTTCTTACAGCGTTGCCTGACATTCATGAATAGAGGATTTGCTTTTAGTCTCGTAAATGACTACATGTGTGGATTCAGCCAGAAGGACCCCAAGGTAAGGTGAAAGATTTGTATTAAGATTAAAATAAGAGCACCACTCCTCGGTGCTACAACAGATTAACAGCTGGATGCCAACACCTTGCCAGTTTTGTTTGGTATAATAAATTTATATTTCACAGGTATAAATAATTTACATTTCACTAACTTTTCCCCAATGACCTTCTACCAGGCAGACAGGAAACAGTGGCATAGTCATCTAGCTAAAATAAGGTGATGCCTAAGCATTCAACTTGCAGAAATTTGGAGGTCCCGTGATGACCTGTGTTCTGTCACATAAAGTGGTTTTGCTCATTGAGTCGCAGTCTTTTAGCAGCAAGATGCCTCTAATCAGCAGAATCAATGTTGCCAACTTAGCAACTTTCTTGTTAGATTTTGAGACTTTTCAGACCCCTTTAGTGCCTTTTTTTTTCCAAAAAACACCAAGCAACAAATCTAATGACTTTTTGGACAAATTTAACCTACGTTCCATAGAAAAGAGCCTCCAGTATTGCCTTGCAAGCAAGAGGCACACCTCTCTCTGCGTCTACTCTGTTCAGTGAGTGGCAGAGAGGCAGAGCAGGACATTTAGTCCGCATGGCAGCTTACATAGACACGAGTGAGCTGCGCATTGCTTACAGCCAAGGACCAATCACTAATCTGTATTTTGTGCTCCTCCTTTGTTTTAGTTTAAACGGTTTAATTTGATTGTTTTAACCGTTGTTAATGCCTTATCACTCACTATCACGCTGAAGAAGGAATATCCTTTTTGTGGTTTGTTTCCCAGATTGAGGTTGTGCACTATGTAAGAAAAAAAATAAGAAAGTTATTCTGTTGCTTCTAACTTTGTCTGTCAGTGATCATTTTACATGTAAATATGTCTCAAATCACAGCACAGTCGTTTACTGTAAATTATGTGTATAGTCATTTTGTCAGATGACGTCATGGTTATAAAATCAGAATTTTAACAATGCAAAGCAGCAGCTTGGAAATGGCTTGGAAGTGACTGTTGGTTGACATGTAGTCTTAATGGGCCATGTTTCAGTCACTATTTTGTACTTGTCCCATTGTCTGACAACAGAAACAGAAAAAATATGTAAACGAGAACAGCTTTATTGAGAATTTGGCTACATTATTACATTATATTACATGCATAAAGTGTGACACTTTTCCAAACAGTTATAGTTCCTCTTAAAGTAATTCAGCTAGTAATGAACTAAAGACAATTGTCAACAGTAAGGATGTGTGTAAATGGTATTTTCCAGACAGACTGAAATCAGAAATTACATGCTTAAGATGCATACCAGTGACATGCTGGTGCATCACCTGTTCTGGCAAAGAGCTGATTAGCCTCAGGTGGACTGCTAGCCCTTGCCAACATTTCAACATTGCCAGCATCTGCTGGTAATACTTGATGACACAATCCCCATGTCATAACCAACTTTCCAAAGAAGTTCTGAAACGTGTAGTTGTTCTTGATGGGAAATATGTACAATACTGTGCAAGAGTGAGAGGCCGCTTATTTTCTGTACAAGTACAAGTGATTCATTTTTCTGAACAATTACTAGTGATACATCAATATTTTTTTCACATATTTTTACTTTGACTTCCCCTTGTGTTGGTCTTAGAATCTTCTGAATCTCCTGAAAAATGAATAACTTGTACTTAATGACCATTTTGATTGGAAATTTAACAAATAAAAGGTGATCTGACTTTGGCACAGTACTGTATGTTGATGTATATTTATGGGTGTACGTGCTTTATGTAAAATTGAAATAGGTATTACCCAACAACTACATTTTTATTATCTTCCTTCTTCTGATTTAGATCAAATACCGGGGCATTGCAATAAAACTCAGTCCATACATTCTTTAAATTGCTTTTTACACTCTTTCCTTTATGTCTCCTGGTAAACAGGTATTGCTCATTAGTTTCATTCACTTTGAAACAGGAACAAAGTGCCTCTTAAAAGCTTATTTTGGTAAGCTGCTTTAAATTTTAACAACATTAGTAGCTTTTCATTAGCTTTGCTTTCTGTAATCTCTGTGGAATTTACTATACTCCAGTAGTAAATTATTCCTCTGTTCACCTTACTTCTTGTAGGATAATATTTAGATACTCCGTACTGGGGCACTATAAATGAGTGGAAGATGAGGGCGATTCAGACCAAGATTGTATCTTTTTTAGGCTTCCTGAAAGATTATCAATTGAAACACTTTGTTTATTAAGTAACAATTAAGACCTCATTTAGATACAAGGCTAGTTTTAGATAGATACAAGACTAGGTTTAGATACACTGCCAGCAGCTATGAATCTTCCAGTTGGTCAACCCTCCAGTGACCCCTCTGAGTAAATGTTCAATGGTTTAGCCTGAACACAGTCTGTACAAAGAGCGAGAATAAGAGCAAAAACAGAGAAACAGAGAAGTTCCTCAGTTTTTTGGAGGCAACGGTGGGTAATCATGATATATTGGAATAGTTGATAGAAAGGAGGCTTTTGCTGTAGTAACTGCAGTAATGGAAAAAATGCGATGGAGCTGTCTAAGCAAAGCTGCAATGCAAATTTAGTGTTTGTGTGTGTGATTTAGACACTAACCTCCCCTCTATCTTTCAGCCAGGGAAAAGGACAAATGAAAATCAGAATATCTGTATTGATATGCAGTCATATTGCTTACGTGTATATTTACAGCTTTCTGCATGCTAAATAAGAGTTGGAATTATGGAGCTAAACATAATAAAGAGACAGGTTCTGCATATGGAAATATGGTGAAGCAAGTTTTTAAAGGGGCCCAAAATTGCAACTGTCTAGAAATTTTTCTTCAAAGTGTGCTGTTGGCAATGGGTAATATATTTTTTGTGGTGGCGTCAGTGTTCTTGCAGTGCACCACCACTCAATGAATAAAATGGAAACACGGGTGAGCAGTTTCCTGTTTACCCTATTCTTTAAAGTCACAGACCATTTACTGTCTTCACAGTACTGTCGGAAGCATTGAACCTAGTGGCTCGCTTGACTTATGATGTATGCTAGATTGCTTTTTTTGTTGTCAAATTAGCTTACAAAGTTTCATTCTTGCAGAAGGAAGTAATCTAAGTTCCATTCCATGTACTTGCACCAGCTGTACAGCTGCATATACTTTAAATATATCTTTATTTATTTAAGTTTAAAAGCTTGTTCATAAAAATACATAAACAAGTGATTACATTAGTAATACCACTTATGTAGGCATAAAATGTGCTGTAGATGTGCATAAAGGAATTGAACAATTTACAGCTTTGTAACGTGAGTAAGCTTATGTTTCAAGTGATAAGAGAAACTGACCTGCACTAGCAATGCAATGACAAAATTCAGTCAAAGAAGCAAGAGGAACTATAAGGAAATGGAAGCTGCAGGCTCTTGCTGTGTTTACTGTCCAGTGGGACAGGCATTGCATAGTAATACACATAGCAATGTGAGAATTTACACAAGTTTATGAACAGCTGATCGCTCTTCCTGAATTCTGTTTTGTCCGTATAAATGCTTTTAAATTATTCCTCTGTTCACCCCTACAGGCACATACTGGCCACGGTGTACACGACTGTTGATTCTCCTGAAATAAAAAGCTGTCACCTCAAGAGAATAACATTCCATTCATTACTTAATAACTTTAGAAATAAATGCAGTGTAGACTTTAATGATAGCCTAGCCCTACTCCAAAAGCTCCTTTGAAAATGACATAATAACCCAGACACTATTGTGATGTTGTCGATCCAGACAGGAATGTAGTGGTCTTCCTGCAGGAAGAGAAGAGAATGTTTATACTGGCGTATTGCCACAATTTAATGAGACCAAAACATTGAGATAGACGAAAATTTCACTCTATCAACAGACAAGTGAGTAGGAGTCCGAACACTCAACAGTGTTCAAATAAAAGCCTACAAAACCCAGATCTTGCACACAAACGCATCGCCTTTCAGCAAAATTATAAATACCTAGAAAACACAACTACTTTTGGAGTGACTTGTATTTGCATAGGTTATGGTTGGTATAGTGTAGTGGGTAACACCTCTACCTTTTATGCTGTAGACTGGGGTTCAATCCCTTGCCTGGGCAAGCACCCGACACTATACCAGTAAGAGTACTTGGGCAAGACTCTACTAACACTACCTTCGCCTACCTGTGTAAAAAGTTTAAACTGTAAGTCGTTCTGGTTAGAACATCTGCCAAATACCCTAAATGTAAATGCATAGTTGTTCAACTCAATGAACCAAATAATTCAATAATAATTGCTCCTATATTGTAGTCTCAGGTGCACCAGGATCACAAACATTTTGTCCAACAAATGGTGCTGCTGGACCCCGCTACAGGGGTTTGGTTTCTAAATTTTTCTCCGTTTTCTCTGCTTATGAGTTTTCATGTCTGCAGATGCTCCATGAGCAGTCTGGTAACTGCCAGTGTTTCCTTTGCAGTTTGCCTATGTTCAAGGCCAGTCCAGTGATCACTTTCAACAAAATTTGAAGTATGAATGAAAGAAGGGTATTTGTACATGCTGTTAGGTATACAGAGACATGAAGGTATGCATCCTTTAATGAATGAACCATTTGCCATGAAGCATAGAACATAAAACAGCTGTGTGATGCAGACATCACTTTTTTTTAATGTACTAAATGTACTATACCGGTGTCTCACTTCCTCCAGCAGAACACTAGGCTTGCTGCTTTTTTTTCCACCTTGAACAGTGGCCAGGGTCAGCTGACTCTGTGGGGTCAAGGTGGTTAGGAAGGGAGGGTTTCTTAGGTCAAGCACTGAGTTTCATCTGAGTCAGAGGTGCTGTATGTAGCACAGGGCACTTGGGCAAGCTGTGCATGCTTGGGCAGTCAAAGGTCAGGTGAGGTGGAAAGGACCAGCCTACATTGTCTTTGGGAGACATATCTGGTGGCAACAACAAGCACAAAGAAAAAAGCCTTTGAAGCCCACAGGAACATCAAGGACTGGGATCACTACACTGTTAGAAATTAAGGTTCTGTGCAGATACATTTTTCGTTCATCAAGGTACAAACAATGTAAATGTTCCCACAGTAGTTTTAAGGTCTGATTGTAAACCTTAAATAAGTTTTTCCAGATTAAAGTACGTATTTGTACCTTTTCATAACCTAATGTTTTAAAACAGAACAATAAAATACAAAGCCTGGAGACGAGACAGGGTGTGTGGCGTCAGTACAACTTAGAAAATATCATTTCAGTGGATTATGGTACAATTATTTTCCCTGACTAAAGGTACTGAGATGTACCCTTGAGGGTCCCACCCCAGTGACAAGAAGGGTACTGCCCCAGTGACAGTTTACTACCTTTATTTCTGAGAGTGTAGGAACTGAGGCTCGTTTGGCTCTGGATCACTGCTTCTCCTCATAGAGGGATGTGGAATGGTCAGTGAGTAGTGTGGGCCTCCAAATATCCAGTGCTAGATATTTTGCTGCCACAGAAGGGTAGACTCGTAAGGGCAGGTTCACCTTGTCTTTGGTGCACAAAGGATCAGCATATGCCACTGCAAGCAACAGAGAAGGCTTGATAGCTAGATACTACTGTTTGGATATAGTCTAGCACAGAAAGTCTTACATGGATGTTGTAGGATTAGTAAAAAACACTCAGTGTTTCTGGTGAATCTGTGCATAAAATCTTCCAAAAAATACCTATTTTGTTGTTTATGTGTTGTATATGGACTTATTATTTATTTTGGAGGTTTAGTCGTAACACAACTTTGTCAAAAACATGTTCTGTTTAAACTGCATAAAACTCCATGTTACAATTTACCCTGCGCTAGGTCTCTCGTACTTCTTCTAAAATAGATGTGGATGTATTCCTGAAGTGAGGAACTTTTTCTTGTGGTATCAATAAGATTAAAAGGTAACTGTTTGTGGTAGATGTTATCAGTGTTATGCACCTTTTCCTTTTACTTATAAATTCTGATCCACACAATCACATTCCAGACAGTTCTTTGAATTAAAAACAACAAAGCAGTAGTATGTTAGTAATACAGACATTAAGGAGGGGATGTTTATTAGTAAAACAAAAACAATGCTTTGAACTGTGGTCTGCTGTGGTATGATTTCTGTAATGAACATTTTCACAGAGCTGTGTATACACTTTGCAGTTCCTGATCTTGTGATCTTAGACTAAATAATAAAAGTCAATGAGCCGCTCAACTTGTGTGTATGGGGAAACAGCATAATCTGGTTGGGCAATTCACTTTGTTAGAGGCTGTTGCTCAGTGGAGGTATGTATTTCCAAGAAAAAGTGTTCATTTATCTGTACACCTACACATTGTACAGAGTGTCCTCCACATTATCCAGTGTGACTATCATATTACAGTGAAGATTATGGCTAGAAACTGCACCAAAATATTCTTATTTGTTTATTACATCTTTACTGCTGGAAAACAGTTACAGTAATGATTTATTTTAAATGCAGCCTTTACTTATTCAGTTGTAAGATGAGTTTTTTTTTCACTGAACTGCTTAAGTAATCTGAGTGCGTCTTAAAATTGAATTGAAACTGCAGTTGAATTATTTCAGTATGCTCTTGCTAGGTTTATGCAGTGAGGACATATTTTCCTAGTAAGTGATGAGGTGCCAAGCTGTCACATGACATGTAACATTTGTCATCTACAGGTTTTGACAGAAATGAAGTTCTACTTCCTCATGACAGTGTGCAATCACGAGCACTACATTCCACTCAACCTTCCCATGGCCTTTGGTCGAACTAAGTTACAGAGAGTCCAGGGTAAGGTTCCAGTCAGTAATAGTTTACTTTAGTATTTTATATATTTATATTGAATATTTTACCCTTTTCTTCCTTACACTGCCTGCTTTTGGTCCCATTCACATATTGTGTGCACTGAGATCATTGTAACTACAACCATTTTCCCCAACCCCATAATATTTGTCAGTAAACCTACAAGTAAAACTTTACGTTAGGAACTCTGTTATGCTTGTGTACTTGTGTAGTTTTATGTAATAACTGTTCACTTTATGGATATACAGTACTGTTCGAAAGTCAGAGTCCACCCTACACTCAATTTCTAGTCAACTCTTGAAGATAATCAAGTAAATTTTCTTAGATCAAATTTCCTCAGAAATATCTTCTTAAAACTTACGTTCAGTGGCCATTTTGACTGGGAATTGAAAAGTCTCAGACTTTTGCTCAGTTTTGCACATATGTTAATAATATCAGTAAAAGAGAAGTTTGGTATTTCATATCCCTTTCTCTCTCTCTCTCTCTTTCTCACTCCCTCCATATGACAGAATGAAACACCAAACTGCTCTTTTGCTGATTTGGCACATGCACAAGTATATCAGTCCCTTACTGTAAAGAATTGTCTTGGACATCCTTTACAATTAAACCACTGTTTTACAACAGTAGCTGTGTTGAGTTTCCCAAATCCATCATAGTCAAAAGCTCTGCTGTATTGTAGAGCAAATAACACTGCCTGTAATAGATAAGACAGTCTTACCAAAGCAATGTTTTTGGGAAACCCAAGTAAAGTGAAGCAACAAAATAATGCTGCTCTTGTTCCTTTTGAACACACACTTCCAAACACCCCTCCCTCCCTTGCATGATGTCCTCCTTTTTTCATTTTCTGTTTTCTGTTTTTTATGCTCATGATCAGATTTTATTTCATACGCGGCGGAGTATTTTGGCGTCTTAGGTAGGTGATGCCGGCAAGCGTCGCTACACAAGTCCAGGTTGCCAGAGCTCTCATAACCTCACTAACTGGCCAGTCACTTTCTTACAACACCCATTAATCATGCTTGAACATCTAACTGCCATCGCATCTAACATTTCAGGCCTGGGCTTGTGCTCCTCTAAAGTTGCCATGCATTATGAGCTTTGTTATGCTGACATCTTGTGCTTCATCATATATATATATATATTTTTTTTTGATGAACAAATTCAAAATGTTAGAGGTGGATAAAAACCTGTTGTGTCAGTTGAGTTTCATGGTAGTGAAACTCTGATGTATATTACTGTCACAAAAGAATGTAATTTATCATAATAGGTGCTGTATGTCTTTGTCACGTTGTTATCTTTCTTGCCTTCTGCTCTCTATGATTGGCTTTCAGAGGATACAGAAGGATCTTGTGTGGATCAGGGGTTTCTCATACTTGTTACTAATACCAATGTGATATTATGTAATAATGAATATGGTGTGAACTGATGAAGGTAATTTGAACTGATAGAACACAAATGTATGCAGAAAGCCTGCTTTGTTAAAGCAGTTCTCCTACAGAGAGATCCTGTTGTGCGAAACACAAGTTCTTTCTAAAACTCTTAATTTCCTTTTGTTGTTCTTCCCTGCTGAAGTGAGGAATAGTATGGAGAACAATTAAGAGCACTTGCTAAAAGACAGAAAACAAAAATAAAATATAATGCTGTGTTTTCATGTCAGGAACACCTTGTTTTTATATTGACACATTTCACTATCACCACTTTGTCTCGGTGGCCAATTGAATGTTTAGTGTCAGATGATACTTGCCACAACATTTGCACAAATGCATCTCTTTATATGTACCATGTTTTCAAATGCATGAAATGCATTTATATTGCTTGTCTAGCAACTTAAGGGACCTCTGTCAAAATTCCCTTATGTAAGTCTTATAATGTTATGAAAGTTGATTCCCAGCAAGACACTACTGGTAATACTATATATTGCAGACCAGAGTCTGGAGTACAGCCTTACTGAGGACTACTGCAGGAACCATTTTCTGGTGGGGCTGCTATTGCGAGAAGTGGCGGAGGGCCTGCAGGGCAGTCCAGAGATCAAGCAACTGGCTGTGGCCGTTCTAAAGAACCTGATAATTAAGCACAGCATGGACGACAGATACACAATGTATAAGGTGAGTCATAGAGGTGAGTGCGGGCAGGTTGGAGGTAATGGAGAAAAAGGACACTGACCCACTTTTCTTCACAGTAAACAACATGGGCTGTTAGTTTTCAGAGTAAAAGAGTGTCACTAACCTTTGTTCTGCGGCAAGAAAACAGTAGCCTTGCTGTCGTCTGCCATATTTGCGTTGATAACTGACACGCTGCTTTATTTGCCTAAGAATTGCATGTGAGCACTTTTTTTTCTTCAGTGGCAGCAGAAGTTGTATTTACCTTTACGGAACATTCATCACTGAAATAAAGAATCAGTCTAAGACAGATACATTCAAAAATATAGATGTAAACACAAAAGAGGATATTCACGCTGTAGGATATTGTTTGGCCGACAACCTAAAAACCTGCTAATGCCGTTGTGCAAATGACTCTTGAACAATACTTAACCATCATGCTTAGATAAGCCACTGTCTGTTATGCAAACTGTCCACTGCAAACAAACAGCAGGAGTGGAGGCAGACAGTCTTCATACAGCTCCGTGTTTGCACTTTTATAATTCAAAGGAGCCAAACAATATGATAAATTCAAATGTCGTAAATGGTTATCAGGTCCAGTGTAAAATCCATCTACACAATATGTAAACTTGAATTGTTATGGACTTCTCCATTACGCACAAGAAAATGTGGATACATTATTTTTTAGTCATAACCACTTGTTCTTTGTCTCAAAGGCCAAGCAAAGGTTTATTATCTGATTTGATTGTTGGCCTTCTGAGAAAAGGAGTCTGAATCCTATTGCTATGTTTTATGATGAAAGTGCCATGGTAACAGGAACTGAGAGACATCAATAAATTGCAGACTGCATATCCTGTGGACTCCACAGGCAGCTTCATGCTTATTCACCTCACTTTTAGCGTTGACACAGTAATATTCTGTGACTGTGCAAATATGTTTAGTTATACAACTTGTGTAACTTAATGCTTTATATTTATGTTTTATTGCGTGCATATGTTTCTGGATCTTTATAGCCTATTTGATCTACAACACTTGTGCAAAGTTTAAGGACACCTTGCCTTTTTCTGAAATGTTTGATGATCACTGTTACTTTTATTAGTTTTTGGTTTATTGTAAAGAAAATGTCCAGATCTAAATGTTTGATCTTTTGGCCAAAATTAAGAATTTGTGGCCAGAATAATATAAACATGTTTATCGTGTATATATTGTATTTGCAGTTACAGTTTAATTTAAAAATGCTTCAGCACCAAAAACCAGTCAGGTGTTGTTTTGAAAAAGGAAATATTTACTGTTGTCATTTGATATAGGTTATTTCATTAGGTACTGTCCAGCTGCTGCAGAGATGAGATTGGTGCAATACCAGCTTATTAAAGCAAACTTTAACTTATGGAATGGCATCTATGATGCCAGATGAACCAGCTCAGCAGGTGGGACCATCACGGTCATAGTACTTCCTTTGTGATATTTACAGTTAACGAATTCCAGAAGAGTTTGTTAAAAGGAAAAAAAATGCCAAAAATCTTCAAGAGAAGAGCCACTCAGGCCAGAGGCTCTACATTTTAGTGGCCAAAATGTGAAATGTTGTGGCCAGGGGCACCGTGCAATAGACAATGTCCATCCCTGTAAACACAACATTCTATTGACACTAAATCTTAATATGCAAACTGTCGAAGAAAACGCTCATTGTGAATGTACCTCAAGTGTCTTCAGAGGTTTGGCTGGTAGTTTACATTCTGCTATCTGCTATGGATCACTAATTTATGTGCATTTATATTCAAACCCTGAACAGAATCAGCAGGCCCGTATCTGCATGCTGTACCTGCCCCTCTTTGAGCTGCTGTACCAGAACTTGAATCAGCTGACTGCACAAAAACAACCCTCCCGATCTGGCTTTGGCCTCATGGTAAGTCCATCTGAGCGTTGTTCATTTGCGGGCCTGAGGCAAGAATTGTATTGCCACAGTAGTGTATTTTTGTCTCAGAGAGCTATGATAAATCAATGAGACGCTAAATAAATTCCAAAATGGCAGCAAGTGTAATGCAGCTAAAATAAATCACCAATAAACCAAATAACAAACCACAATTTTATTTTAAATGTAAGTGATCACATACAATGTAAAATGAAGAGAAGGCAAAGAGTTGAGTCCGGCAAGCGAGCGATCAGGAGCTCAGTTTAAAATCAGAAATCAGAAAAATTATTAATTAAAAACAAATTAGCATGAATATACTCCAACTATGGATTTAAGTGTACAAAAGAAAGAGCTTTTCAAGTCCAATTTGCATCAGAATGTTTACTAACTGAGAAGTACAGCACTGTGCAAAAATCAGAGGCCACCCTTCATTTATTTTATTTCCACTAAAAACAACCAATAAGTACAAGTTACTCCATTTGCTGCAAAAGGCAAAACGGCAGAAAACATATTTAAAAGAAAATTACATAGACTATTAAGATTTATCAAATTGTTCAGTATTTAGTCTGTCCAGCCTTTGTCTTTATATATTGTTTTGCTTTTTTTTCATTTTGCTTTTGTTTTTTTAAACAAATCTGCAGGGATGTTTTCCATACCTCCAAAGTTCAGTCTTAAAAGTTGATTGCAGTTTCTGCTTCTCACAATCCAAAGGAATCCCAAACACATTTAATGATGTTGACATCTAGACTCTGTCCATTTTTGGTGTACTAGTGCAAATTTTCTTCTTTTGGGTCTTTTTCAAACCTGTAATGTTGAACAAAAACACTTGTGGATTTTTTCAGATCTGAAGCAAAAGTGGAGCTTGAGTTTCTTCTCTCTCAAAGAAGAAAGGTCTAAGCACTTAAACTTGCATGGTTGTTAGCAATTCTCTCAATAACTTGATTAACTTTGAAATCCAGTTTTGGAAACTCTTGTTTCTTTGACTTTCCCTTCCTTTTCAAGTGGATTATCTTGTGTCTAATTCTCATAAGAAAAATCTCTTGAAAAATGACTAAACTGTACTTTCTGAATGGAGTTTATCATAGCATACCATGTTAATGCAATGGTTATTTACTTGAATAGAAGAGGTTCCAAGGTTTGTGTCTAATTTGTTTAGAATGAAAGGAAACATTCTTTTGTCAAACATTCCCTCAGTGCAGAGACGACCTGTCCATGACGGGCTCAATAGACACTCGCAGAGCCAGTGCTGCCATAGACAAGGAACAGAGTAAGTAGAGCTGAATGTCAAAAACAGGTTTCAAATTTCAAAAATGTACGCATGTAGTTACTTAATATTGTGGTAGAAGATTGTGTTTGTGCGTATTTTGAAATATTTAGATGAAAAATTTGTATCTTTTTGATGTAGCTGGGGTCATCACCCAAAACGGACACGTAAGAAGAGAAGACTCAAGAGGCTCTATGTATGGGGACCCTGGCACACCAGATATTAATGAGGTCAGACATATGTACACACTCACACACTTCATCATGATCATCATTATTTTTTTTTCTACTATTACTATACTATCTGAATGCACACTTTGCAAGAGCATTGAACAGCATTGAACACTTTTAGCATACTTGTCTATAAGATGTCTATCCGTGTGTAGTCTTGCAGGGCCAGGAATGATCTCGTAACAAGAATACATACTGGTGAGAACCTATTAAACTTTTGGTACTGCATTGTGGCGAAATCTGCTGCAAACAAGGGTATGCCCATTCTAAAACCAACCCCCAAATTCCTCTTGTCAGCGCACTTTTAACACTCTGAAGAACTGATAACACAACAAGCTAGCTAGCGAAACGCTATCATATCAAATGGAACTGTTTTTTTCTTCAAAGAAGTAATGTTTTTGTTTTTTTTAACCATGTAGTGTGTTCTCCACACACACACAACATCAACGATGTGTTTTCTGGAAAGACTTTTTAGTCATGCTAACTTATGTTACATCCATAGGCTAATGACAGGCTTGTTGTCCATCAGATTTGATAAGCATACCATCCCACCCTTACTATAAGCTCCACCTTCACGAGACATGGGGTTGATTTGTAAATTTCACATTCAGTTTGTTCCCATCCTTATAAGTCCACATTCAACGTTTAGCCCAAAATTTCTAATGATTGTTCCCAAACATTGTGTTTATGATATCACATCTGGCCCTACAAGACTTATCTGCATGCCAATAAGAAAATAAAAAAGATTTATGGTGGGAGTGTTTCAACAAAGAGTGAAAGGATATCCACGGGAATCCACCGTATCGAATTAGAATGTAAGGGAATTTGCTGTGTGGAAGTCCCAGGAAGAAAAATAAATAAATAATGATAACCCCCAGGTTTCTAAGCAGAAGAGTTAATCATCGCTCTGTAAATCAGAGAAAGCACACCTAAACACATAGAATAATCACCTTAATCCCACTTTTACTCTGCATTTGTTTGTAAGTGACTATGTGTACAATGTTTTGCTCCTTAGTTACACAGACGTGGATCCACAATGAGTACCCTTCCATCTATAGGGCGGCTCGGGCATTATGAAGTAAAAGGACTGCTGCTATGTTTCCTACACATTGTAAGGACAGTGTCAGAGGGTCAGTACCAGCTATCCTGTTTGTTCAATTCCAAATATTTGTCATACCTTTTAAGAATGTTTTGTTTAAGCATACTTCATCCAGTGTATTCTCTTAGAATATGTACTAAGGCTACATTAGAAAAGACCAATATGTTTCTTTTAAAGTCAGTTTAACAAAGATCAACAAAACAACATATCAATAAACATTCTTTTCTTTCACAATTTCTTGTTTTACCACAGATACCCTGCTGGCTTATTGGAACAAAGTGAATCCACAGGACATTATGAATTTCCTCAGTCTACTCGAGTGAGTCACTTACCCTATGAAAACAGGAATTCAATTTAGTCATTCACTGAGGTACTGGTGTACCTTCTGTTCATTTGATTTTCATTTCAACATTCAGTATTGGAAAACGAGAAATGGATAAATGCTCGTTTTTGGTTCTGTTTATTTTCTGTTTGTAAATAATGGTATATCCTCACTTTCCCTTCACAACAAACAGTACATCAGGACCTAAAGCCAAAGACAGAGTCTCACAGTGAGAGTTTAGTTTAATGTAATGAAGACATTGGTTGATGCAACACTCATAATGATCAGTACTGTAGTGTCTTGGTGAAGAAGGAGAGACCGTGATTCTAAAATGAGAAGTGCTCTGTTTACACCAGCAGAAAAAGCACATAAAGCAGCCCATTAGCAGAGAAGGCCACCTCCCAACTTAACCCACATTCAGGCGGGCACCAGAGGGGTGCTGAAGCCCCCTCTGAAAATCATTCAGTGTTTCTGTTAGCGCCCCCTGAAAAATGTTCCATTCACCTCCGTTAAACGACCTGTCTCATTTAAACTTTCACTAGCCCAGCGCTGTATAAAACTCATATCTGTCACTCACTTATATTCTTGATAAAATGTATTATCACAGTCATTGTGTTGCATTTAAATAAAGCTGTGTACTGTCTGCTTGCAATCAGAGAAATGAAACTAAACCTCACTCATCTCTACTTCTTTATGATCGACTGGTTTAATTCTGCATCAGTTTAAATTCAAGTAAACAGGTCAGTGATGTTTGGCCCAGCCTATAAGTTCTGTGCTCTGTGTGACAAAATATAATGTTTCGTTTATTGCTTGTCTGCCATTATCAGGAGCAGCTTGTGCTGCAAGAACAATATGCGCTTCTGTAAAGAGTCAGACGTTAAACAGGCCAGTTACAGAGACACTGCAGCACTGAGGTGCACTGAGGAAAGCATGTCCTGATGTTGATTTTCCTCGTAAAAAACACACCCAGAAGTGAACTGACCCACAAAGACCGGCGATTATTTGCGGACTACTAATCATTTGTTTTGTGCAAGCCAGAGTACGGGGGCGGTGTTCACACATGTCAAACTTAAGAAGCTTGATAGGTCTGCACAAGAAGAGATGGTGTCAAACACAGTGTAAAAATCATTGTGTGCTCGAATACTTAGGGCTTAGGGCATACTGAACTTGATACTTTAGTTCGGCCCCTTTCAGGTGTGAACACTCTACCTGTACTCGGATGTGCACTAAACACATGAACAGTGGTGTCAAAAAATTGTGGGTCTTAGTTCTTTTCCAGGTTGTCCCAGTTCACTACTTGGCGGGAACGTATTTCTGTGATGGTCCTCACCAAACGAGGAAATTCAACACCAGAGCTCATATCGCTTCTGCAGCACAAGCTGCTAAAATAAAATAATAGTGAAGCAATACATGGGGGAACATGGGTCATGGAGTGCATCGCATCAGCAATCTGATTCATAACATTTAAATTGACAAACAATTCATAAAGAGGCAGATATGAAGTAAGTTTATTATTTTTGCTCTGACCAGGATACACACAAGTTAAGCGTCTCATGTTCATGCAAAGTAGTACTTTTTTGGCTCAGATGGTGGCAAATGAGAGAGTGCACTTTAGCCATCACAGTGTAAAAACAACCGACACAAATTAAAAAGATACAAAATCACAGTAACCCAAACTCTGGTTTGGACTTTAGCAAATCAACAAGGTGTAAAAAGAGCCTTAATGTAGAATTATCTCCACCCTGAATTCAGCGTGTAGCTGACCCCCCACTTTGCTCCCCATTCACATATTGCCTGCTTGACAACCTTAGGTAAAGCACCCCTTCACATTTCAGCTCCCCTCTAGCACCGCTGTAAAAAATTCCTGGCATCACCCCTGTCCACACCCCGACACAGAATAACACAAATAACATATAGCTACCCAAACTGTAGACTAACACAACGACATTAACAACTTTAAATCACAACAGCGTCCCTTTTTTATATGGGACTGCGCGGCTCTGCATAACATGCCTCTGAAGCTTCTTTCCCAAAACCGGAGCCCCTGCAGCTGCCACAGTGTTATAAGACCACTATGAACAAAAGACAACGCACTGCTCACAGTGTTAATTCTCAAGTTTGGAGTTATAACACAGTTCACCTCTGAGCAGTATTACTTTTTCTCCTCATTATTGAGGTGGCAAACATGCTTTCCTTTCTCTTTCAGTCCACTACAAGAGTCTCTTATAGTCTCAGTTTTTTGCTGATAGAACAAAGTCAAATAAACAAATGCCTATACAAAATGTCAAATAGCCTCACAGTATATCAGAACTAGGACTCATATTCTCAACATTTATGCTTGATATTTCTTTATCATTTTAATTGCAACCACCTGATTTATGAGCTTCTGAGATCATAGGTGGCCTCTGCATGTTTATTTACACATAATTTGGATAAGTAAAATATGATGCCTTATTCCATTATTGTTAATATGTAATGTGTGATTTCATGATTAGTTTGTGAAACTGTAAAATGAAGCTATTTCCTTTTCCACTGACAATAACAGAACCAAAAACGAAAACTGACCCATTTTCTGTTTTTCAGTACTGGACTTTGACATGAAAATCAAATGAACGGAAGGTGCACGGACCCATAGATATGCGCAATCATTTACTATCACAAAGGAGTGGCTGTGCTCTTTAAACTGACACGCCTTACAACAATATTAGATGGGGTTGTTGTAGATGATGTAGACTTTGCGGCCCAGTTTCACTTTTGGTGTTACTGTTCACTCTGATAATCCTACATGTCAAAAAGCAAATAAAAGATGAAGGTTTCATTGGAAAGAAGGGAACAGGATCTGGCACAGGAAGATGAATTCCTTCTTGAGCAATAACAAAGTGTCACGAAGTCGCTAATCTAAAGCGACAGTCAGGCAAGTTGAAGGGTTTTGTTGCTGATATGACGTTAACTGATATGATATCTCTGTTATAGTCTCAAAGTAAAAATAACCAAAGTGAAGAACGGCCAACCTGTGAGTCACATATGAAGTCCCATTGTTTAAAGAATCCATAATTATGCTCTACAAGTACTGCATCTGTGAATAGTGTGTCTGTTGTCCCATATAGAATATCATTTAATGATGCTAGAAAATGCCAAGCTCATTTTTGTGCAAAAACCTTTAACCTACAGGCAGTGTATGAGCTTTGATCCAGTAAGCATTTATCTGGTTCTGTCTTGGATGTAGCTTTACAGTGGAAACTTCTTTTGGATTGTTTTAATAAAGTGCATGTTGTCTTTTTTGCAGGATTTGTCTTGTCCGGTTTCGTTACGCTGGCAAGAGGAACATCAGTAGGTATGAATTTTTACAGATTGTTATGTGTTTATCAATTTGTCACTTTCTAAATCATTTTCAAATATTCGTGATCATTCTTGTTATATCCCACGTCATGTAATAGACTGACAAGTTATCAAGTTTCATTACGTACCTTATATTGTCCCCCTTCATTTTTCTCGTACACCTCTGAAGTCATTTGTCATTCTGTAGTCACTTTCATGCGCATATTAAGAATTCCAGTAAGAAATTAATGTTGTTTTTAAAAATAGCTGCTGTTGCACCCTATGGTGAACAATGGGGGGGTAACACAGGACAAAGTAACACGTTACAGTAATGTGATTACTTTTTCCTGTAATGAAGTAACACATTACCATTTTAATTATTTTACTCACATTGCAGTTACTGACTTTACTAGTATGGCTTCAAGAGGACAAAATAAAGGCATTTAAATAATACATTATCTCAGTATGAATTATTTTTGCCTCTTCTTATACATAATTTGCGCTTATTCGTACTACCTGTGTCAGCTAATCACTTTACTGTGATTCAGCACAAGCGCAGGAAGCACCATAAACTTCACGATTAATCTGTCGAAGCATCTGGTTATATGAAACTGATTAATAAAAACCCTGTGCTGAAGAAGAGAGAGACCAACCTCACCTAAACAAGCATCAGCAGCTCATACAACCCCAATTCCAAAAAGTTGAGATGCTGTGTAAAATGTAAATAAATGTAAATAAAAAAAGAAATCAATGATCACTTAAAGAAGTAATTAGTAACTTGTAATGGATTTCTTTTTTTGAGTGTCTGCCCCAGTACTGGTGGTGAACAAAAGCTTTCCAAAACATTTTGCTGTATGGACATTTTTCCTCTGAATGTTGCCAGATCCTCTGAATAACTAGGTAGTTAAGGAGTTGAAATACGAGTCATGTTACATGCCCGCTAGCACTGCTGCACAATGAACTGACTTTATGACACTGGCAACCTCACCAGAATGCTGAGTCTTAGCTTATAACATGTATGTAGCAATAATTCAGAGGATTCAGTGACACTTGATGGCAACTACAGAATGTTGCATGATTTCAGAGGTCTATTGGTATAATTACTTTTCTTGTGTATATGTCTTTGCTGTTTGCAGGTGTCAGGAGTCCTGGGTGTCCAAAGTCTTCACCTCGGACAGAAAGTCTCAGACTATGCCGGTGATGCGTGGGCGGTCCAGCCTGATGCAGGCCAGCCTGCAGCAATTCAGCACCATGGAGGCCTCTCACACTCTCAATATGGGTACTATAGATTGATAGAATAGAATTATACACAGATCAGGCATAACATTATGACCACTTTCTCGTTTCTACACTCATTGTCCATTTTATCAGCTCCACTTACTATATAGAAGCACTTTGTTGTTCTACAATTACAGACTGTAGTCCATCTGTTTCTCTGCATACTTTGTTAGCCCCCTTTTACCCTGTTCTTCAGTGGTCAGGACACCCATGGACCCTCTCAGAGCAGGTACTATTTGGGTGATGGATCATTCTCAGCACTGCAGTAACACTGACATGGTGGTGGGGTGTTAGTGTGTGTTGTGCTGGTCTGAGTGGATCAGACACAGCAGTGCTGCTGGAGTTTTTAAACACTGTGTCCACTCACTGTCCACTCTATTAGACACTCCTACCTTGTCAGTCCAACTTGTAGATGTAAAGTCTGAGACGATAGCACATCTGCTGCTACACAGTTTGTGTTGGTCATCCTCTAGTCCTTCATCAGTGGTCAGAGGACGCTGCCCACAGGACGCTGTTGGCTGGATATTTTTGGTTGGTGGACTAGTCTCATTCCAGCAGTGACACTGAGGTGTTTAAAAACTCCACCAGCACTGCTGTGTCTGATCCACTCAGACCAGCACAAAACACACTAACACATCACCACCACATCAGTGTTACTGCAGTGCTGAGAATGATCCACCACCCAAATAGTACCTGCTCTGAGAGGGTCCATGGGGGTCCTGACCACTGACTAACAGGGTAAAAGGAGGCTAACAAAGTATGCAGAGAAACAGATGAACTACAGTCTGTAATTGTAGAACTACAAAGTGCACCTATATAGTAAGTAGAGCTGATAAAATTGACAATGAGCGTAGAAACAAGGAGGTGGTCATAATGTTATGCCTGATTGGTGTACATATATTAGCTCATCCCAAATAAGAGCGACTGAATGATGAGTGGGGCTTTCATAAGTTAGTCATCCCTGGTCTCTACAGTTTTGTTTTCTAAATAAGGCATGTTCCATCTGCCTAGTCTTTCTTGAGAAGCTGACTCAAGTATTACTCAGTGGTTACAGCCAACAGGTTGAACTACGTTGTCCCTAACCCACAACTGAAAGGTATTTTACTACAGGTGGGGGTCCCACAGAAGCAGAGATTAACCACCAGGCCCTCTTAGAAGGCAACATCTCCACAGAGGCTTGCCTCATTGTCTTGGACACTCTTTCTCTTTTCACTCAGAACTTCAAGGTAATATGTACAGCCTTATGACAGAAGATGTACTTTGTGTACTCAATATTCACTAACAGTGACAATACTCTTTTTTTTATATCTATTTCTTTAAACCATTCCCACAGAATCAGCTGCTGGACTGTGATGGTCACAACAATCTAATGAAGAAAGTGTTCGACATTTACCTCACCTTTCTAAAAATGGGACAATCAGAGGTGTCAATCAAACACGTGTTTGCCTCTCTACGAGCCTTCATCACCAAGGTGAACACAGGCCAAATGACACCTGCTTGTCTATATTTATGGCTATAAAATGGTGTATAATGTTTTTACATGGCAAGGGCCCCCACATAAAGGAAAACAGAATTTTTCAATTTATCATTTAATTAAGGAGTGTGTTATCCTGTGTAAACACTGTTAATATTTCAAAATGAAGCATTCACTTACAGTCTATATATGGAAAACTCAGCTGCCGGTGTGAATTCATCATTGTTGTGGTGTCAGAACCATCTGTACATTTACATGCGGTTGCCTATTCAGCCTAAACCCTGTGGAATTCATCCAAACACGTTCATCCTGTTGTACATTCAGCCTGGGCTATTTTTTGGAGCTTAGTTACTTGAACAAACAACAATACAGGGCAGCCAGTTAGAACAGATGTCATTTACGTGCAATAGCACTGAAAAATTTGATATCACTTTTTTATTCAACATTAATTTATACAGTGCAAATTGAAATACTATAAGAGAGACAACAGAAAAAAGTATAGTAATATTTTGATATGTGCATGAGATCTAAAATGTCTTCTCACAGCTTCCTGCTAATTAGTTCAAACCTGTGTGAAGCTGTAGAGTAGTAGAATCTTATAATTATTCCATACATTTATCTGTAACTGTTTTATTTATTTATTGATAAGTGTGGTTCCGAACGTTTGAATTTTGATCCCAAACTTTTGAACGCTAGTGTATATCAGTTTTAAAAACACAGGATCAGATGCCTGTTTATTAGCTTGAGATGAAGAGAAATTTGAAATTGGTCTTCTAAATGGTTTTGGTGCATAAAACCCCACAAACATTATAAGGGGTCTTCAAGGAAAAATAAAATGTATATTATAGACTCTTTAAGTGAAGAAATGACACAAGCTTGATTATACCTTATTAATAAAATGATCATTCTGAATGCTGGAAATGATTTCCTCTTGACGCCTCAGTTTCAGGTAGCTCTCTTCAAGGGCCATGTGACCTTATGTGGCTCGCTGTGTTACGAAGTGCTGAAGTGCTGCATGTCCAAACTGGGAATCCTGCGTGGGGAGGCAGCCGGTCTGCTCTACCTCCTCATGAAGAACAACTTTGAGTACACCAAGAGGAAGAGCTTTTTGCGCATGCACCTACAGGTACAACATGCCGTGCCCTTTTTGTGCTGTCCAATAACTGGGTTGTGAAAATATCTGTGGAATGTTCTTCTTTGAATCTCCACAATGCAATATGAATGTCACTGAAAACAGAAAATAGATCATCTTGGCACGCAGTTTGGAATAATCTGTTTACACAGATCTGCACAGAAGAATGCTTTGAACGTTCTTTTATTAGACATTAAAAGAAAAAAAAAGACAGTGAAGTTTGATCTGGTGAAACTTTTTCTTTCTCTTTACGTTGTGAACTCTAATTGAGGGTAATAAGTGAAACCAGCTTTCTAACTTTGAACTCTAGTAGCTGAGTATTTCTAAATGCATTCCAACATACATTTGGACAAAGACAGAGTACTTGATTAGAGAAGGCAACTCTTCAGTAGATTTTCGTGGTATTTAATCAGTTTTTTGCCAGACCTTTGAAGATGAAATTAAAATAACACAATGCTGTGTATGGCTTATATATGGGCATATTTCTGCAGCCCTATGCCTTAGTGGTATAAGCATTTTTGAATGTTCATTTAATGCTATGTCTGAAGCAGTTCTTTCTGCTCTATAGATCATAATTGCAGTGAGCCAGCTAATTGCAGACGTGGCACTGACAGGCAGCTCACGCTTCCAGGAGTCTCTGTCCATCATCAACAACTTTGCCAACAGTGACAAAACCATGAAGGTATGGGTATAATGTTTTGACTCTGGATTATTCATTGAATTAATCACAAGATTTTTTGTGTTTATTGAGATCTAGGTGTTCATTAATTAATAAGGAATTTTAAAGCTGATAAAATCTTACATGCTTGGCCAAGTGTTTGTCTGATTTGTTGGAAGTCTTTGAACAGTGAACTAAACATTAAGAAACGTTAATGTGCATTGTTTTTTTGTTATTTTATCCTGCAAGTGTATTTCTGAGGGTGCATATGTGCACTTACAAAAGTTTATTTTTAGATGTGACGCACCTCATGGACCTGGCCTATATCTAGTTAACTAACCAACTAACTAACTGACTGAATGACTCACTGACTGAATGACTGACTCACATACTCACGTTCAGTGGGCTAACGATGCTCCACAAGGGTGCGCTATTCAGTGTGTGTCAGGGGGCTTGGGGTGGCACTGTCAAAAAGAGTAGTTCACTTACATGGTCACCAAATAAGCGAACACAGTGCACAGTTTTCAAGGCATAATTCATCATTGAAACCATATACCTAACAATTGATAAGTGTTAAACAGCACAGCTACAGGAGCTGGTTAGCTTAGCTAGCTTGATAACAGCTCGACAACCAAGATAATGGATCGCTGTGTCTTAGCAACTGGGAATTTTTGGCAAATGTCACAAGGAGTAGAAGCTGCAAAAGCAGCTCAAAAGATGATAAGTTATATGTGGAAGAACTCAGAATCAGCTGCTGAATGAAGCTTTCCGTGCTACTTTTACTTTTACAAAATGGAAAGTAGCCTGCCCAGTGTTCCCGTTTCCTTCTTCTGTGGGGAGCAAAAGATGTCTTATTTACACTTGAAGACATTTGGCTTGTATGTTTTATACTTTGTCTGATGTGGAGCTGTATCTCTAAAAGCAGCGTAGAGTAATGTTTATCTGTGTGCAAAAGCAATAAAGGTTTTAGCTCCTAAATGAGGTGGACAAACCCTCTGTTCTCTTTTACCTTTCCATGGTGGAAAGCAACCTGCACAGTGTCACATTTTGCTCATTTTGTGAGAATCAAATGTCTTTTTGATCGGAATTCTGCCAATTTTTATGGTGCGAGCAACACAACGAAGTTGCAGGAAAAAAAAAGGTTGCTTGCGGTGAGTGTAGTTTTAATGTAAAAAAAATCTCTGAATATTTCACATTTTCAGCCTGTGAAAGCCAAAATCAAACCTGTCCTGTAGTATGTGTAGCTCTAAGCCTTCGTTGAGCTGCTATCATGCTAACTTTTTTTCCTCGCTCCGATTTTTTAACCTCTTTCAACCATCCAACTATTGCTGAGCTTCTATATGACCAATCAGTGAGCTCCTCTAAAATATCAGTGAGTGGATTGTGTTTATTTAGCTGTTCAGATGTGGAATAGAAATTTGACATATCATAATACTGTCATCATTTTTAGGTGCCTTGGTGTACCTTGTTACTGTTGTGCTGCCTAACCCTACGCCAATAACAATAATTATACTGCATATCATAAATACTTTTTTTCTCTGAAGTATTCTTGATTATTCCACAATTAGGTAAACTACTTATATTTAAAGTTTCTTTCAAGAATGGTTTAGGAATCTGAATGGTTCCAGGTCATTATCAGGGGTATCAGAATTGACAAATCACAAATGATACCAGACTCCTGTAGTAGTGCCATTTCAGGTAGTAGTTCGTAACACTACTACTACTATTTCCAGTTATTTAGACCTATTGTTTGCTACATAAATGACTGACAGTAAGTCATTACTGTTTTGGAAACACCTACAAAATATCAGGTGCATATATCAGGTGCATACCATGGTTAAATATCTAACACAGTCTAACGAAAGTGTTGTATTACCTACAAGGTCAATTTACATTATTCATAGATGCCCTCTATCTGATTCTGAGTTTCACATCAATGACATTCTGTGCCCCTGTTATCTATATAAACACGTATTTACTTGTTTGTGTGTATATATATATATATATATATATATATATATATATATATATATATATATGTATGTATGTTTGTGGGATCTTGTGTCCTACCATTTTATAATACCAAACTTGTGTGTGTGTGCATAGGCTACATCATTCCCTGGAGAAGTAAAAGGCCTAACTAAACGCATCCGCACAGTTCTGATGGCCACTGCTCAGATGCGTGAGCATGAGAAAGACCCAGAGATGCTGCTGGACCTCCAGTACAGCCTGGCCCGCTCTTACGCTAGCACTCCTGAGCTCAGACGAACCTGGCTGGACAGCATGGCTCGCGCTCACCTCAAGAACGGAGATTTCTCTGAGGTACAATTCAGTTTTTTTTTTTTGATAAATTCAGCTAAGAACATTATGCAGTCAGCAATTAGTATTCATTCTGTCCTTTCTGTCCAACACATTGTCAGTGTCGCTGTCGCAAATAGGCAGTGAATGTACAAGCTTTTTAAGCGTCTATGTATAGTTTGCATGTCATTGCTCTTGTAACATTTTCTACAAAATAGATACTTTATAGAAGAAGGGAAGAACATTGTTAACTTAAATGTACGTTATTTTAATGATATTATGTTCAAAGTGATTTTGGATGGTTTTTGGCTGATGACAGTGACGATATGCAGTCTTTTTTGTCACCATGAGAATATTCTTTGTATCCAAAAGTTGTCTCTAAACAGTTAAATGGTACATGTATCAGGAATGCAGTCGGATCTCAGCAGAGAGAAACGATTCTTATCTTAATGCAAACACAGTCTTTCTGGAGCCGCGCCCAGTGACTTTGCTGTTCTTTTCCTCACCGTTGTGTTTAGCGTGGTAGGTCGTAAGTGTTGTATGATAAACTTTCCCACTTGGCATACAGGCTTATTCAGCAATGACATCTTACTCCAGGTTTGCTTGATAGTTGAAAAATAGAGCTGGCATATTCTCAAATTGCAGGGTTATTTTGTTTTGTTTTGTTTTTACCATGAAGCCAATGGTTCTAATTCTGCTGATTGCTCCCTAAAGTATATTAACTGCTGCTGACAATATCATCCAGAGTATGAATGGTATTTGACTGTGTTGTGAACTCTGTTTATTATTTTTTTTTGTATGCACCAGCAACGTTTCTGCATGCTAGTCATTGCAGAAAGGGCAAGCCCAAACCAGTTTGTTGTGTTGGTAGATCTAGAAAGCCAGGGCCATGAATACTCATGTGTGTTTTGCACCTAGATTTTTCTTTGGTCTTTTTCTTTTAAATATGTTGTAAAACACTGTAAAGACAGGCACCAGCATGTTTTTTTTATTTGTTACTTTGAATCCTGTGGTTGTTTATATAATTATGCTCGAAAAGTTGCATGCAAATCACAGGAAAATCTTAATTAGGGTAATCATAAGATGATCTTCATGAGAATTCTATTAAGGTCATCATAGGTCCTAGACTGTTTGTTCTATTGAGTAAACCTTTGTTTAACATGCTACAGTATTTAGTTAAGAAAAAGGTCTTATTTGAACTGACTGTTTGGCATGCAAATTCTACTACCACCACTCTTAAGTTGTGCTAAGAGGGGACATAGTCTCTTAAGAAATAGTTAGTATTTTCTGCAGACCAAAAAGAGCACAGGGACATGCTACTGGAAAAGCTGTGACCTCTGGACTCTCATAAGAAAAACAGAAATCCATGGAGCCAGAGAAGTATTTTCTAGGGCAAAGGTTAAGGGAATGAATGTTGTTACTTTCTCTCGTCTTCTCAATACTTTGAGTGTTAAATTTGCAACGTAATGAAATTTTTCTTTCAAGTAAAACACCCATAAACATTTTTGCACATTTGTGTAAAAGGCTTTCAGTCACTCTTAGTCTAATCATAATATTTTACACAAAATTAGCTTTACGTTCTTGCATTACATGCTTTCACAAGAATCATTTTATTCCTTTGTGTCCATAGGCGGCTATGTGTTATGTCCACATTGCAGCATTGGTGGCAGAGTATTTGCACAGGAAAAGTAAGTTTTCTTTTTTTATGATTTATTAAAAATTAAAGGGATCTGTCTTTACATTATCAGTTTAATGACATTGGCCATTGGCTATAATGATACACCCCTACACACTGGCATACTCTATAACATATAGTTCACTGTGCAATTCACAGTGCACTGACTTTCACACCTGCACTACTCAGTTTTGCATGCACATGCATACTGGGCCACATATAAGGTACGCAAAAGATGAATGAATTCATTTTGCATAACAAGGCTCAGCATGCTTGTTAGATTTTCAGAGAACTAAAAGTCTCAAACAGTATGAAGGATGTAAATATTGAGCTAAAGCAGTAGCTCAGATCCAGTTACACTAGGCCAGTGAAATTTCCCTTTCTGTGTCACATGCAAATAGAGAACATGCTCAGCACAGTCAGCTCACAGTCCTCTCCTGAACTTGTGGTGCAGATAGAACTTGTCAGATGAAGCGCTGCGACAGATGGGTGTATTATAGGCTGCACTTGCACATTTGCCTAGATTGTTTAAAAAATTTATGTAGAATCTAACACGGTAAAGATGAAATGTGTCCTGTGGTTTTCAAATACAAAATATGTGCTGTGCTATTGGTCAATTTGGTATTGGTCCGGATTAGTTCCAATGCAAACTAGAAGGTCGTGCCAGGTGCCACCAATTTTGCATAACTAGAAAACAGATCAGGAGTTCAGTTAACAGAACATTAACAAAAGACTTCTAACTGGTTTCAGAAGAGCTGAGTATGGGAAATGCACCCACTAACCCTTAGCTTTCATAAGTTTACATTCCTGATTGTATGAAATGTGGAAAATAAACCTCTTTGAGACCTTTGTGTTTTATTTAACCCTCCTTTTATTTTTGGGGACAATTTGACCCCATTCAGTATTTAACTGACATCATTTTTTGCTTCATATTTAATGATTTCTCTTAATTCAATGGGAACAACTGGGTAAACATAAAATTAACATGATATGTTTTCAATGTCCCGTACACATTTCGTACACATCAGTGTTCCCTGGGATCAGTTTGACCTCAGGCTGTTTTAGCTGTATAAAACACAAGAAATATTAACATTTTACACAAATTTGTTTTGTTTGTTTTGGATGATATTGAGGTCACTATAATATGCAACTTTATAATCTTCAAAACACTTTGCTCTGCTTTAAGGCCCTAACCTAACATACCATACCTGTAGTAGTGTGAGGACCACTCATAAGTCACACCACATGGGGGATGGGAAAACATAACTTCAACAAGGACTTTGATATTTCCCAGAGGTTAAAATTACTGAGGTCAAATTAATAAAAGATGTTAGTAAATTTAGGGATAACAGGAGGGTTAAACTATTATGAATTCACGGTCTCTGTTCCTCAGTTTCTTGTGCTGTTGTTTAATAAGGTGTTATGTATTATGTATATAATAATAATGTTCTTCTCTGGCCTTACAGAACTGTTCTCGACTGGACTGGCAGCATTTAAGAAGATTACCTTCAACATAGAAGAGGAGGCTGCCATGAAGGAAGACTCAGGCATGCAAGATGTGTACTACACTGAGGTAGTGTATTTTTTTGTTTGTGAGTGCAGGTGTCTGTTAGCTGATGTAACATAACTGGCGGTTAGCGTTCTCTTCCAACTGCCGCTAAAGCAACGTTCTCCTGACGTTGCTTTAGCAGCGGTTCAAAAAGATGCAGTGGTTGGCTTCACATGTCAAGGAGGGAGCTTGTGTTGGCCTTTGCTCTCCTAGCGCTGGTGGTATTGTGTGACTGGGGGAGTTCTAACTCTAATTCTAGTGTGTGGAATTGGATACTACTGAATTGGAGAGGAAATTGAAAAAAAAGACTGGCAAAAAGTGATTCTAGCAGCCCAGACATTACTAACGAATGTAGTGTAAATGTTTCAGATTTGCTCTTGAATTAATAACATAATGTAAAATAGCATATCCTATGTGTGTGTGTGTGTGTGTGTGTGTGTAACAGGATGTTCTGGTAGAGCAGCTAGAGGTGTGTGTTGAGGGCCTTTGGAAAGCTGAGCGGTTTGAGCTCATCACACACATTGCCAGACTCGTCATCCCAGTCTATGAAAAGCGCCATGAGTTTGAGGTAAGAACAATTAGAGGTAGTTTGCACAAGTTCTTACACCTTATACGTTCCTCTAGTAACACCATCATCTCTTATTTCACAAACCGGTTGTCTTTAAGAGAATACGCTCACCAAGGGGCCACTTTGGGTCACTTAAGGTCAGTCAAAAAAAACCACAATATGTCAAACAAAGTGTGCATAAAAAAGATTTTTTCATGCTTCTAAAAAACATAAAACAAAAACTTGCAGCATATGTTTCCTAAAGTCCCTAGCTTTGTTCAGATTCACTGCGCAAACGTGCATACTTGTCAACTTTCAGTGAAATTAGCCATTTTGAATGATGAACGTGCGACTTATGTGAATCATGTAGATTTGATGAGATTTTAGTTTTGTGAAGGGGCAGGTCTGGGGTCTGAGAGCAAGAGAATCCCTCCTCTCCCATAAAGACAGCACAACAGCAGTTCAGCTCACAGTCTTTTTTCAACCAACTCAAAGATAAAGTATTTAATTTTTATAAGCTAATCAGAGCCAGGATAACGTTAACAAAATGTGAAAAGAAAGTCATGTTTAGTGACCAGTGAAGTTGGTTTAATTTTCACATACTTTCATTTCTTTCTTTAGTTGCTTTCAAACTGTGCATGAAAAAGGGTTAATATATATAAATTAGCAAACAAGCCAATCAGCTTTCATTGATTTTTCATTTGAAATTGAAGTACGTTTATTTCTGTGAACTGTCGCAACTTCTATGAGAGCTTAGCCATTGTCTACAATTTTATTCGCAGTCATTGAGATCCAACGCCATAATGGAGCTAGTACAACACAAATGATGGGCAAAGTTTTTAGAATTACCTCGATTTACAATAGATGCAGAGTCTTTCATACACACTGACCTTGGCATGGTAAGCAGCAATTTTTTAACAAGAAAGTCAAAATACCTAGAAAGGTTTTGAACATGACTTGTATTATGCATATTGCATATTCTGCATATATGTATATTGCATATAACTTAATGAACTAAATAATTCCACGGCAATTACACCTGTGTAGAATGCACAAGAATTGTTTTGTTAAAATCACAAAAATAATTCTTCTAGAACTGCTACCACTGGACCCAGCTACAAGAGATTTGTTTCTAAACTTGTCACCTTTTTCACTGCTCATGATTCATGTTTTCATGTCTGATTCAAAATGTATTTGTATAGTGTGTAGTGTGCCCCTAGTGACCAAGCCAAAGGTGTAACAGCTTAAGGAAAAAACTCCCACAGAGCCAAAAGTAAGACACTAAGAGGAGCCAAGACTGAAAAGAGGAACCCCAGTGACTTCTGTTAGAGTGTTAGACATGAGAACAAGTTAACATGAACAGGTACGGAACTCAGTATAGTGCAAGAGAGGTGTTCGTTGTCTAGAACAGACTATACTATACTGCTCCAGTTACACATTTTAACAAGAGTAGTTTGGATGGATGCATTCCCACACCGGACACAATAAACTGTATCAGCATGTGGAGCTTTATGTGTGCCGCATGTTTTCTATCACTATATAAAAGAAGCACCATGCTACTATTACTGTACAGTAGTTTCTGAGCAAGCATGTGTACACATTTAGAACAGAACTCACATCGCTAAGAGCTTATTATTGTGTTGTTTCTTCAGAGTCACAATAAAAAGTAACTGAAGTGTGAATTAATGACAGGCATCAGAAATTGTTTAAAATAAACAAACAAAATATAAATCTAGGAATTTCCAGCTTTGTCAGGTCATGTTCCTCACAAGCTGTTGTAAGCTTAATGAAATCTGCTGATCTGCCTGTGTACTATGCTTTTGTACTATGTGTAACTAAATGACAGAGTTCTCCTCAAGGAGATGTGCATCCAGGGATTGGTGGTAACTTGACAGACTTGTACTGTAAATCCTTTGCCTTGTGGATTGAAAATGAATGCAATATCCAGTGTCCTCTACCTGTTATCACTGAAATTAAAATGCACAAATTTTATCACCGGCAGTCCCCAGGTTCGTTTAGCACAGTTTCAATTCTTGAGGCATGTTTTTAGAGTCAGTTTCAGTGATTTGAATCATTAGCCTATGCAGTGAATGCTAAAAACTGGTGATGAACTGACCTGTCAAATTTATTGTGCAGAAACCTGGGGACCTGTATGTGGGCCCATGCCTCGATTCCTCACTCTCCTAACAGCACAGTTTATGGTGATACACAAAGTAAACTGCAACACAGTTTACTGCTTGAGTGGGAGAAGTGACTCAGTAAAAGGGCAGCCTCAAGATGAGTAACTTCACCAACTCAACCAGCGCACTAAACAAGGTCTGCTTCTATAGACACATTCCAAACCAGGCCATGTGAGAATGAGCTTCATAGAAGACAGTAATGATCATAAAAGACCAAGTTGTAAAAACTGACACTGAACAATTCTGTCTTTGCTTATGCCTAATAAATAAAGATATAAATGTTCTGTTTCTGTTTAATTTTGCCTTAAAATAAAACAATTAATTTGCATTGAAATACATAATTTATTTTACCTCTTCTATAATTAAGCTAGAGGGTCTACAATACATTGGAGGAAATCTGAGTTAATCAGGCTCACCTGATGACCTTGTCAGGGGTTTCTAAGTGACAACATTGTTATGGACAAAACTTATTTCAAGAGGCTTATTAGAAAGAACTGAAATGGACTAGCCAAGCTTTAAAAGCAAGCAACAGGGGTATTCAGTTCCGGTCTTGGATGGCTGGTGTTTGGTGATTTTTTTCTGCTCAAGCACCCCAGGATTAACTTTTTTGTTAATTGCCAGGTTTAGTGGGTGTGACTAAGCAAGAAAATAACCTGTGCTGGACTGTGGCCCTCCATGATCTGAACTGAATGATCTGAATACCCCTGCATTACACAGTTAACAATGCACAAGAGCTTTGAGAGGAGGAAGTCAAGATGAGAGGCAACTTGATTTCTAAAAACAGAAGAAGTGGGCAGAAAAAGACACTGTTTATGAAAAGTAAACAGAATAAAACAAGACCTGTCCATGTAAACTGAAACTCAAAAGAGAGAGGGAAAAATGTAACCACGCTCTCCTCTCTACGTTTATATCTATCCATTCTGTTTAGCATTGACCCTTTAATAGTTTACTCAGCATAGAGGTCCTTTACTCTCCAACTGTTATGTATTGAAAAAGCTAGCTTTCTAATTGTAAGGAATCGATACAAGAATGAGTGTTGTCCTCTTGGTTAGCAGAAAAGACCTAACTGCATGTCCTCTTGTTAACATTTTGCCAACTTAAGTCATGTGCAAAAGTTTGGGCACTCCTGGAAAAATAACTCGCTTTGTCGATTTTCCTGAGTGAAAATAAGTTAACACATCTGCAGAGAACACATTCTTGCACATTTTAATGCGCAATAGCTGTTCATTTGCTCAGCTTAACGTATTGGGGGGGAAAGAAATACGTGGACTGTGCAAAAGTCATGACACATTTTACGTTAGTTTTATGTTTACCCAATATGTTTAACTCTGTGTTGGCAAATAAATAGAAATTGCACAGAAAATTATTTGAAAATCAACAAATTGTGTATTTTGACCAAGGGTATTAATTTGTTTTTTGCATATGACTGTATATAACTTGCTGCATTTGATTAATGAAAAAGAATAGCGAAATATGACACAAAAAAATCCTGGTTGTGTTTAGCAACAGCAATTACAGATTGATCACATGTCCAAACACAAATATGTGGTTCTTTACACTCAGTGCCAAGCAGCTTCACTAGACTCAGGAGTGTATTACAGAGCTATTAATACTGAATGGCTTATGTAATATTTGTACATTTTATTAGTTTTAGAATTTTTTTTCTCACGCAGCAGGAAAAGCACTTTTTCCATATTGTCTTCTGGTTCCTCAAAACCATGTTTCTTGCTAGCTGACTACACAAGGTTAATGCACCACAAAAGATGTGCTTTAATGCGGAAAATCCAAGATTGCAGTCTTTTGGAATTTACATAAAGCAGGTGGGCACAGGTCTAACCAGATTTGTGTTGCTATAGTATATGAGATTAAGTCACCCAATGTGTTGACACCCAATATTGTGTTGAAATTGAAAGCAGAGATCTGTAATGTTAGCACTAACACTTGGCTCATATCAAGGCTCCATTTAAATACAACAGTAACACTATAAATCATTTTATCCTGAAGCTCTGTTTGAATTACTGTCAGTCTCATATAAAAAAAAACTAATATGGAGCCAAAAAACATCCTACTTTCTTGTTATTTTCGTGATGAAACAATTCCTCATGAGCCATTCTGTACATGTAACTCGCACTGGCTCTTAATGTGTTTATGGAAACCAGTCACAAACAAGGCTTGGCCTGTGCCTCCATATATGGCTGCTCTCCACAGTGTCATAAATATGGTTGAGACAAGTTTATACCAACATGACCTGTGTGCTCTTAATGCCTTTTATTTCTCTAGCTCCATTAGAAAACTATGCTAACATAGTTTAAACATTCGTGGTCATGTTCATAAAGCATTTCAGAGTGTGAAATCTAGTGATCTTTCTAAATCAGTGGGGTTTTTCTTTAGCTCATCACAGATTTTGACTAGATATATGAAATTTATTTTGTTAACAATGTCAAAAAAATGACATTAAGCACATTGGCTATCCACACATTTTTAGCGACTTCACTATATATATATATATATATATATATATATATATATATATATATATATATATATATATATATATATTATAATATACTAGAGCAGTATAATATACTAGAGCAGTACTGCCAAATTTGGCCTGTGAGGACAAATGTGCTTTAGAGTGATTTTTTGTCATAAAGACAGTGATTAAAAAGTTAAAAATAATCACAGCCTAGATTTCGCTCAGTGAAAACTTAATAAAAAAAGAACCCAAACTGATGAGCATTTGCTATTATTAACATGTGAATAACTGAATAGTGTAGATACTGATTAAAAACTGACACTCATACAGCGAGATCCTCAGTACTGCATATATTGTCCCAGATCTCAGTTGGCTTTGAGGTTTGGTGAGTGTTTGCCGCAGGGATTACAGGCATTCAGCCATTCCGGCTGAACTGTCATCTGAAAGGATACAGGTCCTTTGTGCTTACCATAAAATTCTGGTAGGAAATTAAGCCTAATCTGTTCCAGCTGTTCAAACAAACTAAAAAAGAGGCTCTAATGACAGGAATGGGAGATGATATTGATGTAAAACTTATACAGTGTCACTTGAAAGAATGGAAAAATGTCCTGGAACCCTGCCTAATGGATATTGAGGGTTATTGAAATTGGAAGGGACATTTTTATCAGATTCAGATGGATGTTTACTTGTACATGTTGCAAAACAAATTTGTTGTAATATGAAGGACCAGTTGCCAAAACTTAATTTCTCTTTCTTGTACACTCAAGCACGAAGGAGTGAACCCTATGTATTTATTTCCTTTGTAGAAGCTGAGACGGTTGTACGATACCCTACAGAGAGCCTACTCTAAGATCTTAGAGGTGATGCAGACTGGTCGCCGTCTACTGGGAACCTACTTCAGAGTGGCCTTCTATGGGCAGGTGAGTGAAGTTCACACATGCAGTGAATACCCCAGTGCTGAATGTTTATGGCCTATATTCAAATACCAAGAAGGCACCATTTTATTATAATGGTTTTAAAATAAATGTGTCTCTCCCAGAGATTACCTATTATAAAACCATATTAAAACAATTTTTAAGAAAAGTTAGCCAAAATATAAAAATTTTCCCCTTACCTTAAATATACTAGATCAGCCAAGACATGTTTATTGTCTGAAGTTTGTTCCTTTAGTATTGCACTGAAGCTACAAGGCTAATGTAGCTAACAGGTAGGAATGCAACCATTTTGTTCAGACTGAATACAAGTACATATTTTTTAGGAACTTGCGGATTTCAAGTCTGATACCATAAGTAGTTGTTATGTGAAAAAAATGCAATGTACCTTAACAGTTAAATCATTAAAATCTAGCTGATTTTAAATGAAGTGCATTAGCTAGCTATGTTGCATTAGTCACATTGGATCGAGTAGCACTGCAGTGGAGAAGAGTGGATTTTGTTTCACTCAGAAAAGCACTTCTGAGCAGCTTTAAGTAAAGTTTAATAGTTTTGATGCTCATCATCTGCCTCTTACAACATCACTCTCTGCAGCACAGCTACAGCAGATAGCACATCAGAGGCTAATGCATGCAGGGCTAATCCAAGGAGCTCACTTGTGGAGTTTCACATCTAAAGTAATTTGTTTGGCTGGTTGAGCTGTAATTGAATGTCCTCTAAAGCCAGACATACACATTGTGATTTTACAAATCCTGTGAATCACATTCTAAGTTTGAATAGCCCATCATGTATGGACAAAGCCTACAGTTTATACATTCACACCATACAAAAACACTCATGGTACATGAAATACAGCCTCTACACACAGCTCTGTCCATGAACAATTTCAAATAAATAAAGCAAACATACTGAGAAACTGAGCTACAGCAGCACTGCCAGCTAAACTCTGCACTAAAACACACACAGCAGGACAATACAGTCTCTCTACAACCTATTTTATAAAGACAGTTTTAAAAAAATTATGTTTATACTTTGCAATTGTGCTCAGTCAAACAGAGTAAAGTTAGCATATACGAACTTTAGTGACAAATGTTGACTTTTTCGCCTCAGTTTATCTAGCCTACTTGTCTCCATCCGTATTGGGGAAGCGGTTGTGATTGTATGGGTGTTTAAAACGGGCTAAAATTGCACAGTGTATTCCTGGCGGGAATTTGCCAAGGCAGAATTTTTAAGGTGACCAGCGACTCCACAGTCAGTAACACACTTCTCCATGTGAGCAGAACCTCCATCACTGCCAACTTGACGCTAGGCTTACGTCACACTCTATCAGTGGTATAATTTTTGCTAAATTATTATACATATATACAGTGCCTCCAAGTAGTATTCAACCCCCTGCAGATTTTGCAAATTCAACAAGTTGCAAATAAGTTAGAGACTTTAAACTTTGAACAAGAATAGCATTTATTAACAGATGCCTAAATATTACAAACAAAAATTATAAGTTGCTCAGTTAAATTATAATATATTTTAAACATAAAAATTAGAATCAATTATTATTCAACCCCTAGGTTTAATATTTTGTGGAATAACCCTTGTTCGCAATTACAGCTATTAATCGTTTTTTATAAGACCTGATCAGGCTGGCACAGGTCTCTGGAGTAATCTTGGCCCACTCCTGCATGATCTTCTCCAAGTTGTCTAGGTTCTTTGGGCATCTCTTGTGGACTTTGATCTTGAGCTCCTTCCACAAGTTTTCAATTGGGTTAAGGTCAGGAGACTGACTAGGCCACTGCAACACCTTGATCTTTTCCCTCTTAAACCAGGCCTTGGTTTTCTTGGCCGTGAGCTTGGGGTCATTGTCCTCTTGGAAGATGAAATGATGACCCATCTTAAGATCCTTGATGGAGGAGCGGAGGTTTTTGGCCAAAATCTCCAGGTAGGCTGTGCTATCCATCTTCCCGTGGATGCGGACCAGATGGCCAGGCCCCTTGGCTGAGAAGCAGCCCCACAGCATGATGCTGCCACCACATGCTTGACTGTAGGGATGGTATTCTTGGGGTCGTATGCAGTGCCATCCTCTCGACAAACGCCCCGGGTGTGGTTAGCACCAAAGACCTTGATCTTGGTCTCATCAGACTAGAGAACCTTGTACCAGTCTGCCTCAGAGTCCTCCAAGTGATCATGAGCAAACTTTAGACAGGCCTTGACATGATGCTTTGAAAGTAAAGGTACCTTATGGGCTCGCCTGGAACGGAGACCATTGCGGTGGAGTACGTTACTTATGGTATTTATTGAAACCAATGTCCCCACCGCCATGAGATCTTCCCGGAGCTCCCTCCTTGTTGTCCTTGGGTCAACCTTGACCGTTGGGACAAGCCTGGCCTCGGCACGGGAGGAAACTTTGAAAGGCTGTCCAGGCCATGGAAGGTTAACCATAAGCCTTCCACTTCCGGATGATGCTCCCAACGGTGGAGACAGGTAGGCCCAACTCCTTGGAAAGGGTTTTGTACCCCTTGCCAGCTTTGTGACCCTCCACGATTTTGTCTCTGATGGCCTTGGAATGCTTCTTAGTCTTTCCCATGTTGACCATGTATGAGTGCTGTTCACTTGAATGGGGAGGGGCTTTTATAGTCAGAAAAGGCAGGAAAAAAACAGATAATTAATCCAAGCATGTGAAGCTCATTGTTCTTAATACCTCAATTACTTCTTAATACTTGAGGGAACCAAACAGAATTCTGGTGGTTTGAGGGGTATAATAATTATTAATAATTGATCCTCTGGTAAACTTTGCAAAAGTTTTAAAAATTAATAAACAGAGGAATATCATTCTTTTTTGCTGCAGTGCATTTCACATGTCCAGGCCCATCTACAGTCCAAATTTCACAATGCTAAGTTAACTCCAAATGTTTAAACCTGCAAAATCTGCAGGGGGTTGAATACTACTTGGAGGCACTGTATATATATTATATATGTGTGTGTGTTTGTGTGTGTGTGTGTGTGTGTGTGTGTAGATTAGTCCTAAAAGTACAGTAACAACTGTACAGTTTACACCTAACTTGATAAAGAGAAGTTGGAAAGTGGACATGTACAATTTAATTAAGGCTGTTTTTGGTACCTAACACACAAAAACATCAAAAGTGGAGGTTAAGAAGTAAAATACAAGCAAAATGACTTCAGTTTGAATTGTTTTCCATGTGTTTACAGAACAATAAGGATTAGAATGTAATTAATTCTTTAGGTCTTTAACCTCATAATATAAAAAAGATTAAAAAAAACAGGGTATCATTTTAGCATCTGGGATGACAAATATACTTTTCCTGTTTTAAATGTGTTTTCTGTTTCTTATTTTATGTGAAAATAATTTTGGAATGATTCTGAAAACAGCTGTGTGTATTCCAAACAGCTCTGAATACATAAACAACACGGCACTATTTTGCTTGTTTGTCATCATCAAAGAAATAAATATTTACATACTATTTGCTACTCTCTAATGCAATAATATGTCTGCTTTGGGTTCTATTTTTGGGTCTTTTTTCTGTCGTTTAAGCGTGTTAGGGAAATGTATGCATACACATAGTTTAGAGATGTTTACTGCTGTACCTAGCATGTAATTTTGAAACAGTTTACTGATATATGTTTTACACCTATACTTTGGTCAAATATTGTGGTCATGATGTGTGATGGATGTTTGCCTGACCTTTGCCCCACCCTTTTTCATTAGAATGATTAAAAGCTTCTGCATTCTTCTGTCTGAACCAGTATTTTTGTTTTGCTTACAGCAGCAAACAAGACCATACTAGGTTCTGTGCTACGTTACTACTTTTAGTAAACTTGATTTATAACATTTTAATAACCTATTGAAAACCACCAAGGGCTCGGATAGGTTTAACTTTCCTTATGCAATTTACTGTGACTCTCAGTTTGACAAACGTTATGGCCTAAATCCAGTGAAATTCTTATCCAGTGAAAATGTTCTTATATTTGGCTTCATTTGGTTTGTTTGCTTGTCTTAAATTGACATTTGTGGCTTTTTTTTAGCCGCTGTTCGATTTCATCAGGCTGATGACTTATGGCAATGTCAAAACAATTTAGCTTCCTGCAAGCTGCTAGAGTTTATTGAAGCAGGATTAACTGAAATGTGATATAATTTAATGAAATTATATTTCCCATAGAATTGTGAATTTGTATTCAAAACATGCAAAAAAATGTTTGTACAAAATGTGAAAATGCATGTAAAGTGACTGACTATCTAACAAATTTTTAACATCAGGGCTTCTTTGAAGAGGAAGATGGAAAAGAATACATCTACAAAGAGCCAAAACTCACTGGCCTGTCAGAAATTTCTCATCGTCTGCTCAGCCTTTATGGGGACAAGTTTGGTGCAGAGAATGTCAAAATCATCCAGGACTCTAACAAGGTACTTGCAGGAGAATTAAGCTGGTCATGTTGTAGGATTTAGTTTTTTGTAGGCATGCTTGTACATGGGCGAAAAGGAAGAGTCAAGCATTTTATTTTGCGCTGAAGTTGTAAGACTTATTGGTGCATTCTGATGGCTTGGGTTCATGAACGAAGCAGGAAAGACTTGTTTACCAGAGCTATTGGATAACGTCCAGCAGATTCCACTTCTCTATACCCCAGTACTTCTCTTAGTACACTTCACCTGCTTTCACCTATATAACCTCTCATGACATCTTTTAATCTACATTCCGATCTTTCTCGATTTCTTTAAGTGCTTTAGATTTTAAAATATATGTCCTTATTGTTACATGTTTTATATTTTTAATAATAATTCAGATTTATTCCATGTTTATTCCATGGTCTTTCACCTGACAGGTAAACCAGAAAGATCTGGATCCAAAGTTCGCCTACATACAGGTCACATTTGTCAAGCCTTACTTTGACGAGAAAGAGCTGGCTGAGAGAAAGACTGACTTTGAGAAGTGTCACAACATCAACCGCTTTGTTTTCGAAACACCGTACACACTCACAGGGAAAAAGCATGGTGGGGTTGAGGAGCAGTGCAAGAGACGAACGATTCTCACGAGTGAGTACAGCAGCTGTGAGTCACTGGGCTGTCTGAGAGAGAGGATGTGTGTGAGAATTCAGGGTTGTGTTCATGGTTCCTCACTTGAGCTCTACATATAACTATGGAACTATACATAATAGTGGAGGCTGAGGTCCAGCTGCTCACATGCTGTTCCTATTAGTCTCTTTCAAATACAGCTTCTACCGTCCACTCATGTAGCTATGACACAATGTACTGCTATTTAAATGGGGAAAAAAAAACTTCATAGGTTTCACTAAACAAAAATAGTTCAAATTAGAGCTCAAAATGTGTACTCAGTTGTTGTGCTATTTCATTATTGAGATATGTCCTTTAGGATGTAGCTTTTGTTAAAATGCTTCAGTCTGTGTTGGGTCACAATTGTAACTCTAACAGCTACAGCAGGTGCACAGCGTACTTTGCCCCTTTTAATGATGGACAGATAAGGGAAAATGGGATTTTTACTAACAGATCCTCCTGTGTTCTCTGTGTTTGCCTGCTGTCTGACTGGTATTACTACAAAAAGGTTTGCCAGGCAGCAGACAAAAGACCAGGATTAAATCTGTTGTCACAAGCTCGGCCTAAGGCGGGGGTTTTCTATTGTGTGCATCGGTGTATATGTATGTGATCGCGTGTGTCTCTGTGTTTTTGACACGATGATTTTCATTGAGCTGATCTATGCATGTGTGCGTGTCCACAGCGGCAAACACCTTCCCCTATGTGAAGAAGCGCATAGAGGTGGTCGGCGAGAAGCATTTGGAGATGAAGCCCATTGATGTGGCCATCGATGAAATGAGAGAACGCAGTACTGAACTCAATAAACTTTGCTCAAACCAGGAGGTGGACATGATCCAGCTGCAGCTAAAACTGCAGGGCTGTGTCAGCGTGCAGGTCCTGAAACCTCTCAGTACTTATGTCTTGCTAATATACTGTATAACTGAGAATTTTTAATGGGGTTGCGCCGTTATGAGAATTGCGGGTTGATGCCCATGTCCAATATTTTTCCTTCACCAATGCTGATAAATGCACATTAATAAAATGTAGAAATTGGTGAAATTAACATTTCATAGAAATGTAACCTTTGTTTGTTAACGGTTTCAAATGCAGTATACTCTTCCAACAATATATAAGTCAAATCAAATATCTGATTAAGGTCCAGTGGCGATGATTTTTTTGAAGCAAATATCTGCCAATACCAATATGATTCCAATATCATCACGCATCCCTAATCCTAAAGGAAACCTGCTTTGTAAATTTTATTTGTAGGTTTTTGAACTTGTAAGCTTCTAGCCAGACTGTGGAAAACAGTTCTGCGTGATTGTGAGATAAACACATAAAATGGATAACAATTTTGGTAAAGTCAAATAGGTAGTACATTTCTGAGCATAATGATCTGTGGTTTTTGGGTTTAGGTCAATGCTGGTCCCATGGCCTATGCCAGAGCTTTCCTGGATGAGTCCAAATCTGGCCAGTCCAGTAAGAAAGTGAAGGAGCTCAAAGAGATATTCAGGTGTGTACTGTACCGACTAAGGTACCATCTTACCTACAACCATATATGTGGTTTTGCCCACAATTTGACAAGGAGGAGCGACTGACAAAGGAATAGAGCTCTATAGCAGAGAAAAACAGATATGCCTGTTCCATTTCCTATCTTAGTTTGAACCATGCTTTGCCTCTCCACTGAATATTATCTGATCTTTGCATGCATACATATATGCCGTTAGTAACAAGATGACACGACTGCTTGTATCATGTGCCTTGAATCTAACTTGGCTCAAGGCTCTGGTAAACAAACATTATCGGCAGTGAATTTTGCATTGGGACTGCACTGCAAAAACTCACTCAACTGTATTACATAAGTCTGTTCATAAACTTTTAATGTTACTTAATGACCATCTAATGTTACAAAAAGAACAAATTTATTTCTTACAGTAGTACTACCTAATCTTTCATTAAAGCTTTATACCTTTCACTACTACTTGACCTGGTTGTCATCATGTCTTCTTCCAGGAGGTTTGTTCAGTCATGCAGCATGGCTTTAGATATTAATGAGCGGCTCATCAAGGAAGACCAGTATGAGTATCATGAGGGACTGAAGGGCAACTTCAAGAGTATGGTCAAGGAGCTGTCTGATATTATTCATGAACAGGTAGGACACACAGAAAAATCTAATGCCTTTCCTTAAAATACATGAGGAAAGCACAGACAGTTGCATCAAAGAGGAGAACAGATCAAGAACAGCATGCAAAAAATAAAAACAGCTTTAGAGACATTAAAATATTTAGCTGCACAAAGCAACCTTGAGTTAAAAGGAAGTCGATAGAAAGTCACTCTCTTTCAACAAAAAAATGTTGGCATCATTTATTCTTAGCCTTTGATATGCTCAACAGGCTCAGCCTGTTGTTTTAAACACTGTAGCTGCTTTTTCAAAGACCATAAAAATGACTGACTAGGACAAGGATATTATTTATCTTGATTGGTTTTATTTCTGTAGTATTTTAAGTTTGTCTTATGTGTATATAGTGATAAAGTTTATATTCATTTGTAAGGGCATCATAGGCAGCCTTAGAAATATGAAGTGACTGAAGTTTTCAGAAAGATGGAACATGACTAATAGAAGAAATTATCCTAGATGGTTTTCACATGTCTGTTGAAAATGTTACAACGTCCTGCATCATGCATAACTTTAGCTTATCCTGATATAAAGATTGATGTTTATGAGATGATGACATTGGTCACTGGGTACATTGTGCACGTGTTCAAACACAGGTTAATATTTTTACTTGTTGACATTTTAGACAAGAGCAGACACACATGCACTAAAGGGAAGTAGGTGTAACTTACACAGCAACACAATAATGTATGAGACACCAAAAATTAGTTATTCTTCTTTGAACAAAACTTTGTATCACATTTTTTGTGAATTTGAAATTTGAAAATATCAGTTGCCTTTTCCGTTGTGTAAAGACTGTATAATGAATTTACTAATAGAAATAGTCCAAAATTACTTGGAACAGAATTTCTTTATATTAACTTCTATTAAAAATTAAGAATGTTTCTTTCTCCTGTATAGTTATCATTTTGGAGACACAAGGTTTTGGTCTGACAGGTGTGCAGGTGTAGTTATGTTTTGCAAGCATGTTATGATATGATATCTATATAACAAGTCTTTCTGTGCATTAAGGCCCAAAACACTCAACTTGACTTCTTCTGGGCTTTTTCTGATTTACAGTCGAAAGTGAGCAGTTCATACATATACATACACTGATCTGATACATCAACAATGTATGCAGGATGTTTTGATCAGATAACACCAAGACAAGCTTAAGCCTCTGTAGCCTATCAATGCAGGGACGCATCAAGAAGTCATCACTGTGGTTTTGCTCCTTTGAGAGATGCATACTGTATTTAGGACACCAAGCCATTCTGTACATAATAAAGCATTACTGCTAGAGGACAGAAGAATGTTCACTTTAAAGGAGTAACAGTGTTCTGTTCTCTTTACTAAGCTTCAGCTTGCCCTCTTTCTCTGTATCTAACCTACAATCTTCACATTTTTCACTTTCATTTGCCACTCCTGTCGGCATTTCTTCTAAGAAAGAAAAAAAATTTCTCCTAAGTGAAAGCTCATGCCAATCTTCTGTTCTTCTGTGATACTTCTTAGTAAGAGTACATTGCCCCTCCCCCCCCCAAAAAAAAAACAAAACATAAGCACACATAAAACACCCCATATCATTTGTTAAATATAACAGTTTATTTTCAATTGCATGGTGTACTTCACTATCACTCAGACGTTACCACACTCTTTCTGTTTTTTTTTTTTTCATTCTGTGTTTTTCTATAATTTTAAGTGTGTATCAGGTGAAAAAGAATATATACTGGTTGATGTCCCTAACCTGAAGATTACAGGAGGAATTCTGTTGCGCAATTAGGTGGTGACTCATTTAGCAGTTGATCTTCCAAGAATTCTGACAGGCACCACACAGTGGGTATCAAGTACAGACATGCCACCCCCACCCCCTGCCTGCCACTACATTAAAACGAATTGTATTCAAGCACTGGTAAAAAGTATGTTGTAATATGCTATATGAAAAACACAAATTCCATGACGTCATCCTGAATTTATGGTTACTATTGCCACACTCATCACTCTTCCTGTAATGCAGTGTTCTTTCTTGTTAAACTTGCATTATGTTCCTTAGAAATATATTCACTGGGAAAATGGCATTAAAAACAGACCAAATTACACAGGGGAAAAGTACCCAATAAGCCCGCCTTTATCTAAGTAAACATTTTTCTCTGTAGTGATATATATGTTATAATAAAGTTAAATATTAACATAATCAAGGAAATTTTACATTTTTATTTTAAAAATAATGAAATAAAGAACAGAAAACATAAAAAAAGTGTTCCTAATAAGCCCAGATTTGTTTTGTAAAAATAATCAATCTTATTACAAAATGGGTTGATGAACGTCAGAAACATTCTTTTAAGAAAATTTCAGCATTTCCTGCATTGATGCACTGAAGCTAGGGGCTGTTATCTCTAAATCAACTAGTCGTGGTATTTTTGGTCAGCTAAGATTCTGTCTGTGTACTCATTACATTTATTTATTTACTTATTTATTTATATATTTATGTCTGCAAAAATCTATGTAGCTAGTGAATGTCCATTTATGCTGTAGGTATTGAATGTCTATGTAAGTTTAAGCATTGTTCTGCTATACCGAGTGCTTCCAGTATATTGTGCCTGAGTCCCTGTGCACGGGGAGAAAAATCAAAAAAGGAAAAAAGAAGTCAAAAACGAGTGATTCTAAAAGACATTAAGCCTCCTTTTAAAATCATTTGACAAAAGCCATAGAAATGGGTTAGTGGGCTTGTCATGGCCCGAAGTGTCAAGTAGGAATGTGAGCATTTGCTGTAATTTTACACAAAAAAGTAATCAATAAAATAAAATTAGATATATCTCACTGATTACTTATTTTTTAAAAACAAAACGATGCAAATTTGCTCTGATAATTTTGATAATAATAATAATCCTTTTTGCCCCTTGAAGTAGAATTTGTCTGTATTATCTGACTTATTGGCTGTAAGGTTTAGCCATAACAAGTGTATTTAAGACTATGATCCAAATAACTGTTGGTATTTTAAACAGCACAGAAATAATTTGGTGTAGGTTAATTAATAAGTGTAAAACTGTAATGGTGTGTTTTAAAGCACTGTGATGAGGTTTTAAGTATTATATTTTAAGTAACTGCCCAGACTGTGTTTAGCCATGAGATGTAGCTGCTAGCTCAGAGAATCTTTTGAAAGTAACATATCTAAATTTACTGTTGTCATTTAAGTGATTAATACTTCCAGGACCACCTTTTAAAGCAAAGTTTTTATAGTGACTTTGCCATGTGTTAGAATAGTCTGTCCACATTCACACAAATATCTCAAATGAAAATAATTAAACTGAATGAATGTGGAGGAGATGCTCAGTGCTGCAATCTGTTTAATAGTTTACATTAAAAGTGAAAGTGAGCTTACAGGGTACGTGGGCTCACGGTGGCTTTTCTCTTATGACATGGCAACTTTGTGAGACTATGTTTCGCAAAGCTCATGAAACCCATAGTCATTCTTAAGTAGTTGCACATTTTTTGAGCCAGACACCAAGAAAGAGACAAAGACACGTGTAGAGAGGGAAGGATATGTAAACAGCTGTATGTTTAATTCTGCAGTTTGTGTTTTTGTTTATGCATATTTATATATTTACCTGTTGACCTGGGCATTGCAAGATAGTGCTCTCTTTACATGCTGTTTTCTAACATGTCTCTGCTTTCTCTTTCTCTGTGCTGCCATGCTGTTTAGATTGAATGCTAGGTAACATTTATTTCAAGTACAAACAACATGTGATATCTTGTGGCATGTACTGAGTTCTGTAAATGTTTGTGGGTATTCACACATCCCATAGTGACTGCGTATGTACCTTGTTTATTTGTGTGTTGTGTAAAATTCATGCTGAACTGACGTTGTGCTGGCTTGTTCTGTATTTGAATATGTGCTCACTAATTTGTCCTGTTTTTTAATTTGTAGATATTCGAGGAGGATGAGATGCGTTCCCTCTTGCAGAACTCTCTACATGTGTTCCGTGCCATCAGCGGAACTTCCTCTAACTTCAGCTAAAACCCTCTTCCTGCTGAAGACCCCTACCCATATTTTACCTACTTCCCACATGCCTGAATGTATGGAACAGCTTAAACCTTAAGCATCCTGCACCATGTTCCTCTGGCTCAAGATGTTGCTAGAGTGTCTGTCCTTTAAGAAAGTGCCATGTTGTTGCAATCGACCATTGCTGTTTCATTTCAAATTGACATGTTCAGTCCATCATTACGTTCAGCCTGACGGATCAAATCTGAGCATCATGTTCACTCAACTCCCCAAACATTCAATAGATGGCCTTTAATGTTTAAAACTACTTGTTGTGCAACAAAGCCACCATCTGATTATCCAAATATATTTGCTTTTTTTTTTTTTGTAAACAGTGTTCATAATGTGAGTTGTTGTTTTAAAAGACAGTATGTCTGTTAAAGTTGGAGAGGGTATGGATTCTAAATTGTAGTGCAAGGGTTTAATAAAACAAATGCAATTTATTCAGTCACTGACCTACATTTGTCACCTTCTTGTTGTTTTTAAAGGACTTGCCCATAGTCTCACATTTGTAAACAGATTCCAACCACACAAAACATTCAAATGGCTTTTACTGTCCTAATCTACCCATCACACCTTCAGAATCATTTAGCCATGATCCTTTTCCTACATTCTTCCATTTTTTTTGAACTACTTGTTATTAATGATTAAATTTGATCATTTTTTTATGGTGACACACTGAACATTTACATGATGTGTCCCACTGAGAATTTAGAGGTGCTCAGTATTAGTTTGCCTTCACTTGTGTTGCCTTCTATGATGCCTGGTACCTTGGAGCACTTGGACAATCTTGCACAGTTCATGCGACTTCTTCATGATTCAGGGGTCAAATCCCTTAAGAGTACTCATCCACCTCTCTGCTTCCCCTTTGCGTTGAGGCCCCGTTTAGAAAGAGCGCCACAGATAGTCCAAAACTATTGCTGTGTTTGCTAGCAAAGAACATACCTATTTTAGAGGCTTTATTAGGATTGTTGTTATTGTTGCAGTGCTGTTGTGGCCAAGCCACTGTGTATTGGAAAGCTCAACTGTGCAGACTTCCTTTTTTCAGTATTAAACAAGGACTGGTTAAAGGGCTGTGAAATAAGCGATGATAGAACCAGTAGGAACTCATACTGTACCTGCAGATAGAGAAACCTACTGGAAATGCACATGGCATTAAAAAATGAATCAGTTATGTAAACTACTATATACATTAAAGCAACATATTAATATTAATATATTAGTATTAATGTTAATATATGATTTAGATTAATATATTCATGTATATAAAGGAAAACAATTCATTTCAAGCTTAACTGAAGATACCTTGATGACGACGTTGACGTCAACTCTGTTAGGATCCTGGACCAGTTCAAATTTAGCAAGTACAGAGTCTGTTTGTTTGCAAGGATTTGCTTGTTGTTGGAAATTATTCCTGTTTTTTGGTCATTAGAGGTGCCACAGCTTTGACAACACCAGTGCAGGCAGCTGTATTCTAAAGGACTGGGGTGGACTTTCCTCAGCCATTTGCTAGTCAAAGCCTTCACTGCCTCAGGAACAACATCCTCTCAAAGATGTAAATGTTAGTAAAGTGCTGCTGTTACCTTTTTCTCTGTGAGCGTGTGTCTGTGTGCGTGTGTGTGTGTGTGTGTGTGTGTGTGTGCGTGTACATTAACAACAAAGTAGCAGCTGCAAACAGTTGTTTTGTTGCAATTTTGCTTTTACTGGAAGAATAATGTACAAAAGTGCAGATTTTGTCAAGCTAAATTTACTGTATTAACATATAAATAAAACTGCATTTTCATGATCAAAATGAATCGACTAGTGTGCACCATTTGTTATGTATAACTCTGAAAGAAAACGTTTACTTTCTGTACCACAAAAAGTAATTGCTGAGTTTTTCCTTAGTGTAGACTTTGGCTTGAAAATGAAATCTTCACCGTATTTAACATAAACTAGTGATTATGTCTGTAGATTTACTCACACTTCCCTTTCTCAGTACTGTTCACTAACCACCTAAATGCCTACTGAAGGGGATATGAAGACATTTGTGGAAGGAAACAGACATGCTGTAGATGACCACTCCTATGGCATTCCTATTCCTATTGAGCTGTGATCTGTACTGTGATCATGCCGTCTAATGTTGGAAGTGTACAACAAAAAGTCACCAAAACAATGGATATTTTTAACTTTAATATTATGCCACACACTTCCATCCAATGAGACTGTGTATATATACAGAGAGTGTATATATATACCAGTGCTGTCGGAACAAAACATATATCCTGAAAAACATCCGTTTTTCACACAATTTGAGAAAAGGAGACAAACAAACCTTTGTTCTTTGAAGCAGCTCACAACATCTCAATTACTTTGTTATTTTATTGTTTTAATAAGAAATTCTTATTACTTTTTACTGCATTAATATTTGTTTGAAAAACACAATTACATATATGTGAGAATCTCTCTCTCCCTCCCCCTCTCTCTGTATGAATATGTAGATAGATTAAGCTAGATATGGCAGAAAATGACACGCAAAGCATGTTTGACGTCCAGGCTTGTCGACGCTGCCTGTGGCAGTGACGGATCTGCAGTCTGAGTGTTTGTTTCCTGAGAGGCCAGCCTGCTGCGATACTATCTTTCCTCTGGCTTCACTCCTCCCACCTGTCACGACAAGCAGGAGTGAGAGCCTAGCTGCTCTCAGTCGGAGAGACGCTGGACTGCGCGTTTGGCACGCTGAGGTTTAATCTGACCTGCTGTAACTGTGGACTGATTTTGGACGTGGTTTTCACGGATATATACTGTGACACCGACAGGCACGAGCCGAGGCAGAGCTCTGGACTCGGTCAGGGATAAACAAACAGTCAGGAAGAAATTACACTGGAATTAGAGTGGAGACGCCAGCAGAGCAGTAGTGCGGTATGATTGGCCGTAACTGGGATATCGCTCTGGCAGTTTGCCTGTCCTTCATGGTCGCAGGAGTCGACAACCTCTCAAGTAAGTATTCTACATTTTTTTACTGGCGCCTTTGGCAGTAGTTGTTGTGTTAAAGCGAGGCTAGGCAGGCTGGACTCTGCTGGACATCCTGCAGCCTTCCCGAAAGAGCGTGACGTCAGAGAGCTACTTTTCAGTCCGGTTTGCTCGATTTTTTTCGCTTTCCCATTTAGACACAGGGGTCATGGTCAAGTTCATGGTTATGGTCAGCGTAGTGGCTGTAGGCTGGGTCACTTTACTGAGCGACATTTACAGCTCAGTGACATTCAACGATAGAAAGAATTAACAGAGGAAGCTCAGCCAAATAAAAAAATAGACATAGGCCGCTGCAGTTCCTGTACTAGTTACAGTATCTTTATGGATTTTGCTCCTACATAGCTCGGTGGTTAAATAAAAGAATTGGGAATTAAATCAGGTTGGTTTAATTATTCAACTACTTAAAATGTTGGCTCAGTGGAGATTCACACTGTGAAATACCGTCTCAGGTGAATTTTATCAGATTGTGCCATTAATACTAAGTCAAAATCAGAAGGCTTTGATAATGGCCTGGATAGACTTTGGAAACCCTTACAGTGTGAGTTGTTTGATTGTTTTGATAGTGGGAAGTACGCCTTCCTTTCGTTTTTGTCTTTCGGAGAAAAGCAAACATCTCCCAGAACTAGAAACTCAAGATATGATCTGGAAGGCGACAGTGAATAATGTTCAGTGTCCACCGAATTTTTAATCAAACGATTTAACTGTGCCAAAAGGGTTAAGAGACCCAGAGAACAACTCAAACCAGGTGTAATTATGATAAATAATTCAAATACTCTGAAAAGATGTACAGAGATACTCCCAGAACAGAAAAGGCCACAGGTACTATTTAAAGCAGTATAAAAACAAAACTTTTAACATTTTTGGGATATAGGGAATACTCAACACCGATTACTCCGAGTGTGATCTTCTCCATGATTGTTATCGTCCTTAGCCAAGGAGCTTCTGTTCTTTCATTTTTTGTGACCACCTGTGGCGCTTCTTCTACATATCTAATGTCTAATGCTGTATTATTCAAAAATCTATACTATCTCATTTCCTTCATTTAACCAGTTTGCAGCATGTAGTCTTACGAGCAGCATCGGCATAGGTGTGGCTGGCTTACCCTAGTTAATTATTTGTTGATAAATATTTTATACTGTGAGTGATGTTAAGGGTAGAATATTTGATTCTGTCATTCACCTTACTGGCTTTCTCTACTGCCCACACAAGAGAAGAGCTACTCTATTACCCACGAGAGAGAAGAGATACTAGCTTTTTCTCTGTGGTCAGATTTATCAACTAAGGCTTTGGCTGTTAGAAGCAAAAGTTATAATATGTTTTGAAACAATGTTAGTCACAAAGAGACCATCTTGTTTTGCACATTGAACAGGCTGCAGTAGTAAGATAAATATTTAGTCTTTGTTTTGGTGAGCATCAGCAGTATCTAAGCAGATTCATTTCCAGTCATTATTGGGCAAGAAAATGTCTGTCATTTGCGTAAGCTGGATCAATCTCTTCCTCTTGTGACTCATCTCTCAGGTTTGTAGTAGTGGCAAACTTTCCTTTTATTGTAATGTACTTAAAGGAATGAACTGAAAGGGACATGTATTTTTTCCGCTGTCAAGAAAAAAAAAACAACAGCAACTGAGAGAGGTTCCAAAGTCCGGGCCATTATGAAGAGCCTCATGATAAACGTATGATGACACAATGAACAGGAAATGTGTCATTACATTTACCTTAAAGCCCTACAGTAAGAAAACCTTTCCTAAATAGTCCTACATGCTCTTATTCTTCTTTCTTTTATTTAAGATGAACTGCCTGAACCAGAAAACTTTATTCTGTCACGGAACCCTGACCATTTCTCAGTAACTGCTGAGTGGAGTGAGCCCACTAGTTTGGACGATTGTAAAGTAAACTACACGCTTGACTTAATTTTCGAGGTGAGTCACCTTTCTGTAACTGTAAGGAAATAAGAAATTACAGCTTGACAAACACGAAGCCTTACAATAAAACTTTACCGAGCAACTGTTTTTAGAGGAACACCATCAATGTGAACAGACATTCTGGTGTGTAGATTATGTAAATAAGAAAATTGGTCTTTCCTTTATGTTGACTTTGAATTTATTCTGACCCCCAAAACAGAAATGTCCTCCCAGCAGCACTGAACCAAAACTGAGTGAAGAATCACGGCAAACAGTTCATTTAAAATACACATGGTACGTTTCTAATGAGAGAGAGATATGCGTCTGGGTAAGGACAAACCCTGTGCAGTGTGGAAACAGGACACCCAGCAAAGCAGTGTATAAAGGCATCTCCCCACCTCTGGGTGAGTTTTATTAAAACTAAATCAATGATGAAGTTCATTTTCAGTTCTTGCTCGTGAAGCACCAAACCAAACCTGACTGACGCACTTGTGCATTTCAGCTTTAGTGAAGAACTTCACTTGTGTTTATTACTCTGATATGAAGATGAACTGCACCTGGAGTGTAATCAGCCAGGTCCCTGATCTCCAGCTCTTCTACAGGTGAGAACTGGCTTGAATGATGCTTTTCTGTCCTGCTTTCTTTGTTTTCTCTTTGTTCCTTAATCTGCATTTAGGTTTCTAAACATTGTTGGATCCGTGTTTTATTTGTATTAGTTCTCTTCTGTGAGACTCAAGACTCAGAGACTCAGACCTCAATCCTCTCATTTGTTGTCTTTCTAAAAATGATTGTCTCTTATGAACGTTATTTATTAGAAATGAAGAGGGAGACCACCTAAAGCCTTGTAGCTCATATTTCACCAAAGAAGACATGAAGATAGGCTGTCACCTAGACAAGATAAACTTCACATCTCAGCAAACGTTCTTCATCATCACTGGAACTGTAAAAGGTTCCAGAATTTCAAACACCTTTAAGAGAGCACCACGTGATTCAGGTACTTTGTCTCTCTCTCTCTGCTTTTTTTTTACTACTGTCCTTAGTTCTTATTATTAATATTAATATTCATAATAAACTTTACAAATAGAGTGAGGTATCTGACTAATGTATGCCTGTATATTTCCTAGCTAAGTGGGAGATTTCTGGCAATTACATAGAATCATTAAACTGTGTGAGAGCTAAACCTTGGACCACAATTACAGTGCTGTGTGTGATGAATGATTAGAGACCAAAAATGAGGTTGAGCCTCCACTGACCATGTTGTACCTGTGATCATTCAGATCATTTATGAATTTGCTTTGCTGTGTTTCATTTTGCAGTGAAACCAGAACCACCAAAGCTCAGCATCACAAGGGACGGTAACCATCTCTATCTTCAATCAGACACTCCAAATTTTGCACCACAATGTTGGAAATACAAGTTTACGTACAGCAAATGCAACGAGGAGGTGAGTCATTTACCCTCTGTGTACTGACACTGTTTTTCTCTGTGCTATCCTCTGCAACTGACAGCGCTACTGCAGCTGTGGGAATAAGTAATGTGTAAGGCAAACATATCAGTAGAACATAATAAATATGAAATTATAATAATGATAAAACAATAAATGTATATAGTACACTATAGTATGCTGAATATTATTGTATAATGACTCAAAGGTGTCTCATACTATTTGAGTGTGCAGTGGATCTCATGTTTATGTGTAACAATGTAAACACACATTGCCATTGTATTTTCAGTAATCCTCATGTTGGTAATGTTGTTATGTAGAAACAAGTAGTTGTTGAAGCAGAAAAGAAGCCATCATTACTTTTGGAATACGACGCAGCCTGCAGATACGAAGCTCAAGTGCAGACCATTTTCACTGATTACTGTGGGAAAGTGACACAGAGTGATCCGAGTGGCTATGAGTTTTATGGTATTGTGGATCCTTTCTGTACTTCAGTACTTGTCATAACACTATATCAGTATATTGTCAAGTCATTTTTAAATAGCTTTATATTATTATACTCCAAATGGCTATATGTGCTATTATTCTTTGTAGGATTTTGTGGCTTATTATTGGATATATATTTTACTGGATATTTTACTGCTTGTTACATTTAATTACTGCAAACATATATTTACCCCATATTTGGTCAAATTAATTAATTTGCTTGACTTGCCAACATTAAATTTTACTCCACACCTTTTTCTTCTGCAGGTGAGAGTACAGATCTAAACAGTCAGTTTAAGGTTGCTATGATAGTCTTTCCTTTAATGGTGTCCTGCTGTCTCATTGTGGCTCTGGTGTTATTTAGAAGGTAAAGTTCAATATTCATATTTCTGCTTTGTATTTTGTGCCTGTCTGTCAAAACACAAAAAACATGCTTTGTTATTAATGAAATGAAGGAGACAATATTCAATACTGTAATTTGTAAAAAAAATTATATTGAATTTTATTTCAATGATGTTCTGTAATTTTATTGCTGCTTTGTACTCTCAAGAAGAGATGATACACATGTTTAAGAGGAACCCTGTGTTTCTAGATCAATCTGGGGAATCTGGGGAATGGCTTATGCTACCATTTGTAATAAAGATCTCATGAAATGGCTTCTCCACAGGTACAAGGATATCATTCTCCCAACAATTCCAGAACCATCATTATTGTTCAAGGATATGCTTAACAGTAATAATGATGGAGGCCAGTCGAAGGTAAGGAGTGAAATGACACAGACAGCTGTTTTATGGTCTCCTGAAGATCTACTACCTTAATTCTATAGTGAATCATGTCTAAATAACAAAGCAAATATAATTTACATTCCACTGCTTTGAGTGCAAATGAAGTACTTTCACACCACCACACTGACCATCAAACATGAGGACTTGTGATGTGTTAACTCTGCTGTTGTCTCTGCTGCACCACAGAGCCTCTATGTGCCTATTACAGAGGTCGTTGAGAGAGACGTCCGGTTGGAGCCAAAGCCTACATCATTACACCTCAAACCATGACAGCTGTTTGTAAATCACACAATGATGGAATGATGACCAGTAATGGATTTACAGCAGGTAACCAAGTCTAAGGCCAGTGAATAAGACTGTGATCACTTCTACAGGGCATTTTGTTTTGTGCACTGCTACTAGCGATATCCTTTCTTCTTGCATGGCAAAGGATGGCCTTGCGTTCAGACGTATATTAGAGGAAACATAAAATTTATGGGACTGGTATTCATTCTGTAGCTGTACATGTATAAAGAAAGACATCAGTGTGTCCTCTATTTAGTGAGTGAGTGAGTGGAATGCTCTCAACAATCTGTGAAGACATGTGCTGGTTATGCGTGTCTTGAGTACATCCACTAACACAGAGGTTCCCAGTCCCCGTTCTGAGGACCCCACACCGTGCACATATTTGTGCATTCCCTCATCTATCATCTGATTCAACTCAACAAAATAACAAGCTCCTCATGTGCTTGAGTCAGGTGTGTGGAGTAAGACAAAAATGTGCAGAGCAAGGGGTGCCCAGGGCTCATTTTCGGAATCACTGCACCAAAGAATGTAATTTCTTTTGGAATGATGGTAACAACAGTGTAAATGGCATTTTTATGTTTGTCGTCACCTGTACTTTTTATCACTTCCCTTTCCCTTTTGGGAAACAATGTCAATGGAAGCATTTTTCCAGTCTTATATGAATATTTTCTAAGCAGTCGGAGACTAAAAGTGGGCATTTTCTAACATTTCTGTCTGTGTTCTATATCTAAATGATAACTGCAGTAAAATGTTGAAGTGTACAGAGTGTAAAAAGGAGCACCTGTAAATACTGTATTACTGTATTATTGTAAATGAAGAGGTTTTCTACATAACTTGTTCTGTGAATAAAGTAACCATAGTGGTGACTAATGTGGTTTGTGCGTGTTTCATGCAAAAGGAATTTGCTTAAGATATCACTAACAGTTCTCTAGGTTTAAATAAAGCACTTAGCACCCAATTTCAAAAGACAGTATGTCAAAAAGTATAACCAGCCTGCACAATGAATGATTCACTGTCAACAAGTCAGAATGCTTGCAGTTGTATGCTGCATTGCCAAACCTGTTTGGTAGGCCTACAAAGTGCAGGTCTATCAAGCCCTGCACTGCCATCTGTGGTTGGATGCTGCATAATACAACAGATATACTTCACCAAACTTTTCTTTTTCTCCGTATATAGAGATTTTATTTTATTGAAGACTCTTTTGTGTGATAAATATAGGACTACTGTTGTCACACAGATAGCACTTTTATGGCTATCTACATAAGTCAGTCCATTAAAACGTGCTGATAAAAACATGTCACTGGGTCCTTTGTATGCCATTTTAAATGAAGGACCATATAAGGGCAAGCTGGAGAATTTCCAAGCTATCACAAAAGAAAGCTCAGAGCAATTATAAATGTGATCTAAAATGTGAGAAAACAAGCAAAAAGAAATTGTGACCTGTGACTTTTACATAAGCATAATGTACATAATACATCTTGACAGCTAGAGGAGATGGTAGCTGAATGACAATCAAGGAAAGTCTTTTTTTGCAAGTAGGTGCAACTCAGCACAGGCATTCAATCATTTTAGTGTCAGCTGGTGATAGCACAGTTATTGGGTATTTACCAAGGATAGTTAATAGTTATATTAAATATGGTTATGTAGTAGTTATAATAAAAATGGTTATGTAATAGTTATATTAATCATGGTAAAGTACTACGTGTAGCTATTTAAGAGAAACTTGGCCATGTGATGTGTCATTGCCAAACATTGTTGCCTCTCTCATCCTATGACTAATAGAATTGTTGCCGCTGTACGGGAAGAGAGGATAAGATAAAATTAGTACGCTGACTATTGCTTTTTATTTAAAGCTAGACATATACATTTGTGTGCAATGTACTTCCATACAATGATCAGCTTCTGCAAGCCATTTAGGCATAATCTCCTTGGAGATAATTAGAGCCTAATTGTCCAAATGACATAACCAAGGCTCCATGTAATGCACTTTTCAGAAGAATGCACTTTTCTGCATTGCTTCCTTCCTTTCTTTCAATTTCAGCTGCCTTGAGTCTGGGAATTGAAGCTAATGCTTCTCCCAACGTGAGCCACTGCGACCACAGAGGAAGCGAGGCCCTGCCCATACTGCCTAGCACTGAGACTGGGTGTATTCATAGTGAGAAAAAGAAAACCTAGTTTACTTGAGTCTTAATGCCTGCTGATAGTAAAATAAACAAATTTGGTTTAAGCATAAAGAAATTCATAAAAATGTTCTTAAATGCAATAATAATAATAACATAATAATGATAAATGTAAGTAGTGCTCAAATATTTTTCTAAGAAAGATTTTTCTTAGGACACTGTTGTTTTCATATGTAGACTATAGGTAAAGTGTCTGATGACAGCAAAATGGAGGAAAAACAAAATTAAACAATATGTTTTTTTTTATTATTTTTGCAAACAAGATCTAGAAGTGAGATGGTGGTAGAAACTACATTAGACTTTTACACGCTTATCATGTCAACGCTTGCAGTCTACCACAAGTGTGAGGCTGTCGTAAGGATAAGTAAAAACTTAGGGAAATATTTTCCATGAATACCCCTTGTTCTAAAAATTGTTCTTAAGAAAAGTGTTAAGACATGAAGATAATTCTTAAGAGGTTTTTGAAGAATAACAATCTATTTTTCTAAAGTAGTAAAAAAAAAAAAAACTGACACATTTAAGATCTTTCCTAAAACACTTTTGTAAATTCGGCCCCAGGTCTGGTGTGGAACATCCAAAACTTGTTGATAGCCAGAAGCTGATGATGAGCTCATCATGAGTGGCTTCTGCACTTCATGGAAGAATCCACTTTGTGGTCAAAGAAACGGATGCTTTCCATTCAGAGTGAAGCTGTTATCAATCCAATTAGGTGAAAGTCACTTCTGTCCAAGCTATCTGCATGTAGTTCGACTGCTATGCTCTCAACACTGAGTATCAAGAGGAGGCGGCTATTGACACTGGAGTTCATCCAGAGGTTAAGCACAGTCTAACAGGACATACAGCAGCATGCAAGTTGACATCGCAAGTACACAGCTGTTTGTGTTTTTCAGCATAAACTGTAGTCATTCTGTGTACCAAAAACAAGCTTTTGGTTTCAGGTTTTACAGGTTCTTTCTGAACACCAGTGCCATTAGAATTAAAACCAGCTGAAAACCACACAGATAAACTAGCTCTAGTGAAATGTAAAATTATGAAACAGGGGCTTTCTGTGTGCTAATGTGTCATCTATCACTACAGAGAAGGGGCATCGTGTTAACATTATTTGTGTGATATCCATTCTAATGCTTGCTTCAGCACTCCTCACTTCATACTGAGAAAATGAAGTGGAAGTTTTACATCAGACACTGTGGCTTATATAGTTCCTCCGTGACTGTGAAAAAAAAAAAACAAATTGAGGTTAACCAAATTCATGTTTCGCAAAGTAACAAGATGCCTATTCCCACAATTATGATTCTACAAAACTTGCATTTATGTTGTTTAACAGCATCCTTACTAAACCTAAAGAATGGGCCTTTACCTTGACCAAAACTTTAAAAATATCAGACACATTTGGCACATCCTGCTGTAGGGATAGGCATCCACATACATGTCAATACACATCCACTACTGAGTGTGCACATTAATATTAAAGTTAATATTAATGGAGAGATGGAGGTTGGAATAGGTAGAAGGCCCCTGCTCTTGGCGTTAAGTCATACACCAGGGTTCCCCAATAGGTGGCCTGCGGGCCTAATACGGCCTGCAAGAGTTAAACCAGCCCACTGCCAAGACATAGGCACACATATTTACATTTACAGCATTTAGCAGAGTGACTTACAAAAGTGCTTTGTTGTCTACTCAGAAAAAGTATCGTTGCTAGTTATAATTGGTTAGGGTTAAAGCTACTCTGAGCTCAGATATTGCTAGAAACAAATGCCTATGTTGATACCCAGAGAAAAAGAAACAAAATTAAACACAGCACAACACAACAGATTTAAATACGTGCAGTACAATACATTTAAATAAGTACTTAAACTACTACTCACTTATAAGTGCTGTAAAAAGAGATGTGTCGTCAGTCTGCGTTTGAAGACCATGAGAGAGTATATACGTTATATGTACGTTTCTGGCACCAAAAAGAACAAAACAAACCAAAACGTCATAGTCACTAATCTCATGGCCCATTCCTTAGATTTGGTAAGGATGCTGTTAAACAACAACACCTCATTTTCTCAGTATGAAGTGAGGAGTGTTGAAACAAATATTAGAATGGATATCACATAAGTGATGTTAACATAACATACCATAGCAACTGCATAGCAACACCCTAACAACCAGCATGGATACCATAGCAACACCCTAGCAACCACCACGGACACCATAGCAACAGCCTAGCAACCACCACAGACACCATAACAACACCCCAGCAGCCACCTGGACTACCACAGCAACTGCCTAGAAACACCCCAGCAACCAGCAAAACGATAGCAAAACAATAGCACAACCACCAGGGACACCACAGCAACACCCCAGCAACCACCTGAAATACCATAGCAACTGCCTAGCAACCAACTGGGTTAGCACAGTAACCACTTAGCAACACACTAGCAACCAGCAGGGATACCATAGCAAGCACTTAGCAACATCCCAGCAACCACCAGGGACACAATAGCAATACCCCAGCAATTACCTGGAATACCATAGCAACTGCCTAGAAACACCCTAGCAACTACCAAAACCATAGCAATTACATAGCACCCAGCTGGGCTACCATAGTAACCAGTTAGCAACACCCTAGCAACCAGCAGGAATATCAGAGCAACCACTTAGAAACATCCTAGCAACCACCACAGACAGCATAGTAACACCCTAGCACCCACATCGAATACCATCGAAACTGCCTAGACACATTCTAGCAACCACCTAAAGATACCATAGCAACTGTATAGCAACACCCTAGCAATCAACTAAGTTAGATAGCAATCACTTAAGCTACACCCTAGACACCACCACTGGTATCACAGCAAGCACAATCACTGCATTTTCTTCAGGTAATGCATTTTTCTAGTTGTATTTTTGTTATTTATACAATGATGTCTTCATGTATTTAGCATTTGTAAAATACTTTAATAAACTCAAAAGTATGACATGCAAATCTGTTGTGAAAATTGCTATTTAATAGTAATTCTCAAGGCAAATGAATATTTAATAATATTCAATACCACTCTTGAAATCAACACAACAAAGACAAAAACGCTAAAAGAGGCTTAACATACATACAAAACAAAAAATATCTGAATAACTAATAAATATTGCCTAAAGCCCTCTCTCGCATGTGTGTACACAAACAAACACACACGTCTCGTTCAAGACTTTTTCGGTGGTGTCTTAGCTGTGTAGATTCTTCCTAACTGCTCCTGTTTAAAAAAATAATAAAATATTAATAATTACTGTTAAATTACTGGGAAAGACAGAATTTGTGATTTTATGCCAAATGTACACCAAACTGCCTGATTCAGAAATAATGAAATAAATTGTAGGCTCCTTAATGAAATTAACAGTTTCACACAACAGTGTAGGTAAATTGTATTGAAGAGAGTTTTAAAGTTTTG